TCCCAGATTTGCTGGTACGTGCGGTTCTTGATATCCAGAACAGCCGATTGCTCATTAGCCTCGGGGGCTGGCGCAAGTTCATCGGTGACCTTCTTCTCGTTTGCGAGGGACGTTGCGGCACTACCGACCCGTTCGGCGAAGTAGATTGTCAACGCTGCGGGCCCTTGCTGGTCGGAGGTCTGTGTCACAGTCATCGGCACGCCAGGGTTGTGAAATTTGAGTCGTGGGAGGCAGTTACGCCAGAAATGCCGCGCGCCTCCGTGGCCCTGGTCGATCTTGCGTGCATATGTGAGGTGGAGTCGGGTGACGGCTGGGAATTCTTTTGATGCGGAGGTGAGGGTGGGGAAGACGGCTGCACCTGTGCCAATTTTGGTCTGGAGCATCTAGAACAGTGAAAGAAAGAACGTGTCAGTTGATTGATTGCATCTCTGCTAGAACATGGGAGACGATGCCAGTATGGCTTCGAAGGTTGCAGGGTCGGAGATCTCAAGGGACGGGGTTTCGGCTTACTCTCTGTTGACGAAAACAATTGTACATTAGTCCATCAATTTCGCGTTAGATTGGGAAGCCCGGCGAGGGAGAGCCGAGAGAAACTATACATACAGTTTGCAGCCTGCGAAGCCGCTTGAACAAGTTGACCATGATGAAAGGCTGTTCCGCACAGGGACTGGCCCTTGTGCGATTAGATGTGTGGGTATAGAAATAAGGCGAGAGTGCAAGATTAATTGGCAATATTCTTGCTCAAGAATAGGTAATATAGAGCCGGAATTGTGAGTTTGTTGATCGGGGAAATTTATCGCAGATGCGCTTGTCGGCGAAGAAGTTGCTCCGTGATAGTCACGTGTGACCTCTAATCTATAGATGGTATTGATCAGGTCACATAGAACATGTTCAGTTAGAACTCACTCTGTAGACCACTATGAACTGAAACTTCACCTGATGACTTGATCTACATATATATCTCGAGTCAATATCTCATTGCTCATTATCTTCTCTACTCACCAATCCATCTTTATAACGGTTGCAAACGACAACTGGAGGGTGGACCCCCCCGTAAAATTACAATACGTTTGAATTACCTTGACTCACAAACTGAACAAACAGATTTTATATCTCGCCCCGCGATTCTTTTGTTCCTCTCCGCTCTTCAAGGGAATTACAGGCCAATTCTGACATCCAGGAAAAATGGCCGCCGCAGCTGCATCCGTAGCTGAGCTCGATCCGAGCAACAGCTCAAAGAACACCCTGAAGCTAGAAAATGTTGATAGACCCCTCCCCCACTATCCCCGATTTTCATTTACTAACTGATATTTCGTCTACCAGACCGAGAAGCGAGACACCCTAGTCGCAATCGAAAAGAAGTACCAGGCACAATGGAAGGACAACAAGATTTTCGAAGTCGATGCGCCCTCATTCGAGGAAGCTCCCCAGGGCGCCATGAGCCCCGCCGAGCTCCGTGAGAAGTACCCCAAGTTCTTCGGTACTATGGCCTACCCTTACATGAACGGTACTCTGCACGCCGGACACAGCTTCACTGCTAGTAAGGTGGAGTTCATGGCTGGATTTGCCCGCATGGAGGGCAAGCGTGCCCTTTTCCCTCTGGGTTTCCACTGTACCGGTATGCCTATCAAGGCCTGTGCCGATAAGCTCGCCAACGAGGTGAAGAAGTTCGGCCAGGGTTTCGAACGATACAACGAGGAGGCAGAGGCTGCCGAGGACCTCATTGCAGCCCCCACACAAGAAGTCAAGGCCGAGGCAAGCGAGAAGTTCTCCGGCAAGAAGAGCAAGGCCGCTGCCAAGACCGTGAAGATGAAGTACCAGTTCCAGATCATGCTTGCAATTGGCGTTCCTCTGGAGGAAATTCACAAGTTTGCCGACGCTGCCCACTGGCTGGACCACTTCCCTCCTCTTGCCATCCGTGATCTTGACAGCATGGGTGCTCGCGTCGATTGGCGCCGACAGTTCGTTACCACCGACGCTAACCCCTACTACGATGCTTTCGTACGCTGGCAGATGAACCGCCTGCATGAGCTCGGTAAGATCATGTACGGCAACCGTTACACCGTCTACTCGCCTAAGGACGGCCAGCCTTGCATGGACCACGACCGCACTGAGGGCGAGGGCATTGGTCCTCAAGAATACACTGCGCTCAAGCTCCAGGTTAAGGAGTGGTCGCCGGAAATGGCAGAGATTGTGAAGGGAAAGATCGAAGATGATGCTAAGGTATACTTCGTTCCGGCTACTCTGCGTCCCGAGACCATGTATGGTCAGACTTGCTGCTTCGTCGGCCCAAAGATCAAGTACGGTCTCTTCAAGCTGAAGGACAAGGAGTACATTGTCGTGACCAAGCGCGCTGCTTGGAATATGGCCTTCCAGGGCCACTTCTTCGGCGATAAGTTCCCCAAGACTCAAGACGAGCTCCCACAGGTTCTTGAGGTACCGGGTTCCGCCTGCATTGGCACACTAATTAACGCACCTATGTCTTTCCACACCGAGGGTGTGCGTATCCTGCCTATGGAAAGTGTTTCGGCATCTAAGGGTACTGGTGTTGTCACCTCTGTCCCCTCCGACAGTCCTGACGATTACGCCACCCTGATGGATCTGGCAAAGAAAGCCGAGTACTATGGTATTAAGAAGGAGTGGGCTGAGCTGGAAATCTTCCCGCTCATTGAGACTCCTACTTACGGCAACTTGACCGCTCCTGCTCTGGTCAAGGAGCTGAAGATCAACTCTCCCAAGGACGTCACTCAGCTTGCCCAGGCTAAGGATTTGGCCTACATGGAAGCTTTCTACAAGGGTACTATGCTCGTTGGTAAATACAAGGGCGAGTCCGTCAGCGATGCTAAGGAAAAGGTCCGCAAGGATCTCTACGACAGTGGAGATGCCTTCCCCTTCGCCGACCCCATGGGCAAGGTTGTCAGCCGTAGTGGCGATGAGTGTGTTGTTGCCTACCTGGGCCAATGGTTCCTGAACTACGGTGAAAATGATGCCGAGTGGCAGCAGGAGACCCTGAACCACGTTGTCAACAACCTCAACACCTACTCTGCCGAATGCAAGAACGGTTTCGAGAAGAACCTGTCCTGGCTGAACCGCTGGGCATGTGCCAGAACCTACGGTCTCGGATCCCAGCTGCCATGGGACAAGCAGTTCCTGGTTGAGAGTCTGAGTGACAGTACCGTCTACATGGCCTACTACACCATCGCTCACCTCCTTCACGGTGACCGGTACGGCAAGACGACCGGTCCCCTGAACGTCACCGCGGAGCAGATGACTGATGAGGTCTGGGACTATATCTTCACAAGACGGGAGATTAGTGACGAACTTATCTCAAGCAGTGGTATCAGCAAGGACTCTCTGCAGAAAATGCGCCGTGAATTCGAATATTGGTACCCTCTGGATGTCCGTGTCTCCGGCAAGGACCTGATCCAGAACCACCTGACCTTCTTCCTCTACATCCACATTGCTCTCTTCCCCAAGGAGTACTGGCCCCGTGGTGTCCGTGCTAACGGCCACTTGCTCCTCAACGGCGAGAAGATGAGTAAGAGTACCGGTAACTTCTTGACTCTCAAGGATGCCGTTGACAAGTTCGGTGCCGATGCTACCCGTATTGCATTTGCCGATGCTGGTGACAGCATTGAAGATGCCAACTTCGAGGAGTCTGTTGCCAACAGCAATATCCTACGTCTCTACACCTTGAAGGAGTGGATTGAGGACGTTGCCAAGGATGAAACTCTGCGCACTGGCCCTGCTGATGCCTTCGCTGACAAGCTCTTCAATAACGAGCTTAACAGCCTGGTTCGCGAGACCCAGAAGCACTACCAGGAGTAAGTTTGCATTCTATTTGATTCATTGATACTGATAACTAACTCTATATCTAGCACCAACTTCAAGCTTGCTCTTAAGTCTGGTTTGTATGACTTCACTAGCTCCCGTGACAGCTACCGTGAGGCTTCCACCGCTGCTGGCGTGGGTATGCACCGAGATACCGTTCTGCGCTACATTGAGCTACAGGCTCTCATGCTGGCACCCATTACTCCTCACTGGGCTGAGCACATCTGGCTCGAGGTTCTCAAGAAGGTCAGTTTTCTCCCACCCACTTCATACCTAACCTTGATCTGACACCATTTAGCCCGAGTCTATTCACTTCGCCCAGTTCCCTACCGTGCCAGAGCCCTCTCCCGAGCTGACCGCTGCTCAGAACTACGTCCGTGGTACCGCAAGCAACATCATGAGCTCCGAGGCCAACTACACCAAGAAGCTCTCCAAGGGCAAGGCTATTGCCTTCGACCCCCGTAAGCCTAAGATGCTTACCATCTACGTCGCCAAGAAGTTCCCCAACTGGCAGGAGAAGTACATTGACCTGGTCCGCGATTCCTTCGACTCGCTGAACCTTTCCTTCAACGATAAGGAGCTTAGCGCGAAGGTCGGCAAGCTCGGTGAGATGAAGAAGGCCATGCCCTTCGTTCAGAACCTGAAGCGCCGTCTGGTCAATGCCCGCGAGTCTCCCGCCACTGTCTTCGACCGCAAGCTTCCCTTCGATGAGATCGCCGTTGTTTCCGAGATGGTGGGTGGTCTGAAGCGTACCTCTGGTTTCAAGGAGATTGAGGTCATTGCTGTTGATGAGGGTGGCAAGACTGGTGAAGTTGTTGGCACTGGCGAGAAGCGTGAGGGTCTGTCCGGCGAGAATGCCGTGCCTGGAACCCCCACATTCCAGTTTGTCAACGTCGAATAAACGACATCTCTTTGAAAAATACAGTCTCATTTGCCAGTTTCAAAATGATGCTTGATGACTTCTGCGAAAATGAAATAAAACACATAGCATATAGCAGTGCAATTTTTCAGTTATGTTTCTTTCCTACATCTCTTAAGTCACAAACTAAACGAAGAATTCCATCCCAGTGCCACGTCTTTTGTTCGTGGTGACATTGCTCTCAGAGTACTTCGTGCACTCGACTTCAAAGCACTTAACAACCTGTAAATGTCACAAAGCAATCCATCAGTCAACCGACCGAAATAATGCACAACAATAATAAGCAAAGGACTCGCCTGTTCAGACCTCCTTTAAAAGTCTCTTCTTCCTGCGAGAAAACCAACCGAAACCACCCAATATCCTGCGAATGCTCTTCCCCGGGGTGCAAAAAGACATCAACATCGACAAGCATCTGTGCAAGAGCAAATTCCCGTAGTCGCGGGGGAAGAGCACTGCCAGTAGGGAGATAAGGAGACAAGTCGATGTAGAAACCCCCAGCGTTTCTGGTGATCGATCGGATTAGAGGAGGGTTTGAATAACGTCTCGTCCGAGTACATATACTCACCCGCCCTTGACATAGTTGATTCCCTCCTTGTTGAGCACAGAGGTTGTAAGTCCGTATAGGCTGAAGCGAGGCTCTGTCCGTAGAATTTAGCGAGAGAGTTGACGTAAACGGCACAGCCTCAGGGTCACCAGAATCAAACACACAGGAAGCATAAACCTCATCACTGATGAAATGGAGACTGTGGCTGTTGCAGAATCGGGTAATAGCCTTGAGTGTCTCGACCGGGTAACAACGACCTGTCGGTGGCTGGTTAGTTTATTCAGTGAACCAAGCGGTATATAGGTATAACTCACCAACAGGGTTGTGCGGGTTGACAAGCAACACAGCTCGAATCTTCTTGCCGCATGTCTTGAGAGCTAGCTCATACTTCTCCACACAAGCAGGAGGGAATGCCTCTTCTGTAGATGTGGCAGCATAACCCATCTAACATCAGATTCCACACCGTAGTCGAGCTCAAAACGGCCATATACAAAGTGTAGGGCTGCTGACGAGGATCCCGTCCTCGCTTTCTGCGATATTGTATCCCAGCATACTGCCAAGGGACGTCGGAGAGTCGGTGACAACTATATGCTCGGGGTCGATTGGGACATGTGGTTTGAGGATATTGTTCAAATGAACTGCTGCGGCGGCTGGTAATCTTGCAGCTGTTGGTGCACTTGAGCGGTAACTGATAGAATCTTTTGTAAAGACGACCTATGCGAGATTGTTACAGATTATTGGATTCTTTCGGTTAATTGTCACCATTTCGGCATGAAGGCAGAGACTGGCAAAGCAAGTCCCCTGGCATTTTCGCTTCCTCGGGAAGATAACATAATGTAGACAAGGGTGAATGTTGATTCGGTGAATACCAAGGAGCAATATATATTTGGACGCCTAGACTGGATGTTGCGGCGACATCAACACCAGATGAGTTATTGCACCGCCAAACAAACACAGTCTGGTGAACTGGAAAGAAGATACTTGCCAAACAAAATAAACAAGGAGTCGAAATAAAGTCTGTGGAAAGAAGTTAAATGAATTTAAGGTGAAAGGCTAATCCCGACGCCCCCACCTGCGGGGACCGTGGAGACGAGCAACGAGCACTACATTGTACAACGTGTACCTATGTATATGGAATCAACTTTGGAGATATTTGAGACTATGCACATATGAGATTGATAGAATAATAAGAATATTGTACATATTTATAAGAGGAGAAACGCCGAGCCGCTATGCTAAATGGCTTAATGTACATGTCCAGACACCCAAATCACAATTAATATCTCGTCCGCAGCCGCTTGCGCTTGTCGATTTTCTTCTTCTCTGCAATAAAGTTCCAACATTCAATCGGAGGCCGGGACCCGATATGTTTACCGTTGGGAGTAAAAACCTCGACTTGCGGATAGGAAGGTTCGTCTTCAGCGTCCCGCTTGCTGCGGATTTGGATACTGAGCTCGATCCAGCCGCAGCCCTCGATGAGAATATCTGCCGACATCACGCGGTATGGCAATGAAGGCACTGGGATTCCTCTGTCCTTTACAGCTTTGGCGAGCGAGGTAGGAAGGTTTGAGATGGTGGTATCCCACTTCAAGTCGAATATACCGGCCGAGGCCATTATGCTTCCGGTCCCTTCTTTCATGATGACAGTTCCACGGTAGGGGGTTTCCTCAGCCTGCGTGTCAATAGCTTTCTGTGTGTTGGTGATATGAGACTCAAGAGGCAGGAAACTGGCGGACATGACCGTATCTTGCGGGTTGACTGGGGTGATGCGGATAAGACCACCACCAATCAGAAGAGACTGGCCGGGTTTAATGGTCAAACGTTCAGGCTTGATCCGCTTGGTCATGATCAAATCACGCTTATGTTCATCTTGAACAAAGTCCTCCAATAGACCTCGCTCTAGGCCGGGCAAATCGATGACCTCGCCCTTTCCGCGGCCGAATGGAATACGGATAGGCGAGACAGTAGTGCCAGGAAGGGAAGACACGACGGGGAGCACGGGGTAGAGATCCTCGCGAGGAGCAGGAGGCAGAAGACTATCGGGGTTAAGAAGGGTCGCCTCTCGCTGTTTTGGAATCTCAGTCTCCTCACGGCGGCGTTGAATCCATTCTTCGATTTTCTCCACATTCCTGGAATCCTTGGGGAAACAAGCTTCAATGAAGCTGCTCTTTCCGACGTTTGCCTTGCCGACGACCCAAATGCCACCGCCATGCTCTCGGATCTCTTCCTTGACTTCCTTGGTCCACCAGCCACGGTGCGCACTAATCATGTGCACGTTGCCCAAACGGGCCTCCCTCCCTGATCTTCCCAAAGCTGTGCGAAGCTCTGTTCGAATGTACTCCATCTTCGAATCTACCTGCTCTTTTGTTGCCGCCAAAAGGTCCGAGCGAGTGATGATAAATGAGAGTGTGGGAAGTTTTCTTCCGCGTTGGTATGTCTCATTCGAAGATCGTCGGTTGCGCGAACGTTGCTCCTGCAGCATTAAAGCCCAATGAATGCGCGGAACGAGAGACATTGGGAAATCTGCAGCATCGATGATATGGTAAACACGGTTGTGTCTGTAGGGCGATTCTTCCAGATAGCTTCGTATAGAGGTAATAGTCGGCTTAGGCGAAGAGATTGCCTTGTTGTGGTGTATCAAGTCGTGGCAACGATCGCAGACCTGAGTGATTCGACCCGGAGGCCCAAGAAACTTGTCCTCGGGATCGACAGCTTCATCTGGAAAAGCTCCATCTTTGTATTCAGTCAGCAAATGGCGTACTCAAGCAATAGTCTAGATGTCCTACCTGGAATGGGTTTTGGTGGCCCTGCCTCAATGGTATCGTTCTGCTGTGAACTCAAGTCTGCTTCCTCGGTGGAGATATCTTCGTTTTGTTGTATGTTCTGGGATTCAATTGCATCCCTTCTCGCGGCGAGTACCCTCCGAATCTGCTTTCGTGATGTACCATAGTATCCTGGCTCGTTTGCCTCAACTGTTTGGGAGAATGCGCCACATCCTGGGCAGCACAGAGGCAGAGAATCGGCTAGCGAGGCGGTTGCAGGTTCAGCGGGGAGTTGTTCTCCCTGAGAGCGAGTTGTTGAGAAGCATCGGCATTGCCTGCGGAGACCCGCGAGGACTTTGGGTTGTGGCGCGGTGCGCGATTGCGAAAGGAGCGTTTGAGCATGGGATCGAGGAATGTTCTTCGGAACCAGGCGCAGCATATTTAAGCTCGGGTTTCTGAACACTGCGCCCCGAGAGAAGAGCGACATGATGGCGTGTGAAATTGCGGAGTTGCGGAGCCTTTTTTTCTCTGGAGATAGTTATCTATCGATAGCGCACATGGCAAAATTCGGCCCGCCGTACTCCTCCGTACAAGTACATACATAGTAGCCAATGTCGCGTAACAAGAATTGTTCATTATTTTACGCATTAGTAGACGAGATAAAGAGGCTAGAACTACTGGTAGTAGATAGCCTTTTTATTAAACACTCCAATCAGAAACTGAAATTATTGACACAGAACGCGCTGAAACACATGTGCGCTAGAGAATCCCTGAAAGTAATAGAAAAAGAACGCCGTCGTGAACCATAGACGAATTTTGGTTATTGTAGAATATCAAGCACGTGCCTTTCCCTTTCCCTTGCCAGATTCAACTATCTCATCATCGGAGTCACTCATGAACTCGTCATCCTCATCATCAAAACCAATGAACTTCCGGGGTGCAGCCTTTTGAGGCACAGAGGGCCCAGCGGCAGCATTGGATGAATTTCCATTTTCTTCGCTCTCTTCGTCTTCGCTGGATGAAGTATCCTCCTCACTGCCCTCGTCGCTGGCGCTGGTACTGGATCCACCCAGGATTGCGTCGCGAAGATTGTCTGTCCATTCGCCATCCTTCATAGCCTGTAGAACTGCCTCACGGGCCCTTTCGCTCATTTCTTCCCTGTCTTCCATCCACTGTCCATCCACCATCTGCCTGCCGGTGCCATTCTTCAATTCATCTTGGCGCTTTTCGGCCATATCTACCACGGCCTGCCATCGGCGTTGGCGTTCCTCTTTTTCTTTCTTGTCCATCTCCGGCTTGACAGCGAGGTATTCCGCGAGCGCCTTTGCCTCGTTGACAGTGCGCAGCCGGCGGCCATCAAGGTTGCGACTAGAGCCATTGTTGTCGCCTTGATTGCGCTTGCGCTTGCTGGACATGCGGCCACCAGCGGCACGCAGTTGGGAGCCGAAACCACCCTTTCCACCACAGGTGGGGGCAGTCAGGCGCAGCGGGAGAAGTGTAGAGGTAAAGACGCCATCGCGGGTCGGGAGGAGAGATTGGATAGATTCTGAGGTTGCTGTGAGGTGTTTGTTATTTGTTGTAGTAAGGATGAGCGACTGAAAAGAGAGTGATGACGGGAGATATGAAGCGATCTTGGCCGTTAAGTCTGATGTGCTTGCTGTCGATGGCAAGGTGAATGAAAGTGTCGCCGGCAGCGACAGTCCCGGAAAGGACGACAACAGGACGTTGACATTTGAAGAAGCCATATTTCGTATGTCTTAGAAACAGTTCCCGAGAAAATAGTAGGAGCGTGTGGCTGGCGAGTGTTATGTTTGTTATAGGAAGAAAGTATTACTGTTTCAAAGATGGAAGATGTTGCGATAAGATTGAGGATCAGTCGCCGCAGCTATGATGACTCATCACTAGGGTTAGTCAGCAGCGTAAGGGTACCTTTCACGTGACATACCACATCATTCTAATTGGCAGTTTATCATGTGATTTGAACCACAAATTGATTAGGGTGCTAACCCTACACCCAATTCGGACGGTCGCACTTTTCTCGCAGCGAAGCTCCACTCTTCATCCATCATTTAAATCAACCATTATTTCCGGGCGTTGTCAAAGCGATTCCCCGACTAGCACCAGGAACTCGCGACAATGTACGTATACCCATTTCTGCAATTCATTCCGACAGATTCACTAACAATGGCGCAGGCTTATCCCCAAAGACGACCGCAAGAAGATCCACGAGTACCTCTTCCGTGGTATGTAACGAGAACCCTCGTCGACGTCCCTGCGACCCTGCGACACCGCGACACTGCGCTCGTGTCACGTATGTACAGATTCACTAACCTTTACTCTAGAGGGAGTGCTCGTGGCCAAGAAGGATTTCAACCTTCCCAAGCACGGTGACATTGACACCAAGAACCTCTATGTCATCAAGGCCCTCCAGTCCCTGGACTCCCGCGGCTTTGTCAAGACTCAGTTCTCGTGGCAGTACTACTACTACACCCTCACCCCCGAGGTACGATTCATGCACATCTAACACGTCGACATGTCCGAATACTAATTGAATAACAGGGTCTGGACTACCTCCGTGAGTGGCTCCACCTCCCCGCTGAGGTTGTCCCCGCCACCCACATCAAGCAGCAGCGTTCCCACGCTCCCCCCCGCGGCATGATGGGCGGTGAGGAGCAGCGCGGTGAGCGTCGCGGTCCCCGTGAGGGTGGCCGTGGTGGCCGCGAGGGTGGTTACCGCCGTCGCGAGGAGGGTGGAAAGGAGGGCGGTCCCCCCGGCGAGTTCGCTCCCTCTTTCCGTGGTGGCTTCGGCCGTGGCCGCGGTGCCGCTCCCCAGGAGTAAATGCTGAAAGGCATTGGTGTCCTGTCAACCACTTCTTGGTCTTTCTAGAGTCTTGATGGTGTACCTGAATTTGGCTGCCGGACTAGAGATTTCTTGAAACGGGCCTTACCCTCGGTACACCAAATCTCGTTCCAGCTTCACTGGGACTTGTGGGGATACAGGAAACAATAAAATAAGAAAATTATGTTTCCACTTCTTTCATGATGTAGTTTGATATTGATTGATGTAGGTATGTTGATTCGATGGTAATTCATGACTAAGGTGAAATCGGTTTATTCGTAAACCTCGTGTAGATCTTCAAGCTTTTTTGGCTGGCTAGTCAATTTGTCTGTATACGAAGATATTTACACGTTCCAATCTATGTACAGGGCCTTTCTGTCAGGCTACAATGAGTATTCGCCTTACAAGAATCTCTTCCGGTCATAGCGGACTACAGCCTGCAAAATGACAGATGCTCCAGTGGCGCAATCATCGGCAGTGGAGAACTCCTCAGGGTGATGACTGAGACCATCCTTGCATGGGATAAAGATCATGCTCGTTGGGACACGCTTGGAGGTGAAGACACTGTCATGGCCAGCACCACTCATAATGGTCCGCACAAGTGACTTTGTATCCGTAACAGAAGCGTCTGCGACAACAGCTTCGGCTGACTGCTGCACGCAATCAATGCAGTCTTCATGGAACTTGACAGCAGGCGAGTCGAAGTCAAGAGTCCACTCGACGCGGCAAGGCTTACCAATACCAGCACCCTCAACGGCAGCAATAGCATCAAAATCAGCGCGCAGCTGCTTTTCGACTTCGATAACTAGCTCTGTCTCGGGCCCACGGATGTCCAAGCTAAAGCTCACCTCTCCAGGAACTGTGTTCACACTACCGGGCTTTGCTTCGACAATGCCAACACTGGCTAGACAACCCTTCGAAGCCGCCACTTCGCGTGCGCGCACCATCATTTGGGCGAATGCATACAGGGCGTCTGCTCGATGTTCAAACGCGGTGGTTCCTGTGTGTGTATCTCGACCGATGACGTTGAGACGGAACCATCTGTAGGCCTGCACAGCTGTCACAACTCCAACTCGCTGGTTTGCCGACACCAGGTATGGGCCTTGCTCAATGTGAACCTCGAAGTGGGCGGCCATAGGCGTCGATTTGTATGAGCATGGGACATCACCCAAGTAACCAATCTTCTGTAGGGCGCTCTTCATGGTCTCTGGTGCTGATGCCGCTGTCGGCAGCGATGCTACCGTTGGCACTTCTTTGAGATTATGCGCATGCGCCAATGGAATACACTCAGCCCATACACCACTTGAGATCATGCTGATCGGGAATCGGGCGCCCTCCTCGCTGGAAACGATTAGCGGTATTCCTTTTTTTTTTTTTCAAGATTGGAAGTTGGGATCGTACTTGGTCCAGTCGACAACCCCAACTCCACCCTCCGTCTCCAGACCCATGTCATTCATAGTCTTGATGACTTCAATACCTGCCAATACACCCAGGATACCATCGTAACGCCCACCAGTCGGTTGTGTATCAAGATGACTTCCAATGAATGTGGCAGGTACATCCGCCCTCCGACCAGGACGAACAGCAAAGATATTACCCATCTCGTCCACAGTGACTTTGCACTTGAGGTCCTTCATGGTCTGAGTGAACCAATCACGGACACCCTTATCATCCTCTGAAAGCGCTAGACGCTGCATGCCGGTATCTGTAGGTCCACTATCAGGTCGCGGGGGCTTTTGTTAGCGATCGTTCTCTAGCGACCTTGGAAAGTATTGTTTTGTAGCTTACTTTCCCCATCTGATTCCAGAACCCCATTGACACGAGTGGTGAAGGTCATTGGCCAGGCGTTCCTTGTTAGCTCTGAGTGCAGAGACCTCGATCTCGGAGAGCTCCGTTGTCAACATAGCTTGTATTCGTGATGAAGAAAAGGTTCGAGTATGGTATAAAAAGCCAGGCTTGGCAGTTCGAAGACAGGTTCTTGGGAGAGTACGGAAAAAGTGAGAACAAGTCATAATGCAGCGTGCTATCGCTTTATAAAAGAAAGCTGGAGCGTTTGGAGTATGACCTTTGATAAGAAGTGGAGTGGGCGGACAAAAGTCCGCGATAGTCTGCGATAGTCCCCGGTTTACTTTCCCCGCAATATGGAGACATCGTCTTCTTCTCCAATCAACACACTTATTCTTTTGGGGTGACACATGTGTACTTCTAATTTTGATGCATCTTTTGTTGGGGAAATACTCGTAAATCTCACATATATTTGAATTGCCAGTATATTGTGGACCGTATACCCCGTCTCAGTCTGCTTTCTACCCGTTGAAGTATACAAGTATAGTGACCCCATGCTTGTTGGAGTCACCATCTTCGGTGTTGGGGTCAATCAGAACTCCATTCTTGGAATTAATCAGTTGCATCAAATGTTCAGGCAAAGCTACTATGGGATGGACGCAACTAGGAAAACATATGTGCACATAGTACCTAACTTGAAGGCGTACATACTTTATATAAAAGGTTATGTACATTTGTCTTGATTTCAGGCTTATCTCTGTGAGAAATTCCTACAATTGATTGAATGTATGAGCTGGGGCTATACTAAAGATAGCTACCCGTAGTGACATAGGGGCGCCTCTACTCAGTGGGATGTCTTGCTTCGAATGACAAGATCCACGTTAGCTGCCGGGCCCAAAACCATCTCCACATCGCCATCTCCCATCTCAAGATCGTCGTCTTCCATCTCTTGATCTTCAGCATTGGATGTGGTATCCTTCTCAAGGTGGGTGGGGTGGGTGGGGTGGGTGTCAGAAAGGAGGGAGGTGCTTGCAGCTGCGGGTGTCAGAGGGGCTTGCTCAGCAGCTCTCTTAGCAGCTTCTATTATCTGTTAGTATTGGATTCTACATCAGCGTCTGTAGCGATACATACTTTTTGCCTTTTTAGCCCGTTTCTTGCCTGGACGGTGTTGATTGCGCTTGCGCTTGGGTGGCAGGGTAGGGTCGCGCACCGGGGGAGGCGGGGGAGGCTATCATATACCCGAATATGGTAAGTCTAAGCCTCTAGGATAACTGCCACGAGAGATGGAATGGTCTACTTACGATCTCAATGCCCGCCTTGCGGAGACGGCGACGCTCCTTGCGCTGGTTCTTGTACTCCTGTGTCTTTCGCCTGTCATAGTATGCCTGGGAGTGCTTCCTCTTGTTCCTTTTCTTCTTCTGCGCGGGGCGCTCGGCTGCGTCCTCAATGGGCTCGACCTTGTCGGTCATGGCAATATCCTCAACGGCCTTGTCGGCCTCGTTGCGCTTCTCAGTGGTGTTTCCAGGCATGTTTGATAGAATTATGATAGGTAGGATGAAAGCGGAGATAAAAGTTGTGGAAGGAAGTGGGAGAGAAGTGAGGAGGGAGTGAGGAGGGAGTGAGGAGGAAGCGAGAGAGGAGTGAGGAGGGAGTGAGAGGGGGAGTGAGAGGAAAAACTGTCTACTCGCAAGGACTGGTTGATGATACGTGTGAGCAGCCTGTCTAGCCCAATGTGCTGTTTAATTTTACTATCCGGTCAATCCCAAACTACATAGAGAATTAACCAAATGTGTGTTTGTGTCACAATCGAAGGGACCAATGCTGCGCATGTAAAATATATAGATAGATAAAATATGAGGATGGGTCTTTTTGAGCGGGCTACAAAAGGGCTTCCTGTTTAAGAGTCCAACATGCTTTCCCCCTAGGCGGGAGGAAGAACTCCAACCAGACTGACTCGAAGTAAACACATAGATATGGGAATGGTTCCTTACCATATCATCAAGCCATATTCTGGCTCCCCATATATTGAAGACAAATATCACACCTCGACAAATATCACACCTCAGACAAATAAATTGACATGTGATCGATAGGTCCCAAGTCACGTTTATAGACGGTACGATACGACAGCATAGGCTCCATTTGTTTATAGAGAAACTGCGAGGAGCATTGAGCAAGGCATAGCTAGACAGATTTCTATGTAGATGTGTAGTGGAGTATGAGAACAGAATTTGGATTGTTGAAAAAAATAGGAGCTAAGACTACGAAAATCTGATATTTAATCTTTGGTCAAATATCACTATGAAATTAGAAGCAGTTAGCAAACCTAGTGGTCTGGAGGCAGAAAGAATAATGTGACGCCTTTAGTAACGTATCTATACACTCGAAGTTACACGACTTCCTATGGCCTTCCTTATATAACTTGCGAGTTTACTTTCTATCTGATTGTTACACTTCTAGATATCTCTCACTTTAGACATCTCACTCTAGTGAGTATGTAAGTAATAAGGAATGGTCCATTTATTATATAGTGACATACAGACGCTCAATAAAATAGCAGTAAGACAGCAGATACCTACAATTTGTATGCAAACCCTATACAAAATTAAGTCACTTTTGTCCCATACACTAGATCAAACAAATTGATAATTTAATTCTGGTTTACACCTATTAATCTGCCTTCTTCTATCCCGTTTATCCACCGATTTCTCTATCAATTTCATCGTTAACACCGTTAATATGGCCTCCCTAGGCCTCAAATACCTGCTTTCTGACTCGGATTCCGGGCCAGAGATCGTCACCGAGTCTCCACCGGTGGTACCAAGCCAGTACAGCCAGCCAATCACCGATCCACCCAGCGAGATCCCTCTGGATTCGAATACGTACTTACGCAGGAACGAGGACAAGGATGAGGTCGGGAACCGGACGCGGAGCGAGTACACCTATCACTGAGGGCGCTGGGGAGAGCAATACTACCGAGACCGGAGGACGGGGATATAGTCGTGGTCGAGGACGTAGACGTGGAGGAAAACGCGCGTGGAGCATTGCCTGAGAAGTACATAATCAATTTGCAGAGTAGGTCAATGCAGTGACCAATGAAATAGACGATTTTTTCTGATCAAAATGCTGGGCTTTTTACTACTTACAGAATTACTATGGTGATGGCAGAATATATGGCAGTATAGAATAGAGCGGCAGAATATATGGCAGAATCATTGGCTGCACCAAATTAGGAAGGCGGTACATAAAAACCAGGCAGGTGGCCGTATCAATCCCCTATATCTATATGGAGTACTACTTCACTTTCTGTTACAATTTTATAAAATTTTATTTTATATAAACACATCTGAAAGCCGCATTTTTACGTGTATTTCAGTAGGATATCTCTATGTAATTAATTTTACCTCTGTATTAGGGACCGCGTTTTCTAGGTCTATCGGGATTAGAGACCTGATACCCTTGCTAATCGTGCAACTGGTATACAGCGCTCTCGCGGTGTATGGGCCTAATTTTGTCCGAGGCATCCATTTGACCTTTGGATGACTAAAATACTGCACGGCAATATTATCCAATGAGAGAGTTAAGTTCCGATGGCATACTTAGTCACGTCGATCATCATGTGGGTACCCGTGCCCTAAGTTGATCTGCATCCCGGGACTGTGAAATGAAATGCATCTACAAAGTACAGCTTATAGTAGTATAGGAGTACCCCCACTATCTATACCCCAGATATCTATATAGCTAAGGCTTCCAAATGTTACTTTAGTCATAACGGAATACGGACGAATAAATGAATGAGAACAGCAAAGAAAGATGTATTAGGGACTGATCCCCTTAATGGGGATGTATGAGGTAACCCTATCTCCCACAACAAAGAAAGAGAGACACTCATTGTTCAGTCAAAGAGCCCCTCGGATGGCCAGTCCAAGGGGCCCTCGAGCTCATCAAACAGACCCAAAGGGTCCACGGGGTCCCAGACCTGTTCATCTCCAGGCTCGGTGACTTCCTTGTGAGAAGAGGAAGGCTTGTTGATGGTGGGTGCACGAGCGGGAGAAGGAGAGGGCGCAGCAACAGACGGAGACACAGCAGCGGGCAATGCCACAGTTGCGGGCAACAAAGGAGGAGAGGTGGGAGCAGGGGGAGAGGGCCGAGCAGCGGGCGAGGGGCAAGCAGTGGACGAGGAGGAGGCAGCCGGCGACGAGACAGCAGCGGGGTCCAAATCAGCGGGGGCGGCAGTAGTGGAGGAAGACTCAGCGGCAGCAGCAGCTTCTGCCTCTTTTAGGTCATTAGTATTCACTCAGCGTCAAGTCTTAGTAAGGGACACACTTCTCTTCTTGGCCCTTTTCTTGCCGGGCCGGCGCTGATTACGTTTCCGCTTGGGAGGCAGATCGGGGGGCCGGACTCCCTGCACAACAGGCGGCTATATTAATCCAAATGTTAATTCAGGTCAAATTATACGTAGCAAACGTAGGCAAGGTAAGGGAAGATATCAAGCATCCCGAAAACTGGAAACAGCAAAGAGACTCGACAAGTTGAGACTAAAGGAGACACGAGTACTTACGACATCAATTCCTTGGTCCCTCAACATGCGGCGGAAGCTGGGGTTCCGCTTCTTCTTTGTAATTGGGGTTTCCCCTGGCGGCGAAGGAGGAGGTTGTTCCATATTTTTGATTATGGAATGGCGGTTGAAATTGACAAAAAGATGGGAAGATAGAGGAGAAGAAAAGAGAAAGAGAAATTCTCTACGCGTGGGAAGTTTTAAATTATGAGCAGCTTCCTCGTTGGGGACCTGTTGACTATGTACACGTGTGGGAGACTCTTCATGTGACTGACGCCTGTCTTTCCAATTAAGGGCCGTTTGTATCCCACAGAGACCACCCAGCTATCGCTTCAGCTGCAAGTCATAGTCCACAAGAACAAGAATAGCCGACTGCTTATGCGGACTCTGTCCTTGACGACTTGAATATATCTAGAGGAAGATAATGTTTAGGACGTTATATGTAAATGATGCTTCTGGACCTTCTGTTTGGATGTATATCAAGTTGATATAAAATAGAAATTTAGCAGATGACTGTTCTATGTATAATCTTTAGTTTGAAGCATCCGTCTACCTTGAATATTGGGTGCTGTAGTCTCTATAGCTCTCTGCTATCGTTTTAAACCATCAATCTCAACTCTCACCTCAACATACGTATGTTGTTTGCTTGCTTTCTACCCATTCTCGTGGTCTGGCATCCCAACTCAGAGAAACAGGATTTTCTCTGCAGATATTATCAGATGCCATCATACGTAGGTAGGAGAGAACACGCTGCCAACTAAAGAAAGTTTATCCTCATGTTTGTATCTATCTATATATCTTACGTGTATAGCATAGGGCTCCCCGATTGTGACGCGCATATTGTTGATTTCCAAGTAGTTTAGGAGGATCAACCGTTCCTTGCAAGTGGACAATTTTTTATCTCCCTCTTCTCCCACTTCTCTCACTTCCGTCTCCCTTATCTTTCTCCCACTTCCTCCCAAAAATTCCATCTCCACTTTCAATACCAGCTATTAAGGTTCTATCAAGTCAGGTCCCTGAAATGACTGGAAACTTCACTGAGAAGGACAGCGAGGCCAAAAAGGCCGTTAAAGATACTGCCATGACCAACGAGGTTGAGCACACCGAGGACGCAGCCGAGGGCCCCGCGCAGAAGAAGAAAAAGAAGAGAAGGCACTCTGAGGCATACTATGACCAGCGAAACACACAAGATAACAAGGATCAGCGCAAGGAGTGTAGTCGTCTCCGAAAGGACAGCATTGAGGCCGTAAGTAGACCATTCCATCTCTCGCGATATTTATCTTGGAGGCTCATGCTAACGATATTTAGGTATGTAATAGCCTCCCCCGCGTGCGATGTCCAACTACCAAATAGAAGCCGCTGCCGAAGCCGTCAAGGTAGCCTCCCAGCAAGTCTCAGAGCTCCCCTCAGATGAAACACCCTCCTCCTCGCCGCCACCAATACCCATCCCACAGATCTCGAAGAGAATATCAAGTCCAATGATAAGAATGAAGGCATACGCAAGGATAATTTCGAGATTGGTTTGGGCTCGGCCACCATGAATCTTGTCTTTCGGGGCGAGATATCCGGTCGAGTACACATTGATGGAGGCTCTCTCAACCACCACGGCTTTCCATCCCTAGTATCGACTCAGCCCATGCGTTTAATCAAATTTAGTACTTCTCAAAAGCGTCTGTCTATCAATTGTTTCTGCTCAAAGTCTAGTTATCTAGCGAGTCTACTGTGTGGCCGCGTGATCAGTCCTAGAGCTTGTTCCAGATATCTTAACTCTTTGTGTCGTCCCTCGGCTATCTATACACTAAAAAGTGATACATAAATTACACACTCACTAGAGTGAGAGGGATCTGAAGTGAGAGGGATCTAGGAGTGTAAATATCAGACAGGAAGTAAATTGAGTTGTATAAGAGAGTCCATAGGCTGCGAGTGGAGAGTCATAAAGAATTATCTATTAAGTATCTACCACTATTACTTTTGCCTCGAAAATGAATGCAAAAGCGGGAAAAGGACTGAAAGGTGAGAAAGGAAGGGGAAGGAAAAAAAAGAGGGACAAACCCAGCCTCAAGAGTGCGAAGTTCTTGGCAGCGACTCGCGGTCCTCGGGATTCGAACCCATGCTTGCGACCTAGAGAGGTAGTCTAGAGCGGGTATGGCTCATTGTCGAGTTACCAACTAGGCCACTGGGTTTCGCTGAATATTGATAAGATGACTGTGGTATTTAGCCAGTCCCCATAACCTGCCTGTTTTGTCCTAGGCAGCGATTACAATAGTATTTTGCTTCTCACTTCTTCCTTTGATGATGCCGTACAGAATGCAATCATGGTCTAGAAATTATAATACACCAAAGAACATACATGTGTAGTTTATTTCCGTCGGGGTTGACCAACACCTCGTGTTCTGTTCATGAAAACAAGATATATTTGTGAGATCTTCCTCAGTAGTTCCCATGATAGAGAGCTATAAACGTGTGAATAACGGCCTCTCACCGTGCCATACTGAAGATTTACCAAGAATAACTAGCCTTTGAACAGAGAGGATGAATAGTAGATAGCTGTTGTAAAAGAATTCGAAACTTGATTGAAATCTGAGGCTACTATGCTCAAGGTAGCGAGCTGTGGTGACATGGGTTAGCCTCCACTTAGCAGGAGGTCTTTTCCCGAAGGACGAGATTCATGATGACCGCCGGGCCTAGATCCATCTCAACATCATCATTATCATTCTCCATATCGGCATCTTCCATATCCTCATCTTCAGTCTGAGATACGATGCGCGTCTCAAGATCCTTGGGCTGAGTGTCGGAGGTGGGGGAGGTGCTTGCAGCTGCGGGTGTCTCCGGGGCTTCCTCGGCCTCCTTCTTGGCGGCTTCTGCGGCAGCTTCTATTAGCCGTTAGTATTAGGTTTGGCATCAACATTCTCTCAACACATACTCTTTGCCTTGTTGGCCCTTCTACGACCGGGGCGCCGGTACGGCCGCTTGGCCTTTGGAGGGAGGGCAGGGTCTCGCACGCGGCGAGGGGGGGGGGGGGGGGGGGGGGTGGCTATCATATACGCGAATATTGTTAGTCTAAACTTTCAAGATAACTGCCATAAGAGATGGAATGTACTTACAACTTCAATTCCTGCCTCGCGGAGACGACGGCGCTCCTGGCGCTGGTCTTTGTATTCCTGCGTTCTCCTCCGGGCATAGTAGGCCTGCGAGTGTTTCTTCTTCTTCTTCTGTTGCACAGGACCCTTGGCTCCGTCCTCAGTGGGCTTGACTTCATCGGTCATGGCGGTATCTTCAATGGCCTTGTTGGCCTGATTGCCCTTGTCAGCGATGTTTTCATTCATCTTGTGAATTTGATTTGATGGAATAATGATGTTTAAGATGAGAGTAAGATGAAGGTTGTGAAAGGCGAGAAAGAAGTGAGAGGAGAACTTGTCTACTGGGAGCAACCCGTCTCGCTCAATTTGCTGTCTAAATTTGCTACCCCGTCACGCTCAACTAGAAAATCAACATACTCGTCATGAGCAAAGAGCCCAACTTGACATGTAAATGATATAAATAAATATAGATATAAGGACAAGGTCTTATGTTCCTATGTTTGAGTAGCAGGTCTCCATATTGGCAACGCTTGCAATACATGGTTTGTAGGCAGGGAAGTTAGTTAAATATCACAATCAATTTAACAGTAATTAGCGAAACCCAGTGGCCTAGTTGGTAACTCGACAATGAGCCATACCCGCTCTAGACTATCTCTCTAGGTTGCAAGCATGGGTTCGAATCCCGAGGACCGCGAGTCGCTGCCAAGAACTTCGCACTCTTGAGGCTGGGTTTGTCTCTCTTTTTTTTTTTCTTCTCTTCTTTGCTTAATCTGTTTCCCTTCTATTCTCCTATTAGTTCTCCGAGTATATATGTGAGGTGTCACATTTTGATTCAACAGCAAGTTTGCACGCTCGAGTGAGGCATTGATTTTATATCCACGATATAAAGATAGGTCTCATAACGCACAGAAACTACGATGCGAGTGAGCCAGCTGAAGGCTTGAAGTAAGGAGTAAACATTTACACTCATTTTAATGATATTGATCCTGACTCAACTACCAAAAGAGCTTCCTGTTTAAGCAAACAGGTTGTCCTCCTGGGTGGCATGAACAACTCCAACCAGACTATTTTAGCCTATACCCATATATGTGGAATTGAGTAATTTCACACAAATCATGGTCATAGGGCCGTTCTTTTAATTTTCCATATGCTAAAAAGAAACATTCTACATACTGCTCCAGTGAGGGATACCAAATAGAGGATCACGTGATAGATATGCCCTAAGTCGCGTTTATTAGCATTTGACAGTATAGTTTTGGTTTTTTGCTTTTTTTAAACTCACAAGAAGCATTGAGTGCGGCCAAAGTAGGCATATATTGAGTTGCATGGTGGAACGTGAGAATGGATCTTGGGTTGTTGAAGAAACTAGAAGCTAAGACTGTGAGAATCTGACAAGCTTCTCTTGGTCAAATACCACAGTCAAGTTATCAGTAGTTAGCGAAACCCAGTGGCCTAGTTGGTAACTCGACAATGAGCCATGCCCGCTCTAGACTACCTCTCTAGGTCGCAAGCATGGGTTCGAATCCCGAGGACCGCGAGTCGCTGCCAAGAACTTCGCACTCTTGAGGCTGGGTTTGTCCCTCTTTTTTTTTTTTTCCTCCTTTAGCTTTCATTTATCTTGTTCAGGTTTTATATCTCAGGATTCTTTAGCAAGATCAGATTCATAACTCTGAACCCGATCTGGAGCTATGAAAGTTTTGTTCCCGACAGTTTTGTATGTATTCTGCCAATCCTGAGCAGGCCATGATGATAGCACGAAGCTGATCTGCTCATTTTTGTGACATAACAGAACTCTTGATCTTGGTCCCAGCCCTATCATGGTGTCATAGACTTAGAAACACCCCATGAAGCCTAGATATTGGACCTTGGATCCCCCGAACAAAGCCAGATACTCGAACTGGGCTGAGTGTCCAGAACTTGAATGCGGACCAGATAGTTGGCATATGAAAACCCAGCTAAGTTCCAACGTCTTTGATAAAATTTGGTTGTTAACTGATGGATTTGGAAGTGGTAGGATTAGATGAGAGAGTATAGAAATGAAAGAAGAAGGGATAGAGAGAGCAAACACGAGCAAACGAGCCAGACTGGGCTTTGTTTACGCGTTTCTTACGCGCTACTCTTCTGCTCTTCGTTTACAACCCAAGAAAATGGATGTCACATGCATTGTATGAATTTCTCACGGAGATAAGCCTGAAATCAAGACAAATCTACATAACCTTTTATAGAAAGTATGTACGCTTTCAAGTTAGGTAATATGTGCACATATGCTTTCAAAGTTGCATCCATCCCATAGTAGCTTTGCCTGAACATTTGACGCAACTGATTAATTCCAAGAATGGAGTTCTGATTGATCGTATACGCTATGAAGGCGGTGTATACAGTTATAAGGCGGTGTGGAGAGCGGTATATGCAAACCTAAAAAGTCAGGCAGGTGGCTGTATCAATCCCTTAGATATATACGGAGTATGTGTATCTATATCTCACTAATACTTCAAACCCACTATAAAAACTACTACCAAAACTACTACCAAAGCGGTGAAATTGACGGTGAGACAGTATCCAATGACAGAGTTAAGTTCCGATGGCATACTTAGTCGCCCGTACCAGGGTCTCAGTAGTCTTACAGGGATATGAATGAGGACAAAAATAAACGAATTAAGTTTATTGAACTAAATTCGAGACTGAACCCAAGCCTTTATTTCGCTGCAAGACTAACATCGACAAAAAAACCCCCACAAATACCCCTGTCCCTTAACAAAGTGTGGCTGTATGCGGCCCAGTCGTTTCCGATCACGTGGATTCGCCTCAACCTCAACCAGTGGTCGACAAACAATTTTTTCCGAGGGGCAAATAAATCGGCCGCATTATATCAATCGAAGATTATACACTGTACGCACTCCGTATACCCTGCCTCGAAGTGTAGGTGGTCAATCCCCGAGCACGAAACGCATATCGCAACATTCAAAGGCCGATAAACCCCCGACCACATTCCCATCAAAGGAACGCAGATCAACGACCTTATACATCCCATTATACTTTGTATACACCCAAAGACCCCGTCGCCCTTGTCCACCGAGTCCAGAATAAGAATGTTTGAAGACTTCTCCTTCACATCGCCCTCGTCGCGACCCGGTCGTCTCGCCCTCGACGCCGACGACCGACTAATGGTCGACAGCGACAGCAACCTAATCTCCCCACTCTCCTCACGCTGTCCATCACCGCAATCGCAACGCTTCCGCAACATCTCCCGCTCACGCTCCCACTTTCACCGAAGCCAACAACCTCCAACATCCGTCCCTTTCCCCTATGACTCAGACTCCAAACGACTATCCATCTCAACCCTAACCCAAAAACTACACGAACACACCCTGTCCACCCCAAGCGATCCCCAACACACCCACACCCATCGAGACGGCATATACACATCAGGAAGACACACTCCCGGGCGTCGGCACCTAGGCCACGGCTACGTCCTCACGCCCCCAGATACAGACCACTCCGACGACTCCTGCGTCGGCGACTATCTCTCCTCACCCTCGGTCTCGTCAACAACAAGCCCGACCTTCAATCCCCCCGAAGACCTACTCTCTGACCTACCCGATTTCGGCCTCGGACACCCGTTCTACCCAGAGCCGCAGCCGCATGCATACCACCAAGACGTGCGCATGCAGCGGCAGCAGATCTCCAGGCTGCAATGTAACGAGACCGAGGTCGAGGCTATGCAGCGCTCGCTTTTAGATGAGCCGTCTCCTGTCTCCACGTCGGACTTCCGCGACGAAGACGATTGTCATCCTAGTTCGTTGCCGCCGCGGTCGTCGCCAAGGAGGAGGGGCGGTTACGCTTGCGCGCAGTCGGTTTGGGCCGGAGGGAGGTGTTGAGTGGAGACGGAGGAAGAGTTCTTCTGGGGCTGTTTTGGCGAGTCGGGTTGAGAAGAGTCATTATGCTTTTGCGGGGAAGAGGAATGAGCCGGGGCTTAGGAGGAAGAGTCTTGTCAGTGCGGCTTTGGCTTCGATGGTTGAGAACGATGATGACTGAGGTTGGGTTGGATTATGGTTAAGGTTAAGGTTGGTGGTGGTCGTGTTGGATTGATTCCATGGATTGGAGTCTGTATATACTCGAATTGATACCCGTATAGAACGAAAGAAAGAAATATACAACTTGAGATGATTAATGCCTATGCGTACAGAAGTTGTAGATTGATCTAGTCTTCTGACATATTCCTCAGTTGTAATAGTATATTCCCCTTCCTACACTGATTCATTGTGGTCGTGATTGTGGTTTTTTATGAATTCTTGTTATCAGCATTATCAATTTACAAAGACTGCTATTCCAAAATACAATTGATGAGTTAAGATAGTAGTTTAGATAGTTGAAAATAACCGGAATGTTGACATTCATCAAGTTAAAATTGATATGGATACAATGTGAGTCTCAGACCCACATAGAAGAAGTAATAAAAGTAATAAAAAGGACAAGGTAGAAAATGTCACCGAATAAGAACAAAAGAAAAGAATCAAGACCTTTGTTCCGGACAGTATTGGGAGCATGAATCCATGGATGCTCTCTTCCAGACTGGTCACGTCATGAATGACCTCAGTAGTCATGTTGATATCAATCCAACAGCTTTGGCCTTCTCCATGATGGCAAAAAATATCAAGATGGGGGGAAATAAAAGGAGTAAATAACATAAAGAGGATAAAAGATGAAAAAGAAGATGAAGAAAAAGAGGTGTTTCCATCACCGTATCCAGCCAATCCATCCAACACAACACCCAAGCGCCACGCTCTTCGCAATAATGATGGGGATAAATCATAATGGAATTCACGATCCAAAAGTCGCTCACACAGAGCCAGCTGCCGATTCCCAGAATCCTAGGAAATAGACAAAGTTCGCAGAACTTGCCTAATGCCCAGACTTCCAACTAAAGAACTTCCTCAAGCCCTTCTTGTGCGCCCCAGATTTCCGCTCATCACTCTTTCTCCGCTGGAACTCGAAACGCGGACTGGTCTCGCCAGACCGCACCGCCTGTCGCTGCAGCTCATCCAGTGCGCGTGCAGGACTACCCCGTAACCCCATAGTCTCAGCGTTCGCAGCTGCGAGGACGGACTGAACGTGTGGGTCGAGATACATCGGGTCATAGGTGTAGGGATCGAACGGAGCGGAGTATTGTGGGAGTTTGGGAGTGGACATAGAGGTTGGGTAGGGGTATGCAGAGTCAAAGGGATGGTACATGGGTGAGTGCATGGGCGAGCCACTTGGGGTGTCGAGAGGGCTTTCGCGGGGCGTTGGTAGTTCTTCATTGTCTCGTGAGAATGAGAAGTCGTGGTGATCGGGTTGTTCGCCTTCATGGTCGAATAGGATGCCTCTGTCACGCTCGTCCACTTGGGCCCATTCGCCGTTTGCGTAGACAGGTGAGCCCGGCTCGCCGATGTCACTTTCTGTAAAGAAGGTCTGCGTTGATGGGGTATAGGGTCGGCGAGAGAAGGATAGGTTTGGGAGGTTGGATTCTTCTGTTATAGCGGCCATGTTTGTTGATTGCGGGGACTCTCTGTCGCTGTTTGGGTGGCTGTTATATGTATCGATGCGCAGATCGCTGTTTTCAGGGTGCTGTACATGTCGGTTCCAGTAGTTGAAGCTTTGTTCAGTGAGGGAGTAGTCTGATAGAGACCTGATACGTTCATGTATTTGCGGCGAGGACGACGGGACGTCCGTTGGCTGAGCTTTCGAGATTGAGGGATCGCCTGCATAGGAGGTATACAACGAGTTGGAGTAGAATGATGGCACCGAGGCATCGGTGAATTGGGACAGGGACGCCCGGTCCAGTCCTTGCTCAAGGGAGAAAGTAGAGTCTCGGTGGTTGTCCGAGGAGATCGTGGAGCAATTATCGACATCCTCAATATATGAGACGATGCGTGCTAGGTCCAGCGACTTGCGCGGATTCAAGATCTCAAAGCAGGCGCCACCGTATGTGACGGTGGCAACGGCCTGCGTCCTGGCCAGCATTGAGTCCTCGGTTTGAGGTTTGGAAGCACGCTCAGCTTCTTCCGCTTGAGCCTGGGCCTTTTGTTGAAGTTTTTGACGAAAGGTATTCTGCAACTTTATCTCAGTGAGCTGGGTTTTTATATTATGGTGTTTCATAACTTACGGCTCGCTTCCTATTAGGTCTAGCACGAGTCCCGAGATCCGAGGCGGCAGGTAGTCGTGGACTTTGCGTGGATTGGTACTGAACTACTGAAGTGTCAATGAAGGTTCCCGAAGCTCCGACTGAAGATAGTGCATTTGGAGAGAAACTTACCAGTCTGAGCTTCTCCGATCTCAGCCTCTTCACTCTGGTGAGAGACAACGCTGTGCGAGTAAGAAGGAGAGAGCGGCGGAGGACTCGAGGCCAAGGACGATACAGACACAGGATAAGAAATGGGAAGAGCGGATGGGCGATTCAAATGCAATGCGGCTGTTTTTCTTTTTAATTTCCTTCCTGTATGATCGACAGGATCGCCACTGCTGTCTGCAGATTCGGAGAGGAATTTGTGGTAATCGTGGATAGAAAGCGCCCCCGTGATACGAGATTTGATGGATCGAGGGGGGAGGGACAAAGCGTCTGTTGAGTCTGCCAAAAGGGGTTTGGAAAGAGGAGTAGTACATGCATGATTGTCATGGAGTTCGAGGCATTTGTGACAGATGGGGCTGTCCAGCAGCTCGCCATGCCATGTGCTATTGGCAGCGGAATAATTGAGGTTTTCGCTCATCTTGCGTCTGCAATTGCGAAGATCACTATTTTTTCGCGTTTGCCTTCTAGAAGTCCTGCTTCTTGACGTTGTTCTGTTCTCGGACCACTTTTTAGATTGTCGACATATCCGATACAGTAGATCGAAACCCACTTCTCCACACTGAATTTGATTCGTCAGATTTACGCCGCAAGGGATGGAGGGAGATAGGCTTACCGGTCGCAAACAGATGAATAGATCACAACAAACAAAAACTGCAAGGTACAGTAGTGCAGGAAGAGTAATTTTATGTTGAAATGAGAAAATGGAATTAAGAAAATAGAAATGAGCAGGGAATGTGCCTGGATCTGTAGTATATCCACCTGATCACCCACGTTATCCATTTGGAATCTAACCAGTCGAACCAGTCGAACTAGTTAAATTCAGTGCCGAATAGGCCGGTCCAATTAGGGGCCATAAGAAGAAGAGAAAGAAAGAGAACTGCCTTGGAAGTGGTGGGAGGTCGAGACCATAAGAGGAACCCGCCCATGGTTCGTCTTGGTCAACGTCATGAAAAGTTGGCCTGAACGAACATGGCCATTATACATTATAGAAAGACTATAATGGGATACTCTACGGAGTATTTATTATAGTAGTTATTATAAGTTCATCTATAGTAATTGTCGAAAGATAATAGGATTGTGCCCAAAATCACTTGCAGATGATCTCAGCCTCGATCTACATGTTAGTTCTCTCTTTAGTGTCCACCGTCCCGTCATCATCTCCAACCAATCATCCACACCAAACCCCAATCTTCACCAACACGCCTCTCAAAGTCCAGAACCAGTCAGCGTACAGAACAAACTCGTGTCTTAGCTCACGGCTGAGGGCAAAAAACCAGACCTTTGGGCTGCGGCGCCGCTAACAACCATGATTGGCTATCCAGTTGAAATTCGAATGTGGCAATTGTAAAGAATTTTTCTTACCTTCTCCACTGCCAACATCATGACTTGGTCACTCGTGTCGGACTTCCTGACGAGTGGATCCTTCAACGGTAATCTTCGGTATGTACGGGGCAGTTGTACATTTGCAATGATGCACCGTTGATGCAGTCCGCAAGGGGGAGTTTCTATTGGATCATGTGATCCGGTGCAATGGTTCATGATTCAAGGCATTTGCATTTCCGACTTTCGGCTGTTGAATTGTACGGGGAATCCATGGATGCTTTACTTTGTACTCTTCTATCCATGGTCGGGCATCTCGTACCTGAAAGAAACAAGGCATACATGCAGATATGTACTTTGTACTTTGTACACACGTACTCCATACAGATCGGCATGCTAGCTCATCTGGAGTTAATCCAAGTCATCTGCCTTGCAATACGACTGCAACCCCCAGATTTGTGTTTCACATGCTTGATGCACTATGCAATTTAAAACGGCTTCCTGCCTCGTTGCCCCAGGCTAATCATCGGACCTTATTTCGCATTAAGGCTGTGGGCTTCATTGGTAGTACAGAGGCTCCCAAATGGGTAACAATTGCCCGAAGGAGTCCTCCGTAAACCCAGATGGACTAGGAACTGCGATCGACATGGATTTTCCCAACGTTTTTCTTCTGGTTCTCGGTGGATCCGTGCTTTGTATGTAGAAATAGATCTCGTGGATAAAGATCCCGCTTTATTCAAAACAAACTCCCCAGGTCATGCAGACTGAAGCTAAAAATGACTTGAAGTATCAAAATGAAAATGCAAGAGCAATTTAAGATCATAATGCGGTCGTGGTATGGTATCAAACTGATGAAGCAATGAGGGGAGAAAAAATGGGGAAAATGGGCTCCCAAAATGAGAAATTCCAAAACAAAATCAAAGACAAAACAAAAGAAAAGAAAAAGGGACTACTATGCTTGTATGTACGAAGTATGCAAGGGCCAAGCCCGTAGACCTCAGCCAGCGCACTCTCAGTACCGTTTATACTTCTAAAAAAGAGTCAGCCACAGCCACACCCAAAACAGTATTTATCGAAAACAACTTACATCTTCCATCTTGCGCCGATTACTCGGGTCAAGGGTATTCCCCGCGCCAAGCAGAGTCTGTCCTACAGCCTTGGACACCCCGATAGCGGGTCGGAGGATGACAGTGGGCGCACGCCTCCAGACTGCCTTTGCCGCAGCCTTGGCACTCCCACTCTCAACCACCTCGCCAGGTACGGCAACAATCGCATCGCGAGCCAAGAGCAGGTCACGTTCGAGGCCGCTAAACGCCCCACGCAGTCCCTGTACCACCCCAACCGGCTGGTCAGCATACAGCGAGATCTTCTTGGCTTCGTCCTCGTCGAGGGAATCGTCGTCGAAGGCAGGTGCGTTGGGTGCAGTCAGGAGGTCCTCTGCGCCTTGGAGGACAGTTTGCGTTCCGATGGCGAGTTTTGCACCGAGTTTGACCAGCTCGTTGGAGGTTGTCTTGGCGAATGCTAGGGCGCCCTTTTGAATGCTGCGCACAATTCGGCCGTCCTTTCTGTATTCTCGCATTGGGACGACGACCAGGTCGCGCACGCCACCGCCGACGTTGACCAAGGAGCGGAGTGGCGCGAGACCGGCGAGCACACCGGGAAGTTGGTTTTTCTTGACATCCGGCATCCAGATATCGTTCAGACTTTGGCCCAATCGGTCGAATCCGGACACTCCGTAGATGATCACATGTCGTAGCACCATGTCGGCGCCATCCAGGATGAAGAAGTTCATGAACTCAGTTGTGCGGCCTGACCGGAGTCCTGCGTAGTCGACCCGCTTAGGCTTGAAGTCTAATTTGACTTGTACGGCGTTTATCTCTACTCGCTGCAAGAATGGAATATCGCCCGGGGTATCAGCTGGTTGGGCAGTCTCGTCTCTAAACTCGAAGAATCGACTCATGAAGTCGAGGGCATCTTGGTCAACATGCAACCGGAGGGGTAGAACGGTGGCCTAAAATCAAGTTAGCAACTAATTCAAATAATTGATGACTGGGTAACAAACCTTAAGGACAATCTCCGATGCAGCTAGCTCAGGAACAGGCCTCACAATCAGAATTTCAAGGTGAACCATGCTTGTTCCGCTCTCTTTTTCGCCAGCCTCTCGCATGTAGGTTGCGAACTTCTTCCATGTGGATGTCGGAACATGATCATAGATTTCGAGATCCTTGACCCGCACATCCAATGAGCTCTGCGTCTCTTCAGTGCCTGGTGGGAAGATAATCAGATCGGCAGAGACACCCTTCAACTCGAACGTCATTTTGTGGTGTTTGCTCCGATGCAGGCGCAATTTCTTCTCCCTCCTAGTTGACGGGCCCTGGCGACCTCCAGCCCCAGTGACAGTAGTGGTTGTTGCGTAGCTCCCGGTCTCGCTAGTGAAATCATCGATGTCATGATTGATCTCGCGGTGAAGTTCCCGTGGATCCTTGTTTGCTGGAATACCGATGTAAATGGAGTTGAAGAGGAAATCGCCAATGACAGACTCCTCTTCATCTTCTGCCGCAGGTGACACCCGTGAGCCCCTGGAACGGCGCTCTGTGGCCTTGGTTTCCACATCCTTGACAGCTCTGGATATTGTATCACGGGTGCGCTGCCAGTCATATCCATCAAAGAGATTCCAAATGAAATGTACGTCTCGCACGCGCACGCGCAAAGGACTCCGCTCCAGCTTCGTGTCATTGGTGAGGCCGTAGGTGTTCTGGGTAGAGTCCCACCGATGAGCGGTTCCACCCACAGCTGATTTCTTTGCGAAATGATTCTCCTGGAAGTCCAATTCCGTCATGCTAGAAGAGACTTGGTATTGGGAATGGAAGCTGTCTAGCATATCATTGAAACCCACTTCCATGCCTTCAACACCCACACCACCAAGGCCGCCCTTTATGGGATAGAAATCGCTGACGTACTCAAGTTCGTCAGTCAGCTGATCTTCCCTGGATGATCCTTCAGAAATAGTTGCCAGACCACTATCATTGGGAAGAGTGGGATCAGCCGCAAATGCATCCCCGGTAAACGAGGCAAACATATCTTGGATGGGCATGACCTCTGTTCGGTATTTGACATTGACGTTCGGTGGAGTTGGAGGCTGAAGCCCATTCATGATGGTGATAAGCGTCTGAGTTGAATCCGCGCAGGTCTCAAGTATCAATAGGTCATCTCTCAGCTCTACGTCCAAAGACTTTGTCCCATCCTCGGAGCTGGTGAGCTTGACACCAGCAGTTGCCGCTGAAATGGAAGAAACAGGAACATAGCCTTTATCAATATACGCTTGGGCCTGGGTGTCTTGAGGAGCGGCCGAGCCCCGTTGATGCAAGTTATAAGAGCCTTCATGCCACACGTTGTCGATGATCATGAGCGAGGCTTTCCTGATATCCAACGATGCTTCGGCAGACTCCTCTCCGTGCATACTTCCTTCAAATTTGGCATTGGTGAGGACAGCAAGGCCCTTTGCGGGAGAATTGCGAGGGTTGAGGCCAATAACGCAGTCTCTAAACACAACTGCCATTTTGACTGGCTTTGGCGAGGAGCCGGATTCATTCGACATCGATCGCCCTGTCATCAAAGGTGATGGCATTGAGTGCTCTGCAAGATTGGCAATAGAGTTGACCATACTACTGGCCAAATCCCCGCTCGTCTTGTCGCCACCCAATCCAAGGAAGGCCGTGACTGATGGTACTGTGTACTCGACAAGGAGGTTGTGCAGTTTGATCTTGTAGGTAGGATCCATCTCATCGGGTATGAAACGAGCCATGAGTACCGGTGGGTAGGACTCATCTGATTCTTGATATTTGTTCGGTGGCCACAGGGCATGGCCCACCAGCTCTTCGTCGTCATTCCGACTAACGATCATCGTTCCAATTTGGGCCGCAGTAAGCGAAGGCATGGTGATGTGTGCAACTTCAACATTGCTAAATTGACATTTGATGTCCCCAACTTCCCCGCCAACGTGGAACTGTCCTTCAAAGTCACGGACTAACACTAAAGTAAGAATACCAGGGCGATCATCTTCCGGCAAATACTTGGTGACATTGGAAAGCCGACTCAGCTCGACAGCAAGAGACGAGAGAGGCTCGAGCCCACAGGTGTCTGAAATGAATGTTTCCAAGCGCCCCACTGTCACACGAAGCACAGATCCTTGTCGTCGCTGGCGCAACAGTGTGTCTAGCATGATATCATCTTCCACTTCGAATTTGTCCTGGGACGGGGTAATCAATGTCAAAAGACGATCAAGATCAACCTCCTTCGGGGCAAAGAGGAACTCAAGGCGGATGTTGTTCAGCGTGATTTTGGCGGGAGCATCAGATAAATTATCATCAATTGAAAGCGGTCCAATCATTTTCGCCTTGTCTATTTGAATGCCAATTCCTTCAAACCTGCTGACAATTTTGACAGCGCTCGTGGAAAGTTGAAGACAATGAGTTTCACCATTAACATCCAACACAATCGCACCGATTCGGGCATTGACCTTCCATAAGACTCCCGTGCCCTTGGCCGTGTCAGCAGCTGGGGCGGGTGTCTCAAAATGCACACCACGGGGGCGCTGTTTGGAAGGTGGTGGGCAGCCTTTGACTGTTGACACGGACGAAATGGAAATTCCAAGTTCGAGAATGGTGCTCAGGCCACCCATCCAGCCTAGGACCTCTTCCAGACGCTGTATATTGAGATTGATGTGGAGAGGCAGCGTGGAGATGTCAACCTTGGCCAGATCTGCTGACTTGACCAATGAGATGGAAATATCTCCTTGCGAATGGAATGGAACATCACGCACAGATTCACGCAGCTTAAATGTTTCATCAAAGAATATGATATCCTCTGAGGCGAACCCAAATGCAAATCGGGACACGTCAAGGTTCAGCTTGGTAGTTGCACTTTGAGCTGAAAGGCGAGCATCCAGACCAGATAGAGTAAGACGAAGAATTACATCTTCCATGGTGTAGGGTGGAGACAAAGGCGAGCCGCTATTGCCGGACGAATACATATGCCCCGAAACATGTTCGATGAATTTTACTGAAAGTGCATGTACGACAATATGGACAGGTGGTGTGCGCGCAGGCTTGTCCTTTCGCGACTGCTTCTCAGATGGATCCTTTTCAACCGTACCAAGAGTGTGAGACAATTTCTGTCCTATCTTGGTTAGAAGCCAACCAATGGCAATATCAAAATGTACGGAGGCAGAGAACACTTCCACAGAAATTTCAGGCATTTCACTCCCAGTACTTGACTGAGCCCGTGCCTCAACAAAACCTCTTCCGAACCTCGTAGATCTGTAAGTTCTAGAGGCAAGTAGACTTTCTTCGGGTGCAGAATCCCAGAAGCTAGCTGTAGATTCATTTAGGTTACTGTCTGCACTCTCCTTTTGTGGCACAGGCGACGGCTCGGCCGACACTTCTTCCTCAGAGGCAGGAGGCGAAAGCCACAGCAAAATCTTGTCAACAGTCAATACTGACTTCCTCATTTCATTGGTTCTGTGCAACCCAGGAGACGATGGAGCTGATGGTATGTCCTTGTGCAATGTCTGAGATTTGACTTGGTCGTCCAAATCATGCTGCTCAGTGACAGTGACATTGTCTTCTGATGGGGCTGTGTATCTCGAATTCGCTTCATCCAGGATTTTGGTGGACTGTGCTGGATCAATAGGTGCGATGACTTTAGATCGGTCATCAAAGGCACTCTGGGAGTTTGATGCACCGTTAAATGAGGGCTCGCCCCATGCACCTGGCATGTGTGGCATGAAGCTCTCACTCGGATCCTGGCTAATAGCACTCATGTAAAGACTCTGTGCTTCATCGTGGGAGAAAAGCTTAGACTCGTTGAGATCGGTATTCGGGGTTTCTTCTCGTGAGCCCGTACTGTCAGGCTCTGAGCGCGGAGGAGATGTACTGAGGGGATGGGACGATACGCTCAATTGTGATCTTTTATTATGTTCATTTTCGTCGTAATCATTGTAATGATGTGTAGGTTGCGTGATTTCGTCAATTTCAGAGCCGATTTGGCTGTGATGTGGGTTATAAGTTTGAGACATATGATAGCTGTCAGGCGGTATTACGGGTTCGTCAGAGTATTCGGCTTGGTGGCTCTGATACAAGCTTTGTTGGCCATAAGACAAGTGGCCTCTCCATTTACTCCCGGCCCGTCGATCTTCTTGGTGATGTATTACCGGTGACTGATCATCATCAAAATCATCGAATTGAGTGTCAATCACCGAGTCTAGGTACCCCGGGTTGTCTTGGAAGGGGTCATCTCCAAATATTTGAGAATCCTCCAGAGATCCACCACGTTGACTTCCTGACTCGGAGTCGGCGTCTGAGAATCGACCGCGGGAAAATGCAGATGCCTCCAAATTGTCCGCGGTAGTACTTGAATGACCAAAAGCGTGCGGTGGCTCGAAAATAGTTGACTGGGTCATACAAAGTGGTTCTTCATCGGAACGATCCAATGGAGATGGTGATGGCGCTCTGCTTGATGGCAGGCTCCCTTTTGACCGCATAGTTGTCGTCGGAGATGCAGGGGCAACGAAGCGGGAGTAATTTGAGAACACCGACGGGTCCGAAACCAGACCAACATTGATATCGGCGATTGAGATGAGTCGCTTCCCTTCTCGGAAAGGGAGACCTTCCTCTGTGCCAACGGGTTTTTCAGATACCCCGTGTACATCGATTTTCCCGACGCTCAACAGACCTGCGACAAGGTCCGGCTTATGTTCAGGTTGGCGTTTTGACATCCCGTCCTGCTTCAACTCCATGTCCACTCGCACAACTGCATCTTTTATCCTGAGTTCGAATCGATCCACAACGCCTTTCAAGAACCCGGCCACAAAGCTTGGCAGTGACAGAGTCTCATTCCCAAGACCAAGCTCGTCATCGTCATCGACGGACCAGGCTAAAGGGTCATGGGGCAGAACCTGGGACTGTGACGCTATTGCGGCTTGCAGCTCTTCCTTTTCCTCCTTTGGCTCGGATTCAAGGAATGACTCTGCAAGATCAGACGGTGTGGGCACCGCCGGAACGTCATACTTTCCGCCTTTCCCTTGCCCGTGTTGTCCCTTTTTCGGTTCCTCTGAGAGTATCCGAATATGTACGTCGATACCGTTCGCCTCGCACAGGATCCCGCTATTGTGGAAATCGGCAGGAAGCGTGATTCGAAGGAGCTGAACTCGGGCGCTGAGCAGTTCACACGAGGGAGGAAGATTGAGTAGAGTCGATAATTTCTATTGTGCGATGTAAATAGTTAGCCCACACTGTCCCATAGATCGCGTTCGATAATCACAAAAGACCGCCCCGCCCCCAGCGGAGGATCACCGCATCCACTTACTTCTAATTTGAGGCCAATATTCTTCAACTCGAAGGTGGACCGTTGTCCCCAGCAGATACCTAGGTTATCTGGATCCAAGGCCTCTGTGTCGACTAGGCCCAGACGAGATAGGGCATATTTGAGAAGCCGCTTCTGGAAGAACGATGGCATAAAGTACGACGCCATCGTGACTGAGAGCCGAGACAGGGCTCGTTCATACGCGGACTCGTATCATCGAAAATCGCTTAACAAAAAATAATAAAGCAGCCAGCCCCGACAAAGCGGAGTGGATGGGTCGTGTAGGGGGGATGTTCAACAATGACGTTCCGGGCACCTGATAAAGGCGATACGATAAGTGATCCGAGTCAGGCGCCGACGTGCCAACTCACCGATTGACAACAGCTTTGACCAATTATTTCACATTAGACTTGTGATATGTCTCAAATCACTTCAATAATTGCAGAAATTTGTCTACACCACTTAGATTACTACCAAAAACGGATTTCATGTTCTCATATTTGTTTGTGCTAGGTAGGCTACTATATATATCTTGTGTTTTGTGACGTGACAGAGCTTTAATTATCCTCAGCATCGAATTCTGCAAACTCCAGCACAATCCACTCGCAGAATTTCTCGAAATCCAAAGCGAAATGCTGCAGACGTTCAGATTTCAGCCCCTTCCCCGTTACTCCATTTTGAATGCCGGCTTTCCACTCGGCAGTTGACTGGTCTTCATAACAGCTCCACCGGATGGAGTTCTGAGCCATCATTGATAGGCCGACCAAATCCACATTTTCGAGTCCCTGCAAAGCCTGCCAGAAATCGTGCGTCAATCCATTCCTTCCGTGGCCGAGAATTGCGGGGTCGTCGTTGCACAGGGAGACGGGAACGCCTCTGGATAATAGTGCGGGCAAAGGATGGGATTTGATGGAGCTAGCAAGGCGAAGCACTTCGTTCGAGATCGGGCAGCATTCAACGAGGATCTTCTTCTCTTTGACTAAATCAATGAGCAAAGGATGCTTGTAAAGCGAGAACCCATGGCCAATTCGTCGAGTGCCAAGGAGGATGGCATCGAATAGGTTGTGATCTGTCACGTCGCCATCACCGAGGCATTCTCCAGCGTGGAAAAAGAAGGGAATATCGACCTCTTCTTCCGCACATTGTTTTCGGAACCAAAAGAGCACGGGGACAAGGTCAACTAGTGGCCTCCCGTTATCCTCTTGGCCAACGAGATCAAACCCACTGATCAGATCGGGGAACTCTTGCTTGGTTTCGATGCATTGCTTCATGCTCTTGACAATCAGCTCATTCGAGAACCACCGGAGCGTAGTCCAAATAATGCGAGCATCGTAGAAGTCCTTCCCTTCATCCGTCTGTTTGAACTGAGTCAGGACATCTTCCACCACACGACACCACTCGAAGTAGTCTTCTTCGGGTTTGTTGTTTCCTTCTTTGCGGAATTCGAAGACAAATCCGATGCGGAACTCCACGTATCGAATCCCATCCTCAGCGAGCTGTCCGAGTAACCGGCGGAAACAGGCACGGAAGATAGGCTCGTACATCAAGATAGAGTCGACAATGGGGAAGGTATTTGTGAAAATAGACCAAATTGCATCTACTCCGTGGTGGTGATGATACGAATGCTCTGGCAGAAGAATACATCGATTGTTCAACCATTCTCGGAAGCCCTTCTCCCCCCCCTTGGGGAAAGAGGAGGCGGCCTTCTGGATCGGGATCAATGATGAGGCCTCGTATGTCTCCGACCAAATACTTGGTTTTTCTTCAGATATTTCTAGAGGCTGCGGGGAATACCTAAAATACACGGGCGCTTCTTCGTAATCTTTGGCTGTGATCAACGGCTTCGGTGCGAACATATGTATGCCGGGCGTGGAGAATGCCTGGTCAATTAGGAATTCAATGTCGAACATAGCGTCCATGTGGGCGTGCAGGAGGGACCCCTTTGGCATCTTTTCCACGATTTTCCATAGTTTAGTTTTCTCCATACGGCCTTTGGCCAAATTGAACATGACACCGGGGTACAGGATCTCATCTGACTGGTGAGCCGCGGCCTCATCCAATCCATGTGTCCACACCTCGTTCTGTTCTTGAGCTCGGATCTGCGACACGATCTTCGCCGCCCGGGCGGCGATGGGTGATAGAGATTTGCGCAGATTGGCATCTACAGAAAAAATTTAGATATGGAGTTTTCGTACTTGATTTGGGTGGGAAATACCATGGCGTCGCTTTTGCTCTTCCATAATTAAAGCATCGCGTCCTTTCAGATATTGTTGGATGAAGGGATCCCCAACTTGAGGGATACCCTCTTCTAATTCCCATTCGTTCTCTGTATTTGCCATGATTTGAAATTCAAAAAATGTTGTAGAGTGATCGAGTAAATCTGTGGACCTGGGCAGATTGTTGGGAGGGGAGAGAGATGCGCTCCCCGCCTTATCCGTTTTCGTCTTGGTTACATCGTGCCTGGCGAGATTCTATCCATTTTCTTTGATTGGCGCAAACAAAACCAGTTTGATTTAAAATGCGGATGAGATGTGTTTATTTACCCGCTAGCTCTACAACATAAATATATAGCTAAGACTTCACTATGTATATTATCAACACCTAACCCCCGCAAGTGTGATCCATCTCGAATGCCACTCCTGCATAGTCACATCCTCAACGCCCACCAATTCCACCAAGTCCTCATCTCCATCTGGTGCTGGAATAAGCGGCTCTCTAGAATTCCATTTCATCAACCCAGTTGAATACATGCGCCATGGATCCCAAAGAAGAACGCCTAGCCTCCGATATGGTTGTATTCTTAGCAAGGTGTAGTCTGGATTTGGCCCTTGAAACGCTCGGATCCGAGCCCAATTTTTGTACATCCCCATTTGGGTGGGAACCTTGCCACAACGTTCCTCATTAAGAAGCCACGCAGCTGTCACTATATCATCTGGAGGTGTTGGCGGCGAAGGCCAAATTGCGATATCCATGCTTTCGAGATCAAAAGATTTGAAAAGTGGTGGTGGTGTCTCCAATATCCACCACCAGGCTCCTCGTATAGACTCCCCAGGTTCATTCATGTACGGGTAGGGAGGGTAAATTGGACTTAAGCCCAAGTCGGATAGTACCGCGGCAACGGTAGTAATGATTTCGGGGGCCAGGCCATCGATGTCGTTCCATGTTTGGTATTTTTGGATCGTTTTCATGGACTCTTCAGTCCAATTCAGACGAGTTCCGTAGCTGTGCAGGTCGGAATAGTGTCTCAAATGCCACAGAGCCCAGTAAATAGTCGATTCCTCGACCCAAGAGAAGGGTTTGGCTGCCTTTTGGGCACGAATTGACCTAGACAAATTTCCTGCCGGTGAGGCACTGACGATTGAAATGAAGTTCTGCTGCATTGTCCATAGACATTTACACGCAAGACGTTGAATCTGGGCAGAAATCTGCATCATCCGCGACACTTCTGTGACATCGGTATGAATAACGGGCTGGTCTTGAAGGCTGCCTGTACATTGTCTGTACTCCTCTATACCGTGGAAGTTGAATGAGGAGTTGTGGAGAAACTGCACTTTCTGGATGATTTTTTGAATAGGGCTGGCTGAGGTGATTGAGTTGAATGCCACTAGCTCTTGAAATAATGGACCGGGTCGACTATGGAATATAGTCCGCACTCGGGGCGAGACTGTCAAGAGACTTTCTATGCCCACAAAATCCGATGTGAAAAGGAGAATCTCGATTATGATCTCGGCGGGAAGCCGCTCAAAGGGGTCCATTGTGAAGAGGCAAAAGAGACCGAGGAATTCGAGTCCCTATAAACTTGAAGACAAGTTTGCCTAGAAAGGGGAGCCACCCCATAGATATAGTCTCCGCTAAAAAGTTTGCCGACGGGCCCCCACACCCGTGTCTTTTCCAACCGTGTTAAGTTCCGGAAGGGATTCTGGACAGATTGTAAAACCTGGAGCTTCATTTCATGTCAAGCTTAGGAATTAGTATGCTCTCCTCGGTCATTTATAGCCTGCAATACATTGCCCAGATTTCATACCATCATTTTCATATTCTTCTTCGAGGTTGAAGACAACCTCTCGGAGCAGCAAACTCAATTGGTCGGATTTTGCCGCCACTCGACCTCCACAACAGTTGTTGCCTGTTCACATCGAGCCTCATATCCCAATTTCTCGGTCTAGTGTATATCTGTTTTCAAGGCAACATCCGGCGAAATTCCGTGTTATATTTTGCCGGTGAATCAGAATAAGGACGTGCACATCCCTAGGTGGTCGCTTGCGCACATACGGGTGCCGTCCGTATGCCAAAATAGCTTGATGGATCGAAACAATCGGAATAGGCATGGGGGAAATTTAATTGAAAATTCCTTCATGAGATATTGAGTTAGCTATTTAGATCAGATTGTTAAATTAGTCATAATCTGGGAGAATATCGAAAACAATTGCTTCGTTGATTAATGAACCACATTTACCATGAAGTGCCACAGTCTTGGACGTGGTTTAGATGAATGAATTCAGAACTGATTTAGAGGATATCCTCATATGTTACAATGCACTTTCCGTCGCTCTGTACATAGTATATATCGATGATTCGACGTAAGTTTCAGAAAACTGCGACTGACGTATCATTGGAAGATCATAGCCGCTCCCAGAACAATCGCAGCGAGAGACACCCCCAGAACACCACCTAGCCCATCCCACGAATTGACCTTTGGGGCAACTCTCGCTGCAGAATTCGAAGTAGCCGCCAAGGTGGAAGTAGATGTAGCCTTTGTGAACGCAGCGCCAGATGTTCCAGTCGTCTTGATGTCGGATTGATGGTGCACTAAAGGAAGTATAGGCATAACGGACAGTGCGACAAGCCGATCCAACTCCGAAGGATCGAAGGTCGTGGTTTCCGTAGTGTCGGGATACGAAGCAGTCATGATAACGAGGAGATCCGTAGAGGTGGTCCCATTCACAGCGTAGGTTTTTGTTGATGTGCCAATATTTGACTCGTCAAGTATACGAAGACATCCTGTGGTCACAGCGTAATCGGAGACGGTTGAGTAACAGCCGAATCCAATGATGGCCGTCATAGAACTAGAAAAACAACAGAATTAAATATAAAGCCTTGTTTAAGCGACAATATTCCACATCACACCTACCTGGGGCAGCACATCACTAGAGTTTCACTTGGATCTAAAAGCTCCGGCAACATCGTAGCGGGGCTCTTCCATGTGGCGTAGTCATCATAGAGCCTTGAGTCCTTTGTGGTACTCGAGACACTCAAAATACCCGACAAGCTTGGGGACCTGTCGCCATCCCGGGCGGCGACTCCCACGGTTGCCCATCCGGACGGGCAGTATAAACCCGGAGAGTAATATGGATAATCGTATATCGCACTCGGATTGGAATCGAGGGTGATGGGTGGGGAAACAGTGCCAGTGGGGATACAGCCATGGCCACTATCTGTAGAGCATTGCGCCCAATAGTCGGCGACAGGAAACGATGTGTTGACTTGAATCAAGATATCGCCGGCAGTTGCGCAGCTGGCTGGCGCGGTGAAGGTGGTGGTGACCGGGCCCCAGTTATTGAAGGTGTACCCGTCGCTGATAGTGATACTGGGCATAGTTGCGAGGGTGACCAGAGACAACTTGATTGGAAGGGAAAAACGAAAGCGAAAGAGTCAAAGAAATTGAGGTTCAGGTCCCACAATAAGGGGGACCTTCTGATTTGACACATGCAAATTTTAGATCAGGGTCGTAATGGATAGAGAGCCTAGCACAAAAAGCGTTAAAGGTGAAAGGGAAATTAGTAGAATTAGGCGAATCCTGTTGGCCTATCTTAGATACACTTTGTGTCTTGGCAAACGTGTCGACCTCGGGAGGCTCTGGTAGATCTTCCCGGTAACCTTGATGATCCCGCCGTAGGGTCCCGCATGCCTACCTACATAGGTACCCCGGTAACTACCTAATCAAGTACATATGTGGCAACAGTTTACTTTAGCTGAGAGTTGATGATATCCTAAACATTGATTAAATCGAGGCTAGGACCGATTTGACTGGTATTCGACATGTCCCGGGAAACACGGGGCAATCTCACTCAACTCTTTGGCCTTCCTGATTGTTTTGATGATTTCAACTGTCGTAGTTTGCATGCTGGAATATTCCAGCGTTGCATGTGTAGACAGCGACTGAAATCTACACTCCATCTCTCCCTCTTCGATATTTTCTCCGAACACAACAGATTTTGTTCCGTTTGGTTTTCATTCTGAATATGTATTTCTTAGCCCCTTCCCCTCTGCTGGTAGATATTACATGCTGATGTTAACAGAGAAACTTGTTTGACAGTGCATATGACAATAAGTTTCTGAACTGTGAGTGACAATCAGGTAGTTACAGATAGCCAAACACATTTCCCGTGTTTCGTATACCTGGGCATCATAAGCACCCTAAGCACTGATAAGCACTATACCTAAGCGCTAATACTACACTCACCAGTAGAGATACTCAATAATCATTGGCCCGACAAGCCGGCCCGGAGGAAACCGTACACGTTATCACATATTGATAAAAACTTTCATCTCCTATGACAATTCGTTCAAGTTGCGCCCTTCTCATCATATAAACTGTTGACAGAAATCTTCGCTCTTTACCATGAAAGTCACCTTGACACTGAAGCAAGTTCCCTCCAGTGACGATATCTCTTATATCTAAAGCTCACTCCGGGAGATCCATCTCGACATCACCCAAACCTCACGCGAAAGCCTCTCCATTAGCTTTGCAGCCCCTACAACCGATATTGACGCATTCGGTGAACTCTTTCTATCATGGGTTGATTCACCGGAATTGATCATGGATAGCTACCACATGGTGGAAGACATTTGATTTGTTTCATCCTCGCCTCCAGCGCACTTGTTGGCATCGCCCATACCGCCACATTATCAGAGCTACCATACAAAATTTGTAACGTGATATATTTCATGATTTGAGCTGGCATTTTGTAGCCAAATTTCTGTGTTAAGGGAAGTCTTAGAATGAGCTGGTGCATGGTTTTAGACCACTGGAAGCTTGCGATGGGGTTGGTTAAGGACAAATAAATGACAAGGCTTGAGGTTTAAGAGACAATGTGTGTAAAATGAATTCGAGCTTGTACTATAGTGACGCACAGGGTACCTAGCTCGACACTGCTGTACTCTTCTTTCTAGGTGCCATTGATATGAGCACGCCACACCGCAATACCACCAACGCAGTAAAGAACTGATGATAAGAGGAATGGTAGACCTAGTGCCATGCCTCCTATCTGGATACCTACAGCTAGCATATATCCAAGTAGCGGTGCTGCAGCTAGCGATCCCAAGGCGTCAACCACGGACAGCGAGGCATAGAGCAACGTGATATTTTCCGGGGGTACTGCACTGGTTATATATGACTGCACAGCAGCGCGAAATCCCGAACCGGAAAGGAAGAGTAACAGGCCTTGAGTCAAAGTAAATTCTCAGTAAATCACTTGCATAGCATAGCGGGGTAGATTTGAGGAAAGATGGTTACCGAAAATCAACCCAACTGGATGGATTGCAAGGCCCATCACCAGTGGGCCTAAAACCAGAAAGAAGGTACTTGCCTTTGCCATCACAAAATCAGCCTTGGCCACGTTCTCTTCATATCGTGCCACTAGCGACCGATGAGCCCATGGCAAGACTGAACATGATAAAACGATGTGTGCGGCAGCGACCAACGACAACAGATACCCGCTCTGATTTTTGAAAAATGGCAGAAGTCAATTCGGGGCTGTAAATTAAGGAATTAAAGTAGATATCCATACCTGGGCTAGTGTCCAGCCATAGCGAACTCTCGTGTACTGAACGACAAGTTCCTCTATTTGACGGGTCACATTATTCACCATAAGAGCAAATAGAAGCATAAGTAGAGCAGGTTGAGAAAGAAGATAAAGGCAGATTTCTTCCATGTGAGCCACCCCGGCAAACCGAGCCTTGGGTGGTAAGCTAGGCCGAGCTTCACATTCACCCTCATCAATGCTATCCGGATCAAAGGTCGACTCCTCCGGATTGAGTAGAAGATAAAGAACCAGGTACCCTGATATTTCAAGCGGAATTCCAAGGAGATAGGGTATATCGGGCCCATATTGTGACATGAGAAACGAGCTAAGCGGTGCGGATAAAAGCCCGGACACCATGATAGCAACTGACATGTAAAAGAATTCTCTTGTGCTGGCCAAGTATTAGCATGGAATATAAGTTAATAGGCGGGAATTAGAATGATACCGGCTGCGCGGTGATGTAGACGTCGCGACCATTGCTAGCACCATGGAAGACATAACAGAACTTCCTCCCCCGATGCACGTAACGATGGCCAATAAAACCATGACCTAAAGAGAAAGACGCTCTAAGTAGCGGCCTAGTTTAATTCAATGAATTAGTCGAGAAATCATTAATGAAAACGCCAGTCTTACAAGCGACCCAGATCCAAATAGCGCCTATGATCTCTCCAGTAAGTCCCAAGGCCACCACCAGCTTCCGACCGGAGTACTGCGCCAAAGTTCCTAAGGTACAGCGAGAATTAGTCCAATTAATGATTGGTAATTGAAATTCTGGAGCATAAGAAAAATGGGGAGCTAGAGAAAACAGCGATTGCCATATGTCAACATACCTGGGGCAGCTTGTGCAAGCCCTAGCCAGCCCTTCCAAATGGCAACTTCGCTCTGAATTTCATAGATCTTGCAAGCTTCTCCTAGATCACTGCCATCTTGAGGAATCATACCAGGGCGAACAGAGCTGTAATAGGATCGACAAACGAAAAGTTCCAGGAGCTGATTGGTAGGCGCAAGCTGCATATAAGAGGCAAAATCAACAATGCAAATAAATATAGCACAGATAACCAGGGCACGAGTATCAGAAATCTCCCTCCATTTCTGCTGGGATATTCCATGAATTTGGTGCTGAATTAGAGGGGTAGCCACAGTGGGCTCACTGTCATCATGCGCTGTTCTGACTGTATACATGCTGTTTGAGAAATCCTCTATACAAAGTATAGCATGGGGAAGAAAGATGTGTAATAGCAAAAAGGCACCATATGATAGCGTGATAACTAACTATCGAAGATCTAGTTAACTAATGATTATTAAGAGTGAAGAGGGGCTGCTTGCAAAGTACAAAGTATTTTACCCCCTATTAGCCGACTGCAACAGGGATTGCGTTACCGGGATATTAGGTGCATATAGAAGCCTGATAACAGACTCCGAGCAATGCCGATTTTAGTATTATACCCTGCATAGGACTGATAGGAGTCTTTTTCTATGTAGGCATGTCATATAAAATGTACTTAATTTCTTACAATTTTTGTTTCGTGAGAAATTTCTGTTTAGTGGTACGGACGACTACGCTATGAAACTATGTATTTTTTGCCCAAGACTACTACAAATTGAAGAAACAGAAGAAAATCTATAGCGATGTGCTGGAGATACAGACAGAATAGGAAGATGGAGAGACGAGAGGGAAGCTATTATCTTTATCTGCCACGCAGCAAGGAAAGCTGGTCAAACAGTAACAAAGCTCAACCAGTATACCACTGTTCGTCCCAGAGTTCCTTGAATAAACTTGGGATAGTAAGCAAGTATGATGGGACCCCTGTTTCGACAATCTCACCCTCTTTCATAAGCAGGATTTTGTCAAAATTTCGGATGCATCGCAATCGATGAGTGACTGCAACCACTGTGGCATGTTTGAAATGATCCCGAATGACTTGAAACATTAACCGCTCCGTCTCAACATCCACAATGCCACTAATCTCACCCAGGACAAGGATCCTGGTATGGGCCTTGAGGAGAAGCGCTCTTGCTAAGCTCTCCAGTTGCCACTGGCCGCGTGTGAAGTTTGCCTCGCTCATCAGGACGTCTAATGGATGTTGATTTTGCATCTGGAGATCATCCAGCAGCCCTACTGTGTTTAAAGAAGAAAAGATTGCGCTGTCGGAAACCTGTCCCTTAGGATCCAGGTTGAAGCGAAGTGATCCAGGCAGTATGACAGGGTCTTGTGGGATAATAGTAAGACGGTCTCGAATGACTCCACAAGGAATTTCGCTGAGGTCAATCTCATCAATGAACACAGCACCTGCGCTAGTCTCAAGCAGGTGAAAGGCCAGGAGCAGAAGAGAGCTCTTGCCACTTCCGCTTCGGCCGCAAATGGCCACTTTCTCCCCCGCATTAATGACCGCAGTAATATCGCGAAGGATCGAATTTTCCGTGTGCTCAGTACTTTCGTAGCCCGCATAAGCATGATCAAACCGGATAGAGCCATGAGCCGGCCAGTCCTCGGAAAGCTGCCGGATAGTCTTGTTCGGATCGTCCTCTTCGGGGATAGCAGCTTGATGACCTTTGATGCGTGCAACAGCACCGAGAGAAGTCTTCAGCTGTGTCCATGGGGTAATCAAGAAGGATAGACTGCTGCTAAAGCCCAGAATGTTCAGCAGGGATACAGCAATTGCCCCGTTATCGATTGAGGAGTGTAGCGTAACCGCGATGCTGATCACTATAACAGCCATTGCCGTTGCTACCAGATCCAGTACAAGCTCCAACCAATGCTGGATACAGAAAAGAGCATAGCATGGTTGGAGCGCTGCATCAACTAACATATAACATTGTGCCACCCATAGCGATTCCCAGCCAAAGGTGCCGATACTTTCCGTAAATATTTACATTTTGTCTGCCGTGGGCCACCAAGACAACAGACGCCGACGAAATGAATTATAATTCATGTGTACCGTTTGCAGAGTGACGACTCGTGCGTTTTACAGAATACTCCCAGCTTGATCATTGACACCCATAACAAATGCGGCTGGGTTGTATTGATCTCATCAAAGCCATAACAGACAAAGTCGAAGTTCAATTTTATCTGATATAGATAAGGATGAGTAGTCGTCTTATTCGGATGCTGTTATAGATTCTTGCTTGCGCTTTCAACCTTTGTTTGTGCATGTTATTGTGTAAGTTTTTAAAAGAGCCCTGGAGCCCTGGAGGGTTATATATAATTAGAAAGTGACTCTCCAACCGGAATTCCCTCATTATTTGAGCGAGATTTACTTCGGGCTTCTAAATGCTACTATGACTTGTATTTTAGCATGGAGGACTACGAGGAACGAAGAAGGATTCAGAACATTAGTGCGCAACGAAAATGGTTTAGGTGTCTTGATGATTTGTCGGCATTATGCTAACGATTAGTTTAGGGGGGGGGGGGGGAGAAAGCGCACGAATAGCCTCAGAAAGAATACCCGACAAGAAAAACTATTTGAAAACTGGGGCCTGGCGTTTTTCGTTCAGACAACCTGTAGCTGAGTAAAGCAAGGATGCCGATCACTATGGGTTTATAATTTGGACTCGATGCATTTCTGCGATCTGAGGACCAAAAAATTACAACATTTGAGTCTCCGCTTGGATGGAGCGGAGAACGCGAGATTGCGAGTGCCATCGTTTTGACTAAATACCGGCTCGCCGATGTCCAATTGGGTTAGATACCTATTGCCTGTGGGCGTGTAGGGTCACTAGGGTGATGCCCATCTATAGGCATACCTCTATAGTGGCCCCCGGGCCCTGGGGCCGCCTTACATAAGGCCCATGGGCAACCCGTCTTGCCAAGGTTGCGGAATGCCCCCAGGGCCGGCCGCCCGTCTATAGGCAATGTTGCAGTCTAGTAAAGAGAGGAAAGAAACCATCTACACTGCTGAGGACTAAATGCCAGGAGAAAACAACGGAAGTTATCTAACTTCTAAACACTTATAAACACAGCGTCTCATGAATAAAAAGTGATCAAGTCCAAAAATCTTGGCAAATCTGATAACATTTGAACTTTCATGATTTTCACGCGTTTTCCGGTTTCTAGAGCCAAGTTCCATAATAAATTTCTAAACAGCCACGGAAAGCTTCTACTGACGTTGAAGCGAATGAATCGGATGGGGTTTTCAATGGAAGTAACTGCATGTGGTAAAGATCTCTAAGCCACCGACGATCTGATTAGATCTTGTCACCGGCCGACGCCGGGTTGTGTCTGACCCCAGTGGAGTGAGGGTCCACAGGTTGGGCGGATATGTTTGGACTACATTAATATTTATACAACGTATGTTGTAACACTTTTGATATAGAAGGAAAGGATTGTCGTTTTGATCCACAGATGAGCGTGCAAAACACTGCTGGCCAATGTGCCGACCTCGCTGTTTTATGTGGGAATTCCGCGTCTTTTGTCTTATATTTTACCTGCCTGCCCCTCGTGGGGTCGAAATAACTTTGGAATCTTCAACCTGTTTGAGTGCTTGGAATTTTGTGTTTTTCATCTATTGCCATGGCGCTTCGTCCCCTGTTGCAAAGGGCCCGGTCGGTCTTTCATCGAATGAAACTCGACAATGACGAGGCTGCAAGTTCTTCGGTCGACGTGGATAGAAACACAGTAGAGCCAGAAAAGTCAGATGGACCAATCACCCATCCCGAAGAAGCACTTCCGAACAATGGCGCCGAGCTGCCCGGTGTGCCCTATGAAGAGCTTCAACATGGTATCCAGGAGGTTGAGGCCGTGGCTCAGACCTGGTCGAAAATGTCCTTGATCTTCGTTTTCATCAAGTATGTTAATTTAGTCGATTTACCCCCATTTTCTGTGCTATGGCTAATCTTACACTTCAATAGCATGTGGTTCCTTTACTTCACCTATGCCTGGATAGCGTCAGTTGACGGTAGCTTGAGCACTTACGTCGCTAGCTCCTTCCAGCAACACTCCTTATCAGGTCTTCCTACCGCCATTGCGGATGCTTTCTCAGCTGCTATATTCCTTCCTGTGGCTAAGATGATGGACACTTGGGGTCGAGCTGAAGGGTTCCTAATAATGTCGATCTGTGCCACCGTGGGTCTTATTCTTATGGCTTCTTGCAATAGCTTCGCTGTCTATTGCGCCGCGAATGTAGGAGATCCCGGGAGTATCCATGAATTATTGAGCATTTGTTAATACGAAATTTAGGTGTTCTACTACATTGGCTTCGGGGGCATGCAATTCGCTGTGGACGTTATCACCGCCGATCTCTCGCAGTTGAAAAACCGAGCTCTTGCATACGCTTTCACTTCTTCTCCATATATTATTACGGCATTTGCTGGACCAAAGGTGGCGGATCTGTTCTACGCCAATACTGGTTGGAGATGGGCCTATGGTACATTCGCGATCATCTTTCCTATCGTGGCTGCTCCATTGTTCTTCATCCTGAAGTTCAACCTGGCAAAAGCCAAAAAGGGAAATGCTATAGTTATAAGAGAGAACAGTGGACGATCGTTCCTTCAAAGTGTCTGGTTTTGGACTCTCGAGTTCGATTGTGAGTATTCCAAACTAGCGATTGATTCTTTTACAGAAAGGTACACTAATATTTAATAGTAATCGGAGTTGTCATCTTTACTGCAGGACTTGTCATATTTGAGCTTCCATTTGACATTGCTAGCGAGGCTCCCAATGGCTGGGGCACAGATTATATCATTGCCATGATTGTGGTTGGATTCTCGATGCTCTTCTTCTTTGCCTTGTACGAGAGATATATCGCTCCTACGCCTTTGCTCCCCTACTCCTTCCTCACCAACCGAACAGTCGTCGGTGCATGTCTCTTGGATGCCACGTACCAGCTTTCAAACTATTGCTGGAACAACTACTTCTCGAACTTCCTTCAAGTGGTTAATAACCTCACTATTGCCGAAGCTGGATATATCGTCAATACATTTGACGTGGTTTCCGGTGTACTTTTGTTCTTTGTTGGATGGGCAATCCGAAAGACCGGTCGCTTCAAGTGGCTTCTTTACATTTCAGTCCCTCTATACATCCTTGCCCAGGGCTTGATGATATACTTCCGTCGTCCTGGCCAGAGTATTGGTTACCAGGTTATGTGTCAAATCTTTATCTCTATTGCCGGATCGATCTTCATTATCGTCCAGCAGTTAGCTATCCTCGCTGCCGTTGATCACCAGCATGTCGCTACAGCCCTTGCCTTGCTCAATGTGGTCGGTACCATTGGAAATTCCGCAGGTCTTACCATATCTATGTCAATCTGGAACAACACATACAAGGATGCCCTCACGAGGTATCTGCCGGACTTATCAAACCTAGAGATGATTTATGAAGATCTTGAGACACAGTTGAGCTATGCTCCGGCCACTGAGATGAGAAAAGGTATTCAGGAGGCATACGGCTACACACAGGTTAGAATGCTTTCTGCTGGCTTGGGTGTTATGGCTCTGGCGTTCGCGTGGACTATGATGATCAAAAATATCAACCTGAAGAAGGTTGCTCAGGTCAAGGGTATGGTGTTCTAAGGGACTGATATGGACTTCAAGGTTTGCCATGACACCTGCCACCCCCCACCTGATTTCTGTGCTTTGTTTGTCTCCACAATTTGATTCATCCTTCTCTTTGATTCGGTTCAGAAGTACATTATAACGCACGCGCTTTCTGATATTCCAATTTTTGTCTATACCCGTTAGATTTATTCTTGAAATCAAAATAAATAGAAAGCTTATCTTGCAGTGCTATACAAGGTTTGTAATCTCCAATTATCTTACCTGCTAATATACGTAGAGCGCTTTTACGGGTCCGACCTGATTCGATTGCCAAGTGCGGGACAACGAAACCACAGCAAGTCTCCATCACGGGTGGCAATAGATTTTTCAAACGTAGAATATGATGCCATCAACGCCAAAGGTAGTATAGGATCATTAACGGTAGCTAGTAACATTGAAGATCTTCAAAGGCTATTTGCCATGAAACAGGCCTCTCCATTTGACCGCACAGATTGATACGGATACACCCTTTTACGCGCATGTAGAGTTTCAAAGTATGGAAATGATGGCCAAGAGTTTCTAAATAGATTTCATAGTACGCCATGCTCGGACTCAGGAAGGAAGAAGTTCTGAAATTTCTCCTCGACCAGAGAGTTGACTCCATCACAGGGGCTTGTCCTAAGCCCGAAACATCTCTCGACATGTTGGTATTCTGTGGGATTCTTCGGCTCAGCAAGGGTCAGCCATCGGTTCCTTGTTTACGACTTCTACTTGACTATACAAAAGAGTCCCTTACGAAGACACACCAGAAGAAACGATGGGTAGAATTTTATTCCGGTTCCGTGGGCTAAGCGAAGAGCTCAAGTGCTTGCAGCAACATTGCTATCCTTCATTATGAAATGCCCCAAAATATAAGGATTGCAGTAATTTCCAAGACCGCATTTAGTATGTGGGATGCCTATAATATGCCTGAAATCTATCCAACCGATGCTAGGACCAAATCCTTTAACGGCCAAAACCTCCAACTCGAAGAGCCGTGGCGTTTTGATTCAAAAAAAAAACACGACCCTTGTACATTGTGTTGTAAGAAAAATTGTAGCAATCCAGGCTGTTCTACAAGGGCCTCACCCATGGAAAAGAAAATTTCGCCATAAAAATGGGAGCTCACAATTATCTCTTTACATTAAAATGAGGGATGGGTACGGTACTATGATCTCGACAAATCGTAGAATAGGCTTTTGATAGAGTTCTTGCAAGCTAGTGTAGATTTGAACCACATTGTTACTGACATACTCCATTGCCTGCATTTTTAGGGGGATATTTTGACTAACTTGAGATGCCTAGATATCAGATTTCAGCTTCAGGTAAAGCACTGCGGAAATGGCTAACAGATCTGAAATCGGTTGGCATTGATTTACAAAAATCAGAGGAAATAGAGGACGGCATGTGGAAAAGGGAACTTGTACAGAAAGAAATCGACTCGGGGAAGGGAAAGAATTCTAGTTGCCATCGACTAATGGGATTTTCTCATGGCTCATGTGTTAACGACTCGCCTATATAACTATCCCCAAGATGGGATAGGTTTATACGAGATTGTTGGAGCCTAATAGAGCGACCTGCAGAGAGGATGACCGGTGAATGGCCCAGAAAATGAATATTTCTAGCCCCATTTTGATCAATGTCTCTGAATACGATCTAAATATTAATTGCACATGAGCCATGTGGGGACATGGGTACTCTAGCCTTCGAAAATACTCTACACGAAAGGTTGCCTCGCAAGTTTAGTGGCCATCACTCGCTTGACCTAAATCTTTATTATATCACAGGTGAATATCCAGCGTTGAGGAGAAATATATCAGAGTCATATTGTACGGTCTAGAGTTAAACAAGGCCGGAATAAGAGTGACAGGGGTGTATAACAACACATTGAAAAGTAAAGTGAAGACAGAGAGACAATAAAAAGTAGAGAAATGAGGTATCGGGCATTTATGCCTATAAGCTTCGGTCAAAGGGGAGAAAAGCCAGGATCAGCCTCCTGTATAGATGGAATCCTCGCCCGGACAGTTCCTCAGGCAGCCTTGACAAATCTATCAACAATCTAGCCAAAAGAATTTCTCATTCCGGAAAGATATTCCGTTAGTAGCCGTTGCTTTACCGAATAATTATGCTTAGCTTGGTGGTATGGGATTTGCAACCAATTGAACGAAGCTGCGTAAATTGAGGGATTTCAGAAACTTCATGTTATTGGTGGCTCGCAACGGAGCGATGGAGAGCGATGGGGCCCCTAATCTTGGCGTAAGATCAGATAACTCGAATTCACACCCCATAGAAACAACATGGGGATCCGATTTCGGATCTATGTTCTGCTGCTTCCAGGTTGGGGGCCAAAAAATTATCAGATCAAAAGACATAAATAGAGCTTCATGTCCCCTGTCAAGATCTCAATTACCATCTGTCTTTCTTCAATTTGTTGAAAAATTGAAAACCACAACCGCAATCACCATGAAGTTCTTCAACGTCGTTCTTGTTGCTGCTCTTGCTGCTTTCACCAATGCTGCTGCTGTACCAAACCCCGAAGCTGCTTTGGACACTAACCCTCTTGAAAAGCGCTGCAAATCGAGTATGTTTTTATCATGGTCATAATATCTCTACTAGACATCTTCGGAGTGTTTGAAATATGACACTGACTCTATATTTTTACTAGCCCGTACCCTTTGCCTGACCGCCAGCGAGTGCTGCAACGGTGCTTGCTTTGCTAATGGTATCAACAAGTTCGTCAAGTACTGCAATTAACCCTTGACTATTTGATATGGTATGTTCTAGTGTGTCTACTAATAATGTATAATTTTACTGATTATATATTGTCATCTACAGCTGCCATGGAAGTTGTATGAGATGATGTTTTGGCTTGTAGAGAAAGGGCAAGATAGAAAATGTGCACTATTCAAGCGAATGAACATAGCCAGAGCTCTCCATAAACCCAGCCTACTTAATCAAATGCTTTAAAAGTAGTCATCTGATCCCACTGAGGTCTGTTTGCTCCTCTACTTCAGATATCTTCCAAATTTAGTTTCTTCTTGATCTCCTTCCTTCAAGTATCCACCCACCGAGGGCTCTGTTCTGATCTGTCTTTTCTGGTACACATCTTCAAATTTCGAGCACCTTGCTCGCAGTCTGCTTCTTTTAGCCCAAACATACTGCCTTTAAACGTACTACACTGTTTTTGTTGGGGATTTGACACCCCTGCAAGAGCTCTGCCACTTCATAAAGGCAATACTTGGAAATACTGGGTGCCGTGTGTTCATTTTAAACCGCAAAACAAATGAAGGAGGCACTGATTTAATGGACAGCGTGTCTCGCAATTTCTTTGAGGCTGTGAGATCCAGCCACATGTTTGCAAAGACTTTATGAGACCGTGCTACACTTTGGGTTCGCATTCGGTCAGGACTCAGTTTCTTGTCACCCCGTGTGTGCTTCTCGGTGGAGGCTCACTCTCATATTGGGTTCAATCTCATCTTATTTCCAATCTCATCTTGTATCCAATCTCATCTTGTTCTTCTACTTTCATCGTCCTTTCATTTCCATCTCATACCTAAATGCCTTTCGATGCGTCTGGTCAATATGAGGTTTTGGCCTGCAGCTTCCGACCAGGATTTCACAATCAAACCTCCAACCACTTCATCTTATTTTCATCACTTACTCATTCAACAAGTCATTTTGTCAACTTGTTCATGACTGCGCCCTGTTATATGGGGCCGCAGAATGCCCAGTTGCTTCTTATCCAGCCTTCAATATGGCAAGAAGCCATCCCACGTCAACAGAGAATATCCCCCATCGAAGCGAACAGTTTTAGTATTATAAATTCAAGGATCTTTCAGAAACGGTTATATATATCGCCGCTTTCCTACACAAGCAATTGAATCTCGAAATACCCACAGACAACATTGATCTTGCATGTGGTGAGCTGGATCCTTGAGAGCGCAGTGGATTACTTCCTTTCTCACATTGTCTTCCCTCGAGAGATGAAGGCTATCCCTGACAAATTGCCAGCATCTGGCTGTGACACTATGGGGATCTAAAGGAACTCCACTGTTGGTTTCAGTGGAACAAACGACGGGAAAAAGACTCTACCACTAAGCAGATAGTTCAAAGAGCACAGAATCATACCAATGCGTTGGTTCTGAGTTACCTGATCTAGGTATGTCATTCCCTGGCTTTTAAACCGGGCCAATTTAAGCCCATTGGCTCAAATAACGTTTTTCTCCTAGATAAGGCACACACGCGAGGCATTGACCTCAAGCTCCCGCCTGCATATCGTGCAGTAGTTACATAAGGGCCCGGCATGACAAAGGACAAGCTGGTACAAGCTTGTATGAGGATTCGCAAACTCGGGAAAAGGCAGTCCGTGATATTCTACCTCCCAAAAGACACCCAGTTCAGGAGATTGGCACTCAGTGGGAAGCAGGACATGGCTACCATCATGGTCTCCGATGTTCTATGTTGGGCAGTCTTTGAAACCTGGGTATTCTGTTTCAGCACAACTTGAGCCGGAGTCTTATAAGGTCAAACCCCCAACCACTTCCTTTTATCTAATCAAGTACTCATTCAACAAGTCATTTTGCCAACCTGTTCACAACTGAGCCCTGTTATGTAGGGCCACAGAAAGGCCAATTACATCTCATCTGGCCTTCAATATGACAGTCAACAGAAGCTATACTGTGTTGGCAGAGAATATCCCCAATCGCAGCGATCAGGTTTAGTGATATGAATTCAAGGACATCTCATCAACGAATTTGCCCCTTGCTTTGTCGCTATACAAGCAATCGACTCTCAAAATCCTCACAGAGAAAATTTATGTAGCATGTCCCATGCTGGATCCTGTCTCGACAAGGGTAGCATTCATTGCCCCTACCTAGCTTTTGGTCTCGTTCTATCTCAATACACTAGGAACGATGATGTTATCTTCCATCTTGTGGGCCTGAATCAGAAAGCAAGATTTTTCCAAGACATCGGCCATGTCTTCATGGCTGTTGGTCGACTGAAGGGGGTATTGTCATTATTATCAGTGGCCTTTTTAGGCTTTACACAGGTGCTTAGTTATATATGTATATATCTAGTTTTCAGGGGTCCTGTCCATGACGGCCCTTGTGGAATGATTTTCTAATCTCTCTGTCTACTCTCCTACTCCATATATCTCGTTTTCTTTGTCAGCGGGACTTCTTGCAATGCGGAGATGTTCATCCCGAAATAGCCTTTTCTGTCCGTCTTTTCTACTAGATCCCTTGAGGACCAATCAGTGAAGCGTATTGGAAGATACCGGCAGATTCCGAGTACTGGTTATATTGCCAAGTGTTCTTCCATTTTGCATCTGACTTCCTTGCAGATCTCTTGGAGACCAATCAGTGAAGCGTATTGAAAGACGTCGGCGCACTCCGAGCTTTGGTTATATTGTCATATCTTTTTGCATTTTCCGTAGTGACATAGTATGCCCCTCTCTATATAACTACCGGCAGAAAAGAAAAGATATGAAAATCAATTGGCAAATAATTTTTACATGCTCACCGTGCTTTTGGAGGGTATTCTGGTAGTAAAAGTCTGTGAAGATTAGAGTTGTATTGCTTTTTAGATGGTCAGATATCCAGGTAAACATAGTAGTCATAAACGGGCCTCTTCCTAACACTCATCCGCTGTAGGTAAGAATCTTCATTCATTCCGCTGTAAACATGACCAGTATCTCCTTTTTTTTAGAATTGCTTTTTGGATGATTGGTTAGAATTAAGTTGCTCGGCCGCTTATCAGTTTCTGGCAAATCTTGAAGCCTTAAAAACATACGGCGTCCGGAGTACAGTGCTGTATTGCCGGAGGCTCAACCGTAGGTCTTAGATCAGGTGGTTTAGATAGTTTGACCTCGAGAGATAGGATAGTCACCCCGGCACCTATTGTAAATATGTGGCCTGAGGCTATGGATGTTGATGCAGCTGACCCATGGACCTGTCATATTTGTTGCATGGATGGAATCCTACCTTAGTGTGGGGTGCGGGCCAATCATGTGCTTACGTAACTATCGGTATGCTCCAGGGCTCCAGTGCAAACACGGGACTTCCAAGAAAGGGCACAAGTGACGAGAGCATATGTTGTAGAAAGTAATATATTAGAACTTTGGTCTTTGAATTCTCATAGATTGCATGTGTCTAGCCGAGAATGCCCAGTGTCTTCTGATGCGCCTATCTTTTACATTATCTCTGCCAAACATTCCCACGTATCTCGGACCTTCCGCTGCTTATCGACTTTTCGCACCGGGCTCTTTTTTTTTTTCAACGCTAAATCGACCCTGTTGTGAAGCAAGTTTAAACATCAGAACTCGACAGAAATTTACCATGCAAGGTCTCATACGTTGTGCAGTATGTTTTACATAAGTTTGACATGTTCAGCCTCCAATTCCCTGCCCAATCGCTCGGGTATCAATACCCCCTGGAGAAACTGGAGAAATAGCATGAAATCCCAGCTAGTCAGCTCTTGGTGGAAAGGCCTCGGGAGATTAAGCACACGACCCATATGCTCCACTACTACCCGGTGCGGAGAGACTTTCCAAGGAGTTGAGAGAAGTTAGCTTGAACTACATCACCCAATCAATGGAGAAGACAGGGTATGTTGTGGCGATAATGTTACTGTCTTATCATTTTGCCATCGATGTGGTTACATGTGGCTGCAGGTGGCTCTAAGCTGGCTCTAGGCGAGACGGGACCTCCGTTGTACTCCGTCGGTGAATCCGTTCATTGGCATTGCTTGCAGCCAAACAGATGAAAAGAGGAGACCTCCGATGGTTAGTGTCTTGTCCCAATCCTTGCTGGGCGTTCTTTATCTCTCATGCCCCAGGAAGAAAAATACAATATGCAATTATTAAAAAAAAACGCCCAACGGGATTCGAGGAATGTCAGAATGTCCCAATGGGGGATCCCTAATTAATCCTGTGCCAATCCTCAGCTGTTTATTATAAAAGTCCCTGGTTTCCTCGAAGAAGAAAAAACTCAGGCGGTCTGAATTTCGCGGTATTTTTGAGTTTCACTCTGAAAATTGTAAATTTCCAAGGTTGCATACATAGTACGGGCGCCTCTGTACTTTCGTACCTTCCCACATCCTAGTCTGCGGTCGGAGATGGATAAAACAAAGGAGGTTGATCCTACGGGATCGCAGGTTGTGCACCATGTAGATCCAGTGTTGGATCCAGAGAATCAGCATCACCATGCTCATCAGAATCATACTGCCTTCGCTGAGCAGGGACGTCAGGATGAAGTGGTTTACTCCAAGGACGTCCAATTCGAGAAAGGGATGCCTGAAGCGACCACCGATCAACGCAGCTCCAACGACGAAGAAGCCGGCGAGAATCTCCCAGCCAAACGCACCTGGTATCGCCGCGCGTTAAAACAATGGAGACATGCGGCCCATGCTGTGGTTTGGCTTCTGTTTACCGGGTAAGTGATTTGATTCTACTGCTATTCCAGTGGTATTCCATACATACTCTAGACTCGAAGCTGACACATTCCTCATCAAGCTGGTGGATTGCTGGCCTAATTTTACATCGACATGATATAGGATGGCTCATTCCATTCCTGCTCTATCTCGCCATCACACTACGAATCATCTTCTTCTATGTCCCCATTACTATTATCTCAAAGCCCATGCACTGGATTTGGGAACGGACTGCTCATCCTTTCGTGCGCGTGATCCCGGAGAAGCTGAGAACACCCAGTGCCGCCTTGCTATGCATCGGTGTGATTCTCATTGGCGCCTTTGCGTCCGAAGAGTCAGAGGACAACACCCGCGCCAATCGTGCAGTCAGTCTATTCGGAATGGTAGTCTGCATCTTTGGACTATGGGTCACATCTCGAAACCGCAAGAAGATCCTCTGGCACACTGTCATTGTCGGCATGCTGGCGCAATTCATTATTGCTCTGTTCGTGCTCCGTACCAAGGCAGGCTACGATATCTTCAACTTCATCTCCGGTCTAGCCACTGATCTGCTTGGTTTCGCTGCCGACGGAGTCATCTTCCTGACCAGCACGGACTTCTACCACTTCCAAGACGGTTTTGCCCCAGCGAATTTCTTCATCATCAGCGTCATCTCCGCCATCATCTTCTTCGTCGCCTTCGTCCAGCTCTTGTATCACTGGAATATCCTGCAGTGGTTCATCGGCAAGTTCGCCGTCTTCTTCTTCTGGAGCATGCGTGTCTCCGGTGCCGAAGCTGTGGTCGCTGCCGCATCCCCCTTCATTGGACAGGGTGAATCTGCTATGCTGATCCGTCCCTTCATCGCTCACCTTACCATGGCCGAGCTGCACCAAGTCATGTGCTCTGGCTTCGCTACCATCGCCGGAAGTGTCCTGATTGCTTACATCAGTATCGGTGTCAACCCACAGGCAATGGTCAGCGCTTGTGTCATGAGTATTCCCGCCTCGCTCGCAGTCTCGAAGATGCGCTGGCCCGAAGAGGAAGAAACCCTCACTGCAGGCCGTGTCGTTGTCCCGGAGGACGAGGATCACCGCTCCGCCAATGCCCTCCATGCATTCACCAGCGGTACCTGGCTCGGTCTGAAGATTGCTGCCATGATTGCATCAACTCTCCTGTGTATCATCGCTCTTATTGGTCTCGTCAACGGCCTTCTCACCTGGTGGGGCCGATACCTGAATATCAACGACCCCCCACTGACCCTCGAGCTGATCGTCGGATACATCTGCTACCCGATTGCCTTCCTGCTCGGTGTCTCTCGTGACGGTGACTTGCTCAAGGTTGGAAAGTTGATTGGTACCAAACTCGTTACCGTAAGTCTCTCCATCTCCATACATGCGTTTTCTCTTCTAACCAGCCACAGAACGAATTCGTCGCCTACGACGCCCTACAACACAATGCCGAATACGCAGATCTCTCCGACCGCTCTCGCCTCATCGTTACATACGCGCTCTGTGGATTCGCCAATATCGGCTCTCTCGGTAACCAGATTGGTGTGCTGTCGCAGATTGCGCCTGGTCGCGCAAACGATGTCTCGCGTGTTGCATTCAGCGCTATGATCACTGGAGCTATCAGTACTTTCACTAGTGCGACCATTGCTGGCTTGTTGATTACCAACGAGAAGCAGTACTTCAGCAAACCCACTTAGGTACGACCTGAATTATAATATGGGCGGGTGTTGTTTTATTTTTACTTCCGTATCTTCTTGATTTATGTGGCTGTCCAATCCTGATAGCGTCGCTTTAAAATTAACTGGGAGAATCGATTCTAATTATATCTAATTTTGTTTCTTCACTTCTATGAGGGGAGTACTGAGGCATGGTTGTACAACATGCAAGAATAGTCGACTGCATATGTAGTAGGGATCCATCCTTGGCGATGCAGAACTCAGCTACCTCTATATCCCTGTGGAACTTCCTTGGCTTGCCAAAGTCTAGACAAGCGCGTGTTCTATATGTACTTATGCGGAGAGTACCAAACATGTGAGGAATGTCCCATACAATCTTGGGAGCAAAGTGTACAAGATCAAATTGATCTACAGCGACACCGACAATGGATAGATCTAATGCTCTAGGGGCAATGATCAGAAGAATTGAAACAAGAGGGAACCACCTGAGAATCTCAAGGGGAAGAGTTTATCACGCCTGTACCTGTGCGGAGGCTCAAGGTACTAGCAGTAACGATAGGAACAATGATAGAAGAATGGCATAACCAAGCAACCCAGAAACTCCTAGGCCCAAACCAGGCCGTTATGCATTTGCAGCACGATCCCAGCGTCCATGAAGTAGACGACAGGGCCAACCGACGCCAATGCAGAATGGAAAAAAAAATGAAATCACATCCAAGCATCTATTCCTCGTCCAGATCTTGGTGGCGGGCGAGAACGTGGCGCTTAAATTCCGCCTGGTCCGAGTCCCAAAGCTCGGCAGCTTGGGCGTTCAGGGGGCTCGCACTGGGTCAATGTTAGCATTGATGGAAGGTAAAGAGGATGCGAGCAGATCCTTACTTATTAGGCTCACCCAGCAAGCTTTGCAAGCTGAGCAAAACACTCGAGACGTTGTAGACGGCGCTCCACTTGTCCTTGAGGATGTCGAGGCAGATGCGGCCGGAGAAGTCGACGTTGGGGTGGTAGATTGGAGTCTTGAAGAGGACTGTTGGGGGCGAGTAGGGGTAGTTATTGGGGAATGCGAAGGAGAGTTTGAGTGTCAGGCCCTCGTAGGGAGTCTCAGTCGGACCGGTGATGGTTGCTGTCCACGACAGCAGGTTGCCGTCTGCGTCCGGGAATGCGGAGATGCCGGGCGAGGGAGAGAGCATGAGTTGCATAAGCTCAGCTTGCAGGCTGTACGGATGAAAGAGACCAGGTTAGCTATATTGTATCTCGAGAGCAAACTCGATTGTGGATGGAGCTGTTTGGAGGTGATGAGGGGGACGAACCGCTTGGTCACGCTCTGGGTGTCGCTTTTTTGACCAGAGGAGCTCAGCTTGTTAGCTTGCTGCGCGTCGGGCGCTGAGTTCTGCGTGTCTTCCATGCTGTAGTCCATCGTGGATCGGAGGTAAGGCAATAATCGAGGTTAAGAAATAGTAAGGTGAGGTCTGTGGATTCCTTGTGGAATGCGTAGTAACAGTAGCACGAGGGTTTGGAATGACGCCGGATGCGTAACAAGGACCCACGAGGGAGGTGAAACAACGGAGATTGAGAAAGAGGGATGAATTGGGAGGATGGAAGGGGTTTATTATTGTGTGAAGTGAAGTGAACAAAGAGGGAAAATAGAAGATTTGTTTACTCGGCCCTTAAGCGCCCCGGGCAACGCGAACCCCGCTTGCATTTACTCGGGCCACCACCAGAGCTCAAAGAAAATATACGTATTTCTGTTTACACTTGAACGGATATATGTGAAGATATATTGAAGCTATGTTCAACTATATACAAGGAAAAATACAATTTAAAATATACATACATGTAATTAAATGGTCGATCTGGCAAAGTTAGTGCGATCGGTTGAGAAACCAACTGCGGGTCTCTAGTTTCAGTGTATTAATAGCTTAGTATAATAATATGTACAACATAGTATAGTTGCATATGTACATATATGTGTAGTATAAAGTAGCGATCTCTATGCGATATAGTCAGATCATTCCCTCCTCGACTTGGTATTTTGCGCCTTTATCAATAGATTACCCGATTGGGATAAAGTGGTCCGCGTCTTGTCCCGCGTTTCGCTACCCTTGCTTTGACGCGACATCCCAGCTTATCTTGTTGCCCCCTCGCTATGCCGTTTTGATCTGAATTTGCTTTCTGTCCTTTCGTGTATTTCCTGGTTGCCTCCAATCGTGTTCACTAAACCTCCTGTGAGCTTCCTCGAAATGCAGCACTCGCAGCTGGCCCCACTCCCAAACGATGTGCCATTTCGCATCGTGTCCAAAACTATCGGCCAAGGTGCCTATGCATGGTAAGAATGATATCACTGCATGCGACATTCAGATCTGACACAGTTTGATTCATCTAGCATCAAAAAGGCCTGCCCATTAGATTCAGAGAATCCCGTGTTCGCCGTCAAGTACATTCACAAAGACTACGCCGCTCGACATGGGAAGATAAGCGCAAGACAATTACAACTGGAAGTCACGGTACACAGACACGTGTCGGGCCATGGGAATATTATCAACTTCTATCAGACAGGCGAGGACGACGTGTGGCGTTGGATCGCAATGGAGTTGGCCGAAGGAGGGGATCTTTTCGATAAGATTGAGGCCGACGAGGGTGTGGGCGAGGATATTGCCCATGTCTATTTCTCGCAGCTTGTCAGTGCTGTGAGCTTTATGCACTCTAAAGGCGTTGGTCATCGTGATATCAAGCCTGAGAATATGCTTTTGACTGGCGACGGGAATCTCAAGATCGCGGACTTTGGTTTGGCGGCGCTGTTCGAGTACAAGGGAACGCGGAAACTTTCAACCACATTCTGCGGTAGTCCCCCATATATCGCACCCGAGGTAATTAGCAACAGTACTCGAGGGCAGAACAAAGGGGTTGGTTATCATCCGGATCTAGTTGACATTTGGTCTTGTGGCATCGTGCTTTTCGTGCTGTTGGCTGGAAACACGCCGTGGGATAGCCCGACAGATGATAGCTTCGAGTACCACGAATATGTTGCGACAAAGGCGCGAACTACCGATGAGCTCTGGCAGAAGTTACCACATGCTACATTATCACTATTGCGTGGCATGTTGACAGTGGATCCCCGAAAGCGATTCTCGCTGGAGGATGTCCGAAGGCATCCTTGGTACACCCGCGCAAACAAATACCTCTCTGCCGATGGCAAGTTAAGAGATCCAATTAATCTTGCCACCTCGATGTTTGAATCGCTTCATATCGACTTCAGCCAGGATCCTCTTTCCCAATCGGGCAAGGGGTCAAGTCGCAGTTTTGAACCCATCGACATAGATGACGGCGGTGCAAATGGGTTCTCCTCAACGCAGCCAGAGATGTTGGGTGGTGGTATGATGATGGACTGGGACGGTCCACAGAATGGTGGTAGCTTTTCTTCGGCACAGCCCTTTGGGAAGAAGTTTGCCTCTCAGGATGCAGCGTTGGCAGGCCATCTCGAGGATGAGCCTTCCATGTCACAGTTCTCACAGCAGCCTTCTGTGCCTGTGAGCCGAACTCAAAACGCACAAAGGTTCCAGGATATTATCCCCTCGCGGTCAATGACGCGTTTCTACTCTGCATGGGAACTCAAGCTTCTCGTGCCTCTCATCTGCGAGGCCTTTCACCGACTGGGGGTTCCAGTCCCGAGTGTCCCTGCTGTTGGTGCTGGAGATACTTCTGCCATGATTCGGGTGGTTGCCAAGGATGGTAGGATGTGTCCGCTCCAAGGTAAGGTGCTCATTGAGTGTGTCTCTGAGGGGTTATTTGAAGTGGAATTCATCAAAATTAAAGGCGATCCGCTAGAATGGCGACGTTTCTTTAAAAAGGTAGCGATCCTCTGCAAAGACGCCGTCTTTAGACCGGACGAGTAGATGTTTCTCTGCCCTACCTCTGTGTGGATTGCCATCTCGTGTTTTTTTAGGCTTTTTTATGTTTGCCTACCTAATTTATTTTCAAATGTACGAGTTATGACTGATTGATGGTGGGAGAAATTGGGCCGGGCTGGAGTTTGGCTATGGAAAAAGAACACCTCATATCATTCAAATACTTTCGATTTCTGACATGTATATAGCTCAACAATACGGAGTAGACGCTTCTCTATCTTAACCTAGCTTAGTGTGCTTGGCAAGAATAGTCGACCGCTTATGCGGCTCTGTCATGTTTTTTTGTAGTCCTTTCAATTATATAATTTTTGATGCTCCCCTCACCCCTTTTGGAGTGGTGCTATAGCTAGAAATGCAATAGGAACCAACCCCAAAATATAGAATGTAGTGAAAACCAAGTAGAATGTGCAAATCGACCTTCCTAGATATAACATGTGAAATTGGATGTTACTAGTACATGTAGGTGTACGTTTAAGGTAGTCCAATCTAAGGTCGAAAGCGTATTTTTAGTTTCAATTCGTGTTCGGGGCCTCTCTGAACAGGGCTGTGCTACATATATATATCAGATACTGGAATGTTCTCCCCTCCAGAGTAATCCTATAAAAACCGGTGGATCCCATCCCGGAGAAGTCTCCCGAGCCTATTCTCTCAATGCCCCTCCAAACGCCACAAACTCACCAGTCTATGAAACGCCAGTCTTATGCTTACCCTCAATCGATTTGGCATCTAGACCGATCCTTCATCCCATGCCAATTGACTCCACGTGACGGGTCTGGAGCGCAGATCGCGGGGGAAAAGCCGACAAAAAAAAGCCTAGAATTTTGTTGAATAAGAAAGAGGCCGACCTCCCCGTGACTTCTACTCCTTAAACTGCCCTCAATGCTGTTGATCCTTCTCAATGGATAAGCTGCCGGTAGAGATTCTGTCTAAAATCATCGACCGTAAGCGCCCCGGACCCTTCCCCGCACCGTTTCGATCGAGAACTGATAGTGCGATAACCAGACCTCGCTCCACGAGAAAAGGTCCAACTTCAATCCATTTCAAAAACATTCTTTGATCTCGCCCGTGATAACAATCAATGGAGATTGCACTGCTATGACGAATCATGGGCTGCTCGGCAGGCTGCCCGCTGGGCAGCTAGGCCCCCGGAGAGTCTGGCTGTCGACGCGACTGCTTCATTGGCGACCCTAGGGCAGGAATCTCTGCGTGATATCATTCAGCCTTCTGCACCACTAGCGAGTGATGGTACCCCTGGACTGTCTACGAGCGAGAGGGCGAGGGCAGCAGCAGAATGGGACTCGTCGGCTGAGGGGGAGCATGTGGACTGGTATTCGGAATACATTGCTCGCCAAGGGCCGATATCTTTATCATGGGTCGAGCAGCCCACGGTCCGCAAGGGCGAAGGAAAACCAGGGCAGCTCTGTGAGGTCAAAGGCATGGGGCTGCTCAAAGACTGGAGTTTAGCCAGGCAGAACAAGATCATTGCCCCGCTTGAAGATGGCAGCGTCTGCATCTGGGATCTGAATCACTCCCACTCGGCCGACTCCCAAGCAAGTAAGGGCAGAATCCTTGGGGTCAGTGAGCCTGGTATTCTCATGACCAACCTCTCTGGTCGTCGGGATCACTCCCCCTCTAAGTCTTCATTGGATTTTATCAATCTGGGCGAGGGAGTGAGCGTGGATTCTCTGCGACAAAGAGCCTACCTGGCAGTTGGGAATGTTCTTAATGAAGTTGACTTGGAGACATTAAAAGTGATTTCGCAGCAGCGCTATCCCTGGTCGATTTTTGCCCTTTCCCAGGAGACAGACTACTCAGTGCCCTTGACACTAGCCACAACGCTCAGTCTGCAGATCTATGACTCCAGACTGTCGGCTGTCGAGGAAGAAGAGGCAATCAGTTCACGATGCGAACAGGTAGTCCGCCCATATGCCCCTGAACTGGGCATTTTTGCCCACTCTGATTCGCCCTTGTTCCAACTTCAATCAAATGGACAGCCACCTATCCGCATACGCAGTCCAGGACCCTCGGATAAAGGAGCCAACTACGCACCGCTCTTCCAACCTGGCCCTCTTTCTATCCTGCACCCGCCAGCTCCTCATGTGAATACAATTCTCCTCGCTGGTCGCTTTCCCAGCATTCTATGCTATGACCGCCGCTACTTCCCTCGGCTACAGACCACAGTCCATTCCGGCGGCCGACTTTGTGGTCTTGCCTCAGTACCAGCGCCTCGGTTCCCCGTGTTCTCAGACTCCACCTACCCTTCGTCACATTCCGTCGTGGCATGCGGAGACTACAATGGACGAGGCTCGCTGGAACTCTATAATCTCAAACCAGCACGCGAAGAAGACCACAGCCCCCCAAACACGACATCCAGCCTCACCCCAGAATATAAGAACCGCCAAAGCGCCGCGAGTTCCAAATTACTTTCCGTGGAGTCGCACGGCAATCGCATCGTTTTTTCCGACGCCGAGGGGAATATCAAGTGGACCGAGCGAAACGGTCGTGCAGAAGTCAGGCGGTGGAATATCAATACCTCCCAGCCTCAGATCCCATTCGGTCGTCGTAGTCGACAGCCAACCCCGCTAACAGAAGAAGACCAGCAGCCGCGTGGGCTCTGGCCTTCTCAATCGTCGGGCAATAACGAGGTAGCTCGCAAGATCCTCCCCACTGGTGGAAATCTCACTGGAGATGAGCTGCTTATCTGGACTGGAGAGCGGATTGGTCGTCTCAAGTTTTCCATTCCTGCAGATTATGCGATGGTGGTCGATGATAGAGAAGTTGATGAAGATGATGACGTGTTCATGCATGCGGAAGTCGATGAAGCTACACGTGAAGAAATGCGGCATAGACGGCGTGACGATTGGGAGAGAGAGCAGAGATATGGGGATTACATGCGCCGTGCGCTTGAGAGGCAGGCGGATGAGGTCCGTTGGATGGGTAGTCAAGGACTTGGCTGATTTCGTTTCTTTATATCTATTATATCTGGATACCCAATTTTAGGTCAAAATTTCTCCTATATCTGCGTAGTAATTTACAAAATATCTACTGCTATAAACCTTGAAAGAATTAACAAAATTCCCAGACCTCGGAGCGAAACATTGCCCTTCTGGGCTCCCGAGGCTTAGCAATCGCCGGGTCCGCATTTCGGCTCCCCGCGCCGAATATCACGGTCATTTCTAATGTTCTTGTAAGCCAGTGACTCAGTCTCCAGTCTTCTTTTTCTTTCTTGGTTCTAGAATTCGAACATTATTTCTGTTGATCAATTGTTTATCCTCTTCTTACTCATATCTCCTGCACGCCCGTGCACTTTGAACTACTCAATCCTCAAAATTCCGCAGTGAGGGGCAAAAAAGAAACCAAGATGCCTTCACCCACAGAAATCGCCCACCAATTCGACTCAATTGAAGATACAATTGCGTCATTTAGTAAGTGATTCTTCCAGACACGCACTCGAATTCACCATTGCGAGCATCCAGCTGCTCGCGGCGCCTTGCGACTCGACCACACGACTAACGAAGACCCACTACAGAGAATGGCGAATTCATCATTGTCCTCGATTCGCAAGACCGCGAGAACGAGGGCGACCTAATCATCGCCGCCGATTCCATCACAGCCGCCCAGATGGCCTTTCTGGTGCGCCATACGAGGTAAGAGCGCCACCCAACTAAGACAGCGACGAAAACCTGCTGCCAAAGCCCCAAACCCGCGTTCTCCTCCCCGCAATTGCAAGCCACAAAGACAAATGCGCCAATCCCAATCCAATCTTCGCAAACCTTGCTAACAATCCCAAAACACAGCGGTTTAATATGCGCACCCATCACCCCGGAACTCGCCACTCGCCTCGCTCTCCCACAGATGGTAGCCGAGAACGCCGACCCAAAGTGCACAGCTTACACAGTCACAATCGACTCCAGCGATGACTCCGTGACGACGGGTATATCCGCTGAGGACCGCGCATTGACATGCCGCACTCTTGCCTCTCCCACGGCGCAGATCGACTCCTTCCGTCGGCCGGGCCATATCATCCCCCTTCAGGCGCGCCCTGGCGGCGTGCGCGAGCGAACGGGTCACACCGAGGCTGCAGTGGATTTCTGTAAGCTTGCTGGTAAAGTGCCGGCCGGTGTTATTGCTGAGCTTGTTGAGGAGGGGGAGGTTGTTGAGGGTGTTGCGGAGATCGGGGGAAATAATGGTATGATGCGTCGGGATGCGTGTTTGCGATTTGGAAAGAAGTGGGGTATTAAGGTGTGTACTATTGAGGATTTGGTGGTGTATTTAGATCGTGTGGAGGGTACTGGTGCTGTTAATGGAAAGCATTGAGTAATGGCCTTGGGTTTGATGATGCGGTTGGGATATTTGAATTCTTGTTGGCCGTGTGCTTTGAGTACCTTGTACATCATTACGCCTCTTCTTGGATACCTTTGTAGATGAATTGATGCATATGGATAGACTTGTGTCTTCGGTGGGTGGGAATATGAGTGTAGAGAGATGGAAGGACTAGATACACAAAGGAAATTTCGTTAAAGATATGCAAGTGGCTAGGGTTGCGAGGAATCGAATAATGTTTATTTGGGTATCTGTCATTTTCTGCGTGTATTGTACAAATGTCAATGGTGTCGACGCAAATGTAAGAATTATGAATGAGTTTCCATGCGGCCCCATTGTCGCCGCATGTGTTTCTCTAAAACGCCAAAGCAATGCAAAGCAATGATAATATCAAAGCAACTTCTGGTGGGGCAACCAGCAAGGTGAGACCCTTGCGGCATCCTAACAACTTACCGTTTAAGATGCGAGTAGTCCCTGAGAATGCCAGTCATATGAGTATTGGTAGTCTTGCCGCTCCGGCGCGGCTTCTTGGACTTCTTAGACGGCGCAATGACCCGGGGACCAAGCACCTTGTTCTTGTTGGTGGGTGTGATGCCGAACTTGTCCAATTCTTCCTTCACTATATTCGCATCGGGAACCTTGATCTTCTCCCAAATCTGCTTGAACTCATCATCGAAGTGTTCAATTAGGGACGGATCGTTAGGCCACACCATCTTGGGATGGTCATCCTTCTTGTTTCGAGTCACAAGCAGTTTTCCCTCCCTCTCCATCTGGTTGATTTCCTCTTCGACAGTGGGCCAGCCCTCCCGGAGTTCGCGAACACTCATACCCGCCGCAGTTTTTTGGGCTTGGAGGTATTTTAGGAGTTGCTCCGAGTTGCGAATGTTGTGAGGTGGACGGAACCGAAATGTGCCCTCGCCGTTCGCGCCGCTCGGATCAAACTCAACCTTCTCATGCATCTGCAGAATGCTCCGGAGAGCCTGCACGTAGCCCTGATCATGCGCGCGATGCTGGAGTGACAGGTATGAGATGATATCCGAGAACTTGAGTGGCACGTTCTTGCTCTTCATGTGCTCGATCGCGAACAACACTTGCGTCATAATATCTTTGCCCGTGCCTGTGTTGGCCGGCTGAGAGTAGACGATATCCGGGTCATGGCGCTTCTTTTTGATCTCGATGGAGGATGACGGCGTCGGTACGGACGATGGGACCTGAGAACTGCTGGCAGATACAGGTTGGTTGCTGACCACACGTCGCTGTGTGGGCATGCGGTTTGCCGACTCCACGACACTAGCGTTGAAGCTTTTGAGCTGATTCTGAAGGTACGACATGGTTGCGATGAAGGATCGGAGATCGCCGAGATTCAAGAGAAGAATGGAAGGGAGGCAAGATGATAACCAGCCTTGATTTGACTAGATCGAGCTAAGTATTCAAATGGCTCTTTCCATAGGTATTGTGAGTATTGCCTTAAAGGCAAAAAGACAATACACGCCCAAAAGAGTTATGTTGAGAATGAGGACAGCCTAGTCAATCAGTTAAGCTTCGAGGAGAGTACCTATTAAAAGATTGAAGGCCAGACAAAGAATGTCACGTGCTGGAGCTCAGCATCCCAAAGCGCGGAAATGGATCTTGAACACCCTTGGAGTCACCTCACCACCATTTCTTCCAATTCACCTTTCATTCAATCCTTCCTTCTCTCCTTTGAGAAGACACACTTTTCCTTTTACACATCGTCATGACCTGAGGTCCCTCGCGCAGCGCTGTGTGTAGTTGTCCAAACAGTACACGGCGCGCCTGTCCTCGAGGACCCAGCTCTAGCTTGCGCCGCGTACACTTGCATTTCTTAATTTTTCCCGCCAAGGCAGCTGAGTGCTGCAGCTCGCTGACAATATGGCTGATACCGCCATTCAACTGCCATACCTCTCATCGCACTATGCGCTCCCGGAATCGGCACTCACTACCTTACGGCAGGCCCCAACAGTGGAGCTTGTCAATCAACTTTTAGAATCAATCAATACAAAAGCCCACGAATCTGACGAGCTCAAGTCCGACAAGCTCCGCTTGGAGGTAGAGCTTGAGAATGCTGTGCGCAGCAATGAATCGAAGGTCAAGGTTCTGAAATCCAGCGTAGAGAAGGGACATGCAGAGGTCGAAGATTTGAGGAAAAAGCTGCACGAAGCTGGTATCTATCGCTCTTTCTTTTGTATTGCTAATGAAATCCTTTCTGACATTGAATAGAAACTACCCGTTCCTCACTCGAAACCGAGATCTCTACACTGAAATCATCGTCCACGTCTAATGAATCGGAAACCACATCTTTGAAAGCGCGTATCTCATCTCTGGAGGCGTCGAATAGAGACACACTGAGCTTGCTCGAATCGAAATCTGCGGCCTATGATAAATTGGCAGAGGAGCTTTCGCTCCAGCACAAGAAGACTATCGAATTACGACGTGAACTCTCGACCGCGGAGCAAAATCTCCAGAATTCCAATGCGGCATCTGCCAGCGCCCGCTTCCGTGAACAGAGCCTTCAACAAGAACTAGATCTCACCAAAAAGAACAATGAATGGTTCGAGACCGAACTCAAGACAAAATCCGCTGAATACATCAAGTTCCGCAAAGAAAAAAGTGCTCGGATCTCGGAGCTTCATCGGGACAACGAAGAAGCAAACTCGACAATTGACTCTCTTCGACGAAGTGAGAACTCGCTTAAGAGTCGCCTGGACGAAACAGAGCAACGGTACGAAACCTCTCTGGCTACCATTCATCAATTGAAAGAGGAAGCCATTCAGGCAACCGAATCCTTCCGCATCGAACTGGACAGCTCCAACCGATTGGCTGAGCTACAAGGATCTGCTGCCCAGACAGCCAAGCAACGGGTGCAAGAATGCCAACTGGCCCTCGAAAAGACAAAGGATGATGCGGCACAGGAAATCTCACGCCTGCGTGTGGAGCTTGAGACGGAGTCCAACGACAAGGTAGCCGCGGAACGCCGGATTGGTGAACTCGAGGCACTTGTTGCTCAGCTTGAGTCTGAACCTGCCAGAGGAAGATCAGCAAGCCCCGCTGTCTCTATGAATGGAGGTGCACCCAGTACACCTCTGCGATCAAGCATCATGCGTGCTGGCACTCCTACCGGCTCGTTCTCCCCACGCGCATCTCGTGGTAAGGGTGGCATGAATGTCACACAAATGTACTCCGAATACGACAGAATGCGAACCGCTCTTGCAGCTGAGCAGAGAACTTGCCAGGAACTCCGCAATACTGTTGATGAGATGGTTCAAGAACTTGATTCAACCAGACCCGAAATTGAGGAGGGACGGGCAGAACAAAAGCGTCTCGACCATGCTGTTGTGGAAATGTCTACTCTCCTCGAAGCTGCTGGCAAGGAACGTGATACCGCTCTCAAGGAAGCCAGGAAATGGCAAGGTCAAGTCGAGGGCTTGGCTCGCGAGGGTGACATTCTGCGCCAGCAACTTCGCGATCTCAGCGCAGAAGTCAAGGTTCTCGTTCTGGAGGTTGCTGTCGCAAAACACGGCGAAGAATACGACCGTGAGGAGCTCGAGAGAATCGCTCGGGGTGAAGTCGAAGAGTCAGCTAAGGATCTTAATGAAACTGGCCGCTTTATCAGCAAGCACCTTACAACTTTCAAGGATCTTCACGAACTCCAGGAGCAGAATCACACCCTCCGACGCATGCTAAGAGAACTTGGCGATAAGCAGGAGGGTGAAGAGGCGCAAGCCAAGGAACTTGCGCGACAGGCAGATCTGGATGAGTTGAAGGAGTTACGGATCCGTGCGCAGACAAATCGTGATGAGATTGCGAACCTCAGCGCACAGATGCAGAGTTACGTCAAGGAGCGCGATACATTCCGCAGTATGCTCATGCACAGAAAGCCAACCGTCGACGACCAGAATGTCTTCTCGCAATCTATGCCTCTTGGTGCTGCTCCCCAGGGAGCCATGGAAACATCAGGACCTGACTACGCTGAGTTGCTCCGAAAGGTTCAAGCCCATTTCGATACTTTCCGTGAAGAAACGACGACGGACCACAAAGCCCTGCGGCAGCAGGTCAACGAGTTGTCGCGTAAGAACAGTGAGCTTATGTCTGACATCAGTCGGTCAAGCAGCCAGCTTGCTGCTGCTACCCAACGCGCGGAGCTTTTGCAGAGCAACTTCAATATGCTCAAAACCGAGAACACCGAAATCCAAAAGCGCTACTCTACCCTCTTCGAAAATGCAAACCGACAAGATATCCGCACCCAGCAAGCCGCTGAAGATCTCGTGGAGGCCAAGGGTCTCGTTGAGAGCCTTCAGAGAGAAAACGCCAACCTGAAGGCCGAGAAGGATCTTTGGAAGAATATTGAGAAGAGACTGATTGATGACACTGAAAATTTGCGAAATGAGCGTAGTCGTCTGGACTCATTGAATGCGAACCTTCAAACTATTCTCAACGAGCGTGAACACACTGACTCCGAAAGCCGACGCCGACTTCAAGCCAGCGTCGAAGCACTTGAAACCGAACTGCAGTCGACGAAGCGCAAGCTCAATGACGAAGTTGAGGAATCCAAGAAGGCTAGTATGCGCCGGGAATATGAGCAGGAGACATCACAAAAGCGAATTGACGATTTGGTCACCAGCTTGGGCTCAGTCCGCGAAGAGCTGGTTGCTGCCAAAACTACTCGGGATCACTTGCAGTCCCGCGTTGATGAGCTTGCAGTTGAGCTCAAGAGTGCCGAAGAGCGTCTGCAGGTCTTGAACAGGAGACCAAGCGTGTCTGCTGGCACCACCGAGGGACCTATTGAGGGCGAGGAGTCTGCTGAAGGAAGCGGTCTTTCTCGCGAGCAGGAACTTTCAATTGAAGTTTCTGAACTCAAACGGGATCTAGAGTTGGCTAAGGGTGAACTTGAACACGCAAAGCAATTGGCTGAAGACTACCAGGCGATCAGCCAAGCTAGCGAAGAACGTCTGGAGTCTGCCACCGAGACACATGATCAGTATCGCGAAGAGACCGATCGTCTTGTGGAGGAGAAGAACTCGAAGATCCAGGACCTCGAAACTCGCATTGAAGAGATCTCAGCTGAACTGTCTGCCTCTAACAATGAAATGACCAAGCTCCGCGAAGAGCAGGCGGAAGTAACGCGTCGTCTGGAAGAGCAGAAGGCCGACTTCGAGTCGGAAATCACTCGTCTCAAGGCCGACAATGAACGATATGTCACTGCTACACAGTATCACCAGGAGGACCTGAATGCGCAGGCCGAAATTGCCAAGCATGCCCAGCAGAACTACGAGACTGAGCTCGTTAAGCACGCTGAGGCAGCGAAGAATCTACAGGTTGTTCGCGCCGAGAGCAACCAGCTCAGACTCGACATCGCTCAGCTTCGAACCCAATCCGAAGGCTACAAAACAGATCTGGCTCAGAAGGAGGAAAGCTGGGCGGAGCAGCGAGCCACGTACGAGGGTGAGCTCTCTGAATTGCATAAGCGTCGGGAGGAGGTCATTCACCAGAATTCCGTCCTTCACGCTCAGCTCGAGAATATCACTAGCCAGATCTCGTCCTTGCAGCGGGACCGAATGAATGTTTCGGACGACGAGCAAGAAGGAGACCAGGCAGCCCCTAATCTCGAGGGCCTACAGGAGGTCATCAAATTCTTGCGCCGTGAGAAAGAAATTGTCGAGGTTCAGTACCACCTTTCTACCCAGGAAAGCAAGCGACTCAACCAGCAACTCGACTACACTCAGTCGCAGCTTGATGAGACCCGTTTGAAGCTTGAGCAGCAGCGCCGTGCTGCGGCCGATAGCGATTACAACGCATTGAACCATAACAAGCTTTTGGAGACTATCAATGAGCTCAACGTATTCCGCGAAAGCAACGCCACTCTCAGAAACCAACTAAAACAGACCGAGGCTGTGCGTGATCAAAAGATCGCCCGCGAGAATGAGCTGGTCCAGGAGATCGAACCTCTCAAGACCAGGATCCACGAGTTGGAGAGCCAGAGTGAAGCCAAGGATGGAGAAATGCAGCTTCTACAGGCCGATCGCGACCGATACCAACAACGTATTCAGAACATCCTTCAAAAGTACGACCGTGTCGATCCTACTGAAATGCAAGAGCTGAAGGAGAAGCTCGCGAGCCTCGAGAACGAAAAAACCGAGGCCGTCTCCCAGCGGGAAGCTCTCCAGACCGAGATGGAGTCACTACAGGCTCAAATCGCGGCGTTCCCGGAGCAGCTCAAGCAGCATTCCGATGACCGTGCACAAGAATTGCGATCCAAGCTCACAGAGCAATTCAAGGCACGCTCTAAGGACCTTAGCGCTCGTGTCAAGGCCAAGCAAGATGAACTAAATGTGGTGTTGCAGGAGAAAGAGGTCATCCAGGCAGAACTCCAGACCACAAAGAACGAATTGGAGGCATTGAAAACCAAGATGGCAGAGGCGCCAGCCAATGTGCCACCTGCTCCGGCTCCAGCTGCAGCCGCAGACCAAGAAGCCCCCGTCAATGCTACCCCGGCTTCACAATTCCCAACCGCGACTGTCGCACTTCCTGGTCCTGGTGACGCTCAAAAGATCCAAGACCTTGAGCAGAAGATCCAGCGACTTGAAGCAGCTCTTGCTGAGAAGGATGGACTTCTGGCGACACAGGCCAGCGAACAAGATGCTAAGATCAAGGAACGCGCCGACCGCCTTAAGGATCTCTACAACTCTAAGCTGAACGAGGTCAAGGCTGCCCATCGTCAAGAAATTGAGAAACTGTCCGCCAGTGAACAATCCATACCTGAAACGCCAGGCGCGGCCCCAGACGCAGCCCCTGCAACCCCGTCAAAGTCGTTCGAAGTTGCCGGATTCACCATTCCCGAGTTGACAGATGCTCAAGCAAGAGAGCTGGTCGCGAAGCACGAGACTATTCGCACAATCGTTCGGAATAACATTCGCGGTCAAGTGGCCCGCGAGCAACAAAAGCTCCAACAAGAGGCCCAAGCCTCCTCCGGTGCCAATGAAGCTGCATTGGCTGGACTGCAACAAAAGTCAGTTGAGGAAAGGGAGGCCTTGATCAAGGCGCACGAGAATGAAATCAAGGAGAAGGTGAACTCGGCGGTTGAACTTGTCGAAAAGAAAACAGCTGCTCGCCTTAGCATGCTTGACACCAGATTCCGCACTGCCAATGCCAAGATTGATGTGGTATCGAAGGCTGCAACGGAAACTCCGCAAAAGCCTGTCGTGGAAGTATGGGAAATTGCAAAGACTGCCCGGCCTGCACCAGTCCCGGTTCCAGCTGCTAAGCCCCCGGTACCAGCAACCCAAGTCCAACCCGCTGGCCCCGCTCCAACTCTAGCGGCGCCGCAAGTCCCAGTTACAGCCCCCTCGGCACCTGTCGCTGCCCCGCCCCCAGCTGCGGCCCCTGCTCCTGCCTCTGCCCCTGTGGTAACAGCCCCGAATGTTCCAACGCAGCAAGCCGCTCCTACCACTACTACGCCTTCCGAGACTACTACACCCCAGCAAGGCGGAGCACAGCCCACAGCGCCAGCCAATCCTTTCGGCCAAGTTCAACAACCCGATCAAACTCAGCAGGCCTCTTCCCTCCCCAGCAAACCTCCTGCTGGAAACCCACCTGGTCTGATGCGAGCTCTCCAATCCGGACTTCCTGTTGCAAGAGGCGGACGTGGTGGCCGTGGTGGTGGCCAGCAATTCGGCCATCAGCAACATGACCAACAGCAGCAAGGTCACGGCCAGAGCCAAACGCAACGCGGCCCGGGCCTGCAGCGAGGTCGAGGCGGTCGTGGTGGACAAGGTCGTGGTGGTAACCAAAATCAAAACAACGTCGCCCAGGCTCAAAGCCCCACTGCCAACCGTGGGAACCTGAACGCCTCGGCCCGTCAGTTCATTCCTGGGGGCAACAAGCGTTCTCGCGATGAGGGCCCTGACACTACCACCGAGGCTGGAAGCGGTGGAAAGAGACAGAGAGGTGGCGGTGGCCCGCAGCCTCGTGGCGGAGGCTCTTCTTGAGCAGCAATCGTCGTTTATCTTTTCAATGTTTCTATTCTATTAATGTATTCTCGATTTCATTGACAAATGCCGCGTGGACTCGTTCATGAATGGGTATCTACGTCTGCCTATGCCATATGGCGCGTTGCTTTTCATGTTTTAACCTGCTATTCAGGAAGCAGTTTCTTTTCTTTTGTCTTGTATCTACTGAATGTGTGGCGTTCCTAGGGGTTTCTATTTCTACTCCCAATTGATAGAATTCAATTGTAAAGTATCTCGTGCATTATCTTTGTAACCGCCCACGATAGACTGACCACTGTAAACGAAAATGGGGTATAAGCTGCTAGAACACGCGAATCTATCCAAGAAAATAAATCTGGCCTGACAGAAGAATACAAGCTCAAAATAAACAAAGAATATCGACAAGAAAGCATCTTGAAATCACTTCTTTCTCCCCCCAGCAGCAGGAACAAGCATTCTTCCAAGGACCTCCCTCTCCTTCTGTAAAACCATCAACCTCGCATCTTCAATAACCTTACCCGCCGGCGCAGGACCAGGAAGCGGCGTCTGCGCAACCTGCGCCGCACCCACAACAGCCGGACTCATTTCCTTCACACCACGAGCTCTCTTCCTCCGCATTCCCGGGCCCTGCCCATACACGACAACCCACTCGGCAACAGATCCACCAGCGGCAATTTCACACCCAGAACACACCTTCGAGTGCGCACCGATATCCGCACCGCGGCGAATCGTCGCTAGAGCCTCGATCGTAGCAGAAGAATGAATATGAGCTCCGGGTTCGACCGTGGCCAACGGACCAACAGTAACAAAGTATGAGATCCGCGTCGATGTCTCTTTCCTAGGCTCAGGTGTCGACGCCCCCGACTCGGTGGGTGTTGTGCTTGTTGGTCTAGACGGCGTCGGTGAGCGAGATGATGCTGGCGGAGCTCCGATTACCGCTTTCTCGCAGATTATACAGCCGTCCTCAACGATGATTGGGCCTTCGTAGGCGTAGAACTTGGCGCGCGGGTGGATGACTGTCCCTGCGCCGATGGTGACGAGGTGTCGGCCTTGGAAGGCGACTGTGTCGGCGATTGTGGCTGTTGGGTCGACTTTGAGGGGGGCTTTTGGTGGCCCAGAGCTGTGAGAGGAGGAGGAAGAGCGGTGGGTATTTGTTGGAGGTTTGAGGGTCGCCATCTCAGTGGCTTGTGTCAGAGGAGGTGGTGTCCGGGGAGATCTATGATCGTAGCTCGCGCCGCTTTTTGGGGTACGTCTCTTAGTCAGCTTACAGGGCCTGGGCAGCATCCATCCATCCATCCATCCATGACAGATAGATCGAGGTATACGATGCAGTTTCAAATATTGGAATAATCTGTTGAGATAGAAGGGTTGCTGTATAGCGTAGGAAATGCATTCGTCATATGTTCCAAGCTGGGGTATCTAAAAATCCAAACCCAAATGTAAAGCGCAATATCCCCCAATGTAGGAGGATCGATTGGATGAGACAGCTAAGGACCTCATCATTCCTCCGCAGTCTATACCTTGATTGCATTGCGCTTTCTCCAAGCTCTCACACCCCGGTCGACCTCCTCCCTGGTCATCCCATCGCGCACCAAGCAAAATGTAACCCCCAACTCCGTCTCCACGTTCCGGTTGCGCGCCTCGTCGTCGAAGAACAGCATATCCTCATAAGCAACACCGCTAGTCTGCTGGATTTTCGAGAAATGCGTAGTCTTATTTCCGGGGTATATCTGGATAAAATCAAAGTAATCGAGAGCGCGGATGGTCTTAGCGTTCGCGGCGGGGTTATCCGAGAAGGTGGGGATGATATGCAGGGATTTGAGCATGTCGCGCGCCAGATCAGGGGCCTGTGTTCGGGACGCAAGGGCCAGTGGGATCGAGCGATGTTTGCAGGCGTAAACTATGGATGAGACTGCCGGATAGAAGGCGAAGGACTCTCCCCATCTATTTGAGATAAGGAATGCGGGGTTAGACATCGGAATAGCTTCAAAAGAATCCAATCTCAATCGGGGAATTCGTCATACCGGTCTGCTGCGCGGGAGTTGTTGTCCCGTGCCTTGACAGGGGCGCTGACATGTGTGTCTACCCAAAACGGCCACAAGGTGTAGTCCAGGTCGAAAGCGATCAACTTCGGGAGGGGGAGACCGTCGGTGAAGGTCTCGGGGGCCACAGAGGAGTCCTCCAAAGGCTGAGTGTTTTGGCGCTTGGCTCGGAGCATGTTTGATTTTTCGGGCGTTCTTCGGGCGTTCTTTTTCGTACCAAAGGAAGATAGAAGAAGGAAGTGGACCATGGAAGCAATGGAAGATGACCCTGGATCGGAACGGCACGTGAGAACCATTACGGCCAGCGATTGCGACCAGCAGTAGAATATTCCATTGACCCACTTTATACATCGTGATCTTTGTGCCCGACGTGAGCTCGTAGCGAAGTCAGCTCGTAGTGTCGGGGGAATCATGACAGAGCCCATGATTGAGATTGTACCATCCAATCAAGAATCAGGGAGATGTAACCTCATAGACAGAAGGGCGAGACAGCACAATGTGTAAACTCCATGACAGCAACGTGAGCAGGGGTTATTAGACGATCTTTCTTCTCTAAACACCCGGGCAAGCCGAATACTTAATGAAAAAAGGATTTCGCGTCGACCGGGGTAGTGTGAGCCCAGTGACACAGTGCAACGAGGCATATGCAAGCACAGAGGCCAAGTCACGAGGTCCAAAGACTGCATAATCAGTAAAGTCCTGCGATGCAGGGCTATCAGCGATTAGGCTGAATAAGAACAGATACTACACTTGATCTAAGCCAGAAGGCAGAGAAAGCTGAGGGAAAAGAAGGAAGAAGAGGCCCTGGGGTCTCGGGATTCGCTTTATACCCCAAAGGCGGTAATGCCTGCCGGCAGTAAATCGAAGCGGTATAGAGCCGCCCCCGGGGGCTCGGGGTGGGGTGGGGTGGGGCGGACGGGGCGCTTACAGCGGAGTATCGGATAATCAATATTCCGAAGTATAAGTTCTACATGTAGGTAAGGTAGATGACGGCTATACATGAATAATGGTCGTACCAGCCCACCTGGGCACCCAGAATTCACAGGGTACGTCTGTCACATAACGCACCAGCACACCTGGGCACCCAGAATTCACAGGGTGCGTCTGTCACATAACGCATAAGTCCCTGCATCTGAGACATGAGACCAGGGATGGAGACTGCAGAAGACATCTTCAAAACATGGTTCTTCTAAGAACAAAGCAAGGTATCTGGTATCAGGCGACCTATGCGTCCTAGAAGATGAGGCAAACAAAGGGACATGGACATCGGGATGAGGAAACTTGGGAGAACCAATACAAAGACCATCATGAGATCGTATCATAAAGTCGAGAAAAATGTAAACATAGACCACAGGCAGATGAGCGAGACAGCACACGTGTGTTGACCTACAACGAGACAACAGATTGAGGAAGAAGGTATTAGACAGGAGCTTCCTTCTCCAAGCACCCGGGCAAGCCGAATAGTTGATGAAGGAGGGTCGCATCAACTGGGGGTAGTGTGAGCCCAGTGACACAGTGCAACGAGGCATATGCAAGCACAGAGGCCAAGTCGCGAGGTTTCAAAAAATGGAAGGCAAATGGAATGAGAGCTGCCAGGTCCATCGGGGAGCAAGTCCGACCATCAAATGATGTGCGCCACAGGTCAGTTCTCATTCAACTAGGGAATGAGGGGGTGGGGAGAAAAAAGGAAGAAGAGGTCTAGGCTCAAGGGATTTTTATATATCCTCAAGGCGGTGGCGATCTTCAGCGGAATACCGGCAGTATTTAGCGGTAACAATGAGCCCCGCAGAAAGATCCACGGGTGGAGTGACCGGCAGACGATGCCGCCTTCGGGATATCATTCCTCCGATCCGGTGGTATGTTTCAGCAGAAAAGAGTATAACCCTAATCTTGACTCTCTTCGCCCTCTGCCTTAGATCAGGCGTAATACCTGTTCTAATTAACTTGACTTCTAATAGCCTGCTCTGCAAGACATACCACTGATTTCAATCTTGGGCTCTGTGACTTAGTTCCATGCTTGCACATATCTTGGGGAAGCATCAAGGCAAGTCTAGACATCCTGAACCCGGAAGGGTTTAATCATGAATTTGTCCGCCAACTTCGAATTGCACCCTTCAAGACTGCACCTGTTGTATCTGGTGTGTCTGTTGTTTGATAATTGGCAATAACAAAGCTGGCGACTGAATTGCCAATTGTTGCTACTTGGTCGCGGGATCTTTCGGTCGAGGAGGCACAGTAGAGAGCAGCTTTTGAGGGATCGATCTGATCGTGCCGGGTTTCGAAATCGTATTTGTTTCAAGAGCTTCATCAGATTTGTGGAGGGTAAATGTGCCAGGATCAGACGCTCACTTGATTGGGTCAGTGCTTCGTCTTCCTGGAGAAGGGTACTCCATTTATCCTTGCGAGACATGATGGCAACCATGGAGCCTGTAGACACTCATAAGGCGAGGTAACAGACCTTTTAAGAGTTGAAATTCATCATGTAGATCAAATATTCAATCAATCTGATAAAATGAAAGTGTAATGTAGACATCCGACAGGGTCATAACTTAACAAGAGAGCAAAGAGAGAAGAAACGTATTACAAGTAATCATCGCTAGGGCAACAGGTCAGACAACACGATCTACAAATTTTCTTCTCCAAACACCCGGACAAGCCGAATAGTTGATGAAAAAAAGGTGGTCGCATCAGCCGGGGGTAGTGTGAGCCCAGCGACACAGTGCAACGAGGCATATGCAAGCACAGAGGCCAAGTCGCGAGGTCCAAAGGTTGAATAATCAGTAAAGTCCTGCGGTGCAGGGCTATCAGCGATTAAACTGAACAAGAACAGATACTACACTTGATCTAAGCCAGAAGGCAAAGAGAGCTGGGGAAAAAGAAGGAAGAAGAGGTATCGGGGTCCGAGGATCTACTTTATACCCTCCGGGCGGTGAGATAGAGCTGGCAGAATAAGGCAACGGTTCGGCTCGGGCCGCATTTAGCCGAGGCGGGCCGAGCCGAATACCGGGGATATAGGTACTATTTACTGATACATACCTAGCATGTGTCACAAAATACAATCCGCATGTGGCACGTGCGCATGAGATCTATATGCCCTGGTGTGCATAGCCAGAAATCCATAGATCTAGATCACTAAAATAAAACAAAGAAATTCTCTTGAATGGTGCAGCTTCTCTAGCTTCTATATGTTTGAACTAGCTGGAAAACAAAAAAAAATGTTCTGGAATAGCCACATAGTATCCGATATGATTCCAAGGGTAGCAATTTTAAAAGACATGAAGTCAAACCCCCAAATTTCTTTTGTATTTGAGATGAACGCTCAAAATTTCTGGCAATGAATTCAGTCGCGTTAAATCTCGGAGTATCGAGTAATGCTTAGTCCCATTGCCGATGGGAAGTTAATTTATCAAGAGTGAGCGGATATTCAAAATTATGTGAATTCATACTCATCCCATTAGCCTAGCAGAGGATTCAGGCAGGATGAAGGCCTTCCTGTATTGAGCCTGGATTCAAAGACTGCCCAATTCATACCTGTTATTTGACATGGTCCCTACGTTTGGCTCGAGTGTGAGGTTACAGTCAACATAGGGGATGACTGCACCCGATATGGCGGAATTTGGGGGGTTATATAGGGAGCGATAACCATCTAAACAAGCCCTGGGCAATTAATGGGATGGTCGTATTCGCGACCTCCACCCTTGCCCAAGCAAAGCGGAAGGTGAAAAATGGCTGGCGCTTCACTAATTGGCTGGCGCATTTGGAGTGCCTACTTCGCTTATGGCTCCATGAAGGGCTTGAGCCGATAGAACACCGAAGAAGGGAGCAAATCTTTAGGGATGTCATTGGGCGGAGAATAATGACTGGCCAGATAATTTCGCTCTCTAGTAACCCTGCGGGCCGGGGTATCACCCGGGAACTGTTTGGAAGCATCCATGGGCAACGGCTGGAGGTGACCAAGGTGACCAAAGGTCCAGGTTGCATTCACGAACTGGGAACTCCGTTATCATGGAAGAGGAGGCGTTTGGGGGAAGACGGAGGGTCCTAAGAAGCCCGACGACCCCTCTCACCCAAGGAAAAGACCGAGGCAAGATGAGGAAGGATGATATAGAAAGACAAGAGAAAGGCATTGAAGCTGAATATCTCGGAGGTCATGCCCTCCTAGCTGTGTGGCGGGACTCAACCTTGAGCAAATGTATATAGAGCGGGTAAAGCGACGGCAGCGGGGTACATGCAGTCTTTAGTACCAGGTGTGAGCACGAAAGCATCTATCCCCGAGCTCACTAAGTCCTTACGGCTTGGCGAAGGGAAGTTGAAAAACAACTTCCTATAGTACAGAAAGTGTGGGCTTTAGAAGCCCATGGCCAGCCATGCAAAATATGATACATACAATAATTTCGTTAGCATTTCGCTGGTAATGGCGGCAAAAGGAAAGAGATGATTCGCCTGCAGTATCCTTTACCCTAGTAAATGTGATATGGGTGGATCTCCTGCATGACGAGCTACTGAGCTTCACTACCATCCAACCATAATGCCCAATTTATGTCGAGGCGTCAATTTTCGAGCATCATAATGTGCGGAGCTAGCTATGCGATAGTCGTGGCTTGAATTAATAGGCTGCACTACATCATAAGCCACATTCGTGTCACATCCTGTTCGAGTCGTGTATCTAAATATATATTTGAGATTTCCATCAAAATGGGGGAAATCATCACCCTGGATAGCCATGGAAGCCGTAGGTTTAGCTTTTGCTGCATTTTCCTTGTTCAGTGAACTCGAGGCCTGCAGCAAGAGCCTTTGTCGATTCTCTCGGGATATTCGTATGGCCAAGGAGGAGGTCAAATTACTCAGATACGAAATTGCAAATTGTCGATTGCTAGCGAGCATTTTTGAAGAAGTTATTACACCAATTCAGAACAATGTTATGCGACTCGCCAGGGAAAACAAGCTTGATCAGCGGCTTCGCGAGCAATCAAAATTGGCCCACAACCAGATTCGAGAGATTACCCACAAACTCCAGCCATTGCACCGTGGCAAAAGTACTGGTTTTGAGAAATTCCAGGCAAAAATTCGATGGCATTTCATGAAAGGCGACTTTCAATTCCCGATGGCTACATTAGGTAGCGTGAAAGCCAGTCTACATCTGTTGACGACACTCTCGTTACTCGATTCCGCTGTTGCCAACTTCCTTCGGGTTCCGAATTCGGATTCTACAAGAAAATCACAAGCTCTTGATAAAATGTTAGTAGCCGGAGTGTGTGTACTTTGTGAGAAGCTAACGGGGAGGCGATAGAACAGCCTTGGAAAAGCAAACACGGCGAACAGAGCGACAATTCAGCGATTCGATGAGGGTGCTTCTCGAGCAAGGTTATCTCGATCAAAATCCAGACAATGCGGGCAATATACGAGTGATAGCTGTTACTATCAAAGATATTAAAAGGGGCACTGTCAAAGATGCACGAGATTTGGTTAAACGATTTACCAACCAGCACCAAGTTAAATCTCCAACAGATTCAGAAATCCCACCGCAGTTGACTTCTGCGGATGACATGTACTCACAAAGCGCTCCTCTCGTCAGGACCTCGCGGTACCCAAGCGCGGAAGACCATTTAATAGTGAGACTAAACGATCCTTCTCTTCGATCTCGAACCCTCGCTAGAGACAGCATCCGTACTCCCACCAATGAGCCCACGCCAGTTGGAAGTGAGCTAGAACTTCGACAAAAGCCTCGCCATCAAACCCAAGACTCTCCTCATAGCAGCAACCTGGTTATGGTTGAGTCCGAGCTCGAACCGCCTGTTTCCCACGCCTCCCATAGTCTAGTTACGGATACTCCTTACCCTCCCGACGCATCGCCAAGCATATATCAGGCTATGCCTCCCTTCAATGCCTCTGACCTACGAGACAGAGAGATACGAAACCGTCGACGTCAAAGCCGTTCTCGTAGCCAAATGGGAGAATGACAAGCCAACCTTGGGGGATCGTTAGAGCGGTCAAACAACTCATGTTGCTATCAGCATTACTGTCTAGGATGCCTACTTGACCCACCCACGATAGCCGTCCGACTGAAGCGGATTGTTGACGTCGCTTGCCTAAGCAGAGACTGTGTCCTTGAGATGTTGCACATCTGGGTACACTCATTAGTGATGAAGTTCTTATAGTCATGCAAGAGTTCATGAATCAACTGACAATATCTTGACAGCGAGTTGATACCATATTTTTAGGTTGTATATTTATTTCTATATACAATATCCCTAACAATACAACCCTAAAAATTCGTAAAAGCTGCTAGAATGAGAATTCTCAGAATAGCGACCGCAAAACAATATGTAGGTCAACCACTATTTGAATACTGAGAGTGATAGACCAAGTACAAAACAAGAACAACCAACAGCCATGAGCAGGCCTTTTGAACCATATTCTTTTCACGATGTTCGCCTTCCTCGTTCATAAGTTTTCTCAGAAATATCTATAGATTTGTCAAGTCAGTACGCATTCACAAATGCTTAAGACCGAACTTATACGGAACAGCGGGACAGTGTTTGATTAAATTATATGTGTATGGTAACCTCGTTTTCTGAACTTACCAAGATTCTGCGCTTTCCCCTCTTCCATCTCTTCTATTTCCTAGAGACTGGCGTTGGAGGCGTATATGTTCTAACCACTGCGTGTGCCAGATATATCCAACGGCGAGTAAATCAAGTTTGTCTCGCCCCCGAAAGAATCCACGAAACATTCTTATGACTAGCGGAGGGTCCGGGCTAGGTCGACGTTTGTTCCGGCCCTAATAGGCTCTTTTTCCTTACCAGAAGAAGAATGGGGATCTCCCCTTGGGATCTGGCTGGTATTGGTGGGAATATGGTGTTGTGACGTTAGCACTGACGGAAGTGGCATCCAGAACGATAACGACGGGCACGGTCATAACCCTTGGGGTATTGTATCCCCTAGACTTGATCAGAAATATGTACAAGCACACGGTTATATGTGGTCATTTCCATGTCTAGAAGAAGCAAAATGAATTGGCATACCGGTCCATCTTTACTGTGAGGCATCAGATTGAGACAAGGGAGTCAACAAGATCATGAAACATACCTAGAGCATAAACCACCATGGCCAGGAGGATCCGGAACAAACCCTTCATGTCTTTTTGATGCCCATGGAAGAAATCCCCAGTGCCCACCGTAAACGCGCTGAAGGGCCTAGAACAAATACTCGACGCGTCTTTTTTGGAGAAGTGTTTGTTTTGATGTTTATGGGAGAAGGCCCATTTGGGCGAAGGCTGATCGTTGTCTCTTGTCACTCCCCAATCCCGGCGCTTTGGCATATATATAATGGGTTTGAGAATCTGACATCAATGTTTCCTTTTCTTTAGGTTTGTATCTATTCGAATATATGCACAGATAGCTTTTACTCTTGCCCTCTCGTTGACCCGGCATTCTAATGCACACTGAATAGTACATCCAGAGGTTGAATTCTACATCTCAGAGAATTTCTAATAGTTAGAGTGTACTAACTTGCTACTCATACCAAAAGGGGCTTCCATTAATGGCTGGCAAAGCTAAGACAAGCAGGTTTCTACCAGTTACAAGTGAGCCTGATCATTACCAGCCTAGCTTTGGTGAGTTCAGAGTGGAGGGTTGTGACGCTTACCTGTGACTTATAGCGAATCAACTCTAATGCCCAGCTCCCATGTTCCCCATCAATATCTTCTAGGGTGAGTGTCAAAGATAGAAAGCAGTTCACATTCAATACGTGATGTATGTAGCACTCCTCATCGCGTGAACCAGAGGGTTGAAGCAACATTCGTCTAGATACCAGGGTTTAATCCGTCGAATAGATTTCCTCTCTTCTACTATTACAAACCTTGGATCATGAAATGAATCTATAAAACGAAGATCCAATCAGATAAAGAAGATACAGACATAAGATTCTAACAAATGATGGGGAAATGAAAAGAAACGCGGTCAAGTAGTCTAAAATGCATCAGCAGAAAGAATCAACAAGGTCAAGAAGTGTGATGCATGACGCAATCAACATTGAAAAGAAACTCCCATACCACCTCCCTTAGTTCCTTCTTAGGTATGCAGATGTTACCGACCTCTGCCATATGTAGGAGAATATTCTTCCTCTGTTGAGCAGTGAGAAAATCTCCTTTGTCAAGTGCCATACCCATGACATCAGACCATATATCAAGCGACATCCCAAGGCGCCAGGGCTCCTGATACTCCTGCCCCTCCAATACTCGACGGGAACGAAGTACTCCGATATTGATCGCATCGACCAAGTCCCGTTCAGGTCCAAGGCACTGAAAGAGCTTTCTACCGGACGAAAGTTGAGCCTTTGTTTTGAGTCAGTCACCATCCTCGAATAAGATCAAAGTACTCCACTTACTTGAATAATCTCCTCACTGGACAGGACAGCTCCCACCATAATCGCCATCTGTAGGGCAATTCCCCAGATCTCCGAGGCTCGGACCTCATCGTCAGTCGCGAGATCGTAGATCTTTTTAGTGACCGATTGAAATTTCCTGTCAGATCTACCTTTCCACCCCCTGCCTTTGTACGAGGGAACCGGTATTGGGGGAGTCTCTAATTGGTTGATTGCCACAGCCAAAGTGTGTCGGTAGAAAGACGGAGCTTGCTGAGCAATTGTAGTTGCCCAGCTCAGCAATTGACGGACGTCTTGAATCAAATGCTCACACCGATCCCAATTGATGCTCAGATTCTTCTCCGCCGTTTCCGGTTGGGAAGAAGATACCTTCGTCTTCGGAAGATAAAAGCAGAGGAACTCGCGTGATTCCTGCATGCACAGAATGCTAGCCAGATGGATAACACCAGTGGCAGACAGGGGGATTCCTGTCAGACCAAAGTCCGGCACCGCCCGTAGTCCACGAGTTTTGCAGAAGTGTCTTCGATTGCTCTCTGATGCAATCTCAAACAGGTCCTGAGGCTGAGGCGTTGAATTTTGATCTCCAGAATGCGCGGATCTCCGACCTGTGTCATAGATGGAGATAGAGGAAAAGTGATCAGCGCGACGACCATTTTCGCCAGAGGGTAGCGTCTCGATTCGGCTAACAACACTAGAATCACGACCACCCTCGGAGAGAGCAGTGCTCTGATCGGGGAAACCCAACTTGCTGCGGATGAAAACCCTAGCCAAGATCTCCACACCAGAACTACCGAGAGGATTCCCACTGAAGTTGACTTTCCTGAGCATGTAGCACTGCTCAAAGGAGTTCAAGAAGTACTTCCAAGCCGCCCTCTATCCAGCAGTATCAACCTTGATGCAGTTCTGAGACAGATCAAGAACGCTCAGATCACCGGTACTAAGCCTGATCGCCATCCCAAGCTTAGGCAACGACTTAACGGTCAGACAATTGCCGCTCAGCTGGAGCTCGAAGAGGTGGACAGCGCCTTCGGAGTGCTTGTCATCTTTCTCCTTCTGGAGAGTCTCGAGCAAGGCTTCGATGAAGATATCGAAGCCCTCGTCGGTCAGGTTGCGGCCTGACAGCTTGATCTTGACTACCGGGTTGTGGGAGGCTGCGTCGCAGCTGTCTCCTCTGTGGAGACTTTGTCTCTGTTGAAAGTTAAAATCAATAGCAATGGACGACTCGGGGGAGACCTTACCAATTCTCTGGCAGCGATTCTGCCTATCTCAATACTTTCGGTTGTTTGCTGGAGAGGATATGTTAATATCAATTACCATCCCGGAACTTTCTCTGGGTGGTAGTTACAGAAATGTGATGCGTGCGAGACATGTTGGTTGATTTAGAAGGTTCAGTCCTGCTGTTGTTTTGTCCTTCTAAGGTTGGATAATATTCAAAATTGGAGATTTCAGAAGAAGTCTCAAATATATTTGCAGCTGGGGAAACTTGTAACAAAAAGCTGGACTAAATGCTGAAGTCAATATATTGTTGAATGCTGTGTGTATCCAAGAACATTGGGGCGTGCAATGGGACTTTTATATTTGGATAACTGATATACTACGTACTGCCATACCTAATACTAGACTCATCTTAAAATCTACCCCTGATTGAGTATATAATGAATCTATGTAGCAAAGCACATGGAGTATAGTATCAAGATGACACAAGACGAGAACATGAGTTGAAAAATAAGAACAATGCCCATCATTTTGGACGACGAACATGACTCAATAGCCAAAAGAACAAGAAGAACAAGGACAAAAGGAACTTGAGATACTTGGGATGGATGTCTGAGGCCAACAATGGTGTATTTTGACCAGTGTTTTGGATTCATACTTGAAGTGAGACATTGGAGCAAATCAAAGCAATGGAATTCTTTCAGTGGACTTTGGTAGTACCCCTGCTCATTGAATCCATATTGATTGCTCTACAAGAATATTTGACTCCCTATGCGATCTTGTCATGTCTTTTGGTAGTATTTTACCGCTCTCGGTTTTATCACTAGAAAGATAACAAACTAGAATAGTCTTCAACTGGAATCTTCCATGTATAATCAGGGATAATGATTTTATTCCGTGCAGGTAATCCTAAATGTCAATACAATATATATACCATCCCCAGTATCCTAATATATAGAAGTAAGACAAGCCAGAATTTGCGAAAGTTTGCCTCAATCCAGCAATAAACCCTGGAAATGAAGGGATAGAAAATAAAAAGAAGAAAAACATCCCACTACTTGACCAGCGATTCTCAAGTGCCTAAATAAATCGAATAATATCCTTGAACTCATCAAGCAGATCGATACCATTGTCGTCCCATCCTGGAGTCAAATCCATCCGACTGCCAACCACAGGCGAAATAGGAGATGCAGGTTGCCCAGGACTCAGTGTTTGTTCATTGTTCAAAGAATTTGAAGCGAGAACCTGAAAATCTGAAACCAAGGGTCCCTGCCTCACCCGTTTTTTCTGCTCTTCCTTTTGATCGTCTTCCCTCGCCTTTCGTTTCGGGTTGGAGAACTGGTCTGTTCTTGTTGCGAGAGACAATGTGTTCTGCTTGACAAGAGAGTCTTTGTTTGCTGCTATCGGCAATTCCGTTGAATCCGGTGGTGTGTCATCCGGGATCTCGATTATCTCGTGTTGGGTTTTGGAGTTTGGTAGCTTGGTTTGGTCTTTTTGAGGGAGCTGTAACCCTGAGGCAGGCGGGTTGGGGTCTCTATGTTTTCTTTTAATACCCGGAACATGTGCGATATTCTTCACCGGGTCATCATGCACCACCGGAGAAATTGATGCTGCAAACCCCGATCCTCTATTTCCGAGAAGACGTGATGGCGAGGGGAGATCAAAGTTTTCATCGCCATAATCACTCGAGAGGGGTTTCGCCGAACTGTTTTCCCGCGTTCTCTTATATGAAGGAATATTCTTGTCCCTCCCCAAAAGCACAGACTTCTCCCCACTTGTGCTCTTCTTTTCAGCTTGCAAGGTCGACACTTTGACTTTTGAAACATGATCGTCATTCTTGGGTTTTGCGATTCGTTGTTTGATCACTTGATTTCCCAAACTTGAATTTTTGGTTGGAGTCGCTTTTGTGATGCTGGCGGAGATTGTCAGTTGATTGAGACCAGCTTCCTTTTGAGGCGCGGGGATGGTCCGCTTTGGGGGCTTCGGGGGCTTTTCTAAGCCCTCGCGGCAGCAGAAATGTTTGCAGCTGGAATTTTTAGCTATTAGCTAAACAATAAAGAGATGAATGGTTTTCTCAAACCTTGTTTTGTCTTTGCATTTGTGATTGCAAGCCCATTTGCCATTTGCAAGTCTGACGGGCTCAAACTCATCCTCTGGCTCATCCAAATTCACTGCCCAGTCATCTTCTCGGGGACTTGTGGCCTTTGTCACTTTCTTGACTGGAGTCGGTGGACTTTCATCAATTGAAAACCAATCTAGATCCTCAAAGTCATCGGAAAGTCGAGGTTGTTGTGTGACTGTAGATTCCGTTTCTTTGCCACGGCGTTCATTCGTAACAAGGAAATAATCGCGCTGTAGTTCATTGCCCTCAAAATTATCTCTCTCCCGTTGAGGCTTGACCTTGATACTAGTTACTTTGTGATTCAAGTTTCCCTTGATGTGACGAACTGGTAGGTTCGAGGGCTCAATCTGTTGGATATTGGCATTCTTATCTCGCACAGTAGCAAAGAGATGAGACGGCAGATTGGGTCTGAGCTCAGCTTGTCTCGCTGTCCCCGCTAGAAAATTGTCAGCATGGATATATGTGATGCACGAAGACAGAAGCAGAAGGAAGTATCGCTTTTGTTCACGATCAAAATTCTTACCGATTTCATCGCACATAACATGGCACACAATAACATGATCCACATTTGTCAAGTCCGCTGTGAGATTAATCTCCAATTTCTCCTGGAGCCTGCTCGCACTAGAATAGTATCAGCATTTGCCTATAACAAAATAAACGGATCAACATCTCACCTTGTGCGTCTAAAGTCAATCATGTAGCCATCAGACCTCTCTATCAAGCAACACACATAAACCGGGCGACGTTGGAAGAATGTCGGGATCTTGTCGTTCATGAATGCGACTTCAACCTTGAACCGGATCTTGACACAGTCAATTTTCACTTCCTGTATCCCACGTTAGCAAAATAACCTTTATCATCATGACTAATTTCAAACCCTTCCAAGCATGTTCACAGAAACCCTCAGTTTCGGAAAATCCTTCAATCTTGAGAGCAACTTTGACCCGAAAGGCGGGTTCTTGCTGAGAACCATCTCAATCTGATGAGCCTCCGCCCATTCTAGCCCTTCAATACTGGTAATCCCAGCAGCAGCCAACTTCCGAACTGCAACAACACCCACTTGCTCGATCTGCTTCATTTGGAGAGGCGAATGGTCCCAGACTTTTGCTCCGAAGCTCCGAGCAAGTTCAAGGGCATTGCAGGTCGCGATTGAGTCGCCGCCGGCAATTTGACAGTCGATCAAGCAGCGAATTAGTCGGTTTACATGCGTGAATACTAGGCCTTTGTCTTGCTGAAAGGTGAATTTGTGTTTTTGCAATTGCTCGTTATCGGGATACTCGATTGCGCCTAGCTCGGATTGAAGGAGGAGTGAGATCTTGTGGGCTGGGAGTGCTAGGTCGACTTTTATCGGGAAACGAATCCCTGGGTCGCGATTGATCTCTCGGTAGAGCAATTTCTCGCCGGCTTTGAGGCGGATCTCACGGAATTCTTCCGCTTGCGCGATCACGTTGAGCTGGAACAGTGATGTAAGTGAAGGCTCTTCATTTCAGCAATCCAGGAGAACAAACTCACAGTCTCAGACACGGATGCCTTTGGCTTCAGCGACAACAGAACTTTCATCGTCTCGAACTGTATGTAGTACCGGGCCATGGCATCGCCAAACTGGGTCGAACGAAGGCTCTCAGGTTCAACCAGACCGCATTTTCGAAGAAGATCGATATCCTTCTCACAGATCTGGCGAAGCAACTCGTCCTCATCTTCTTGGTTTGCATTTTCTCTGAGGTTATAATGGGTGGGATTCCGACGGAGTCTGACAAACAGAAATGTTCCAGCCAGCCACTTTATAGCTGACTCGACATCCGAAATGTTTCCCAATCCAATCTCAGCATTGAGGTGGTTAATAAGATTTAAGTGCAGACAACTCTCCAGGCTCTCAGACCCCTGAACAAGCTTCTCGTAGTGTGCTACACGTTCTTTCCTAGTCAGAATGACCGCTGTCGCACTCTCATCGAATTGAGGCCGGCCCGCGCGGCCGAGCATTTGCATCACCTCTAAATCAGAGTACTGTTTGCACCCTCCATCTTGCCAACTGACAGTATTTTTTATTATCACGAGGTGACAAGGCAGGTTGACACCAACCGCAAGTGTCGAGGTGCAACATATGATGCTTATATTGCCTTCCCTGAATCCCGCCTCAACAGTGTGGCGATCAGCAGGACCTAACCCAGCATGGTGGAATGCTACACCAGCAGCGAGAGTTGCTATCTCCAATTAGCATGTGCATCTCGAAAGGAGCTCAGATACATACTCTTGAGGTCCTCGTTATGAGCTTCGAGGCGCTTCTTAGGTTCTTTCCAAAGCCTGGCGGGTGGGTTCGTCAATGTAAAAAGCCGAGCCAATTCTTTTGCCGTAGCGAGTGATGAGTTCCGTGTGCAACAGAATATCATGATGGGCTTCTGGCATGAATGCATTCCGATCACCTCGGGTAACCTTTACAAGCACCAATCAGCATACTAAACGAGCAACTCAAAAGAAACAAGAGGTAGAAACAGAAATGCATCCAAGACTTCCAAAAAAATGCCACATACTTTGAACCGCAGACTTTATCAAATGCAAAGTCATTCAAGCTAGACGGATACCCATAGACAACCTTCTTCAAGGCAACAGGACGAAACTCCTCGCCGAAATGCTCCCGATGCGCAGGAATATGCTGGTTTGTCGCATCCTTCCCAAGCCAGGTCGCAATGTCCTCGGAGTTGGGGACAGTAGCACTCAGCGCCACAAATCTCACATTCGATCCGATGTTCTTCATACGCGAAACCACAGCCTCAAGTGTAGCTCCTCGCGTCTCCTTCAGAATATGCACCTCGTCAATGAGAAAGAGCTTCACGAGCTGCATCAGCTTCATATGATCTTTCCACTTCCGAGTCATACTATCCCACTTCTCGGGTGTCGTGATGATAATCTGGCTACTCTGGACGTTGCGCAGCTGCATGTGGTCCGTGTCTCCAGTCAGTTCTGCGCACTTGAGATTCAAGCTGGCGAACTTGGTATGCCAATCCCGGAAGCGCTCGCTGCAGAGGGACTTGGTGGGTGCTTGGTAGACGACTTTGAATCGTTCGTCTTTGAGAGTGTTCAGGAGTCTGCAGATGGCCAATTCCATAACCACCGTTTTACCGCTGCCGGTTGGTGCAGACAGGACGATGTTGTCATTGCTATTGTAAACGGGGTGAAAAGATTTGGATTGAATTGCATTTAGAAGTGGAAAGGGAAAAATCGAGCGATAACTCTCTGATATGTCATTCACTGATATAAGAACGATTCCCCGCACAGAGGGTGGTATATTAAGGAATGGGTTTTGGCGTTGTCTGTTGCCAGTCAACGCCTCAGAGCTTGCCTGGGCGATCGATTCCTGAGGTGATGACTGACTAGTCTCATCATGGTATGGACCACGGTTTATCTCGAGGCTGCGCTGTCCCATCCGTATGCCATCTTTCTTCTGCTGGAACAAGGCCAATGGGCTGGATGGAGGCCCCAATACAGAGTCCGATGAACTAGGCGCATTCCAGTGAGAAGAAACGGTACTCGAGCTCGCTATTACTTGTCAATCCTGAACCAACAAGAAACAACAGCACTCGCATACAGGCAACTTACGTTGGAAAAAACGAGAGAATTGTGGTGGCTTTAGATCAGGCTGATGAGACGCTTGAAACGGCGTAGATCTTGGAACTCCAAATCCTGAATCTTGAATTGGCTCCTCTCTATCTTCTGATGCTAGTAGTTCCAGGTCTAGCTTTTATCAGCGCCAGCCATGATAACAAGCTAAGCCGGTAGACTCACCAAAAGCATCCAATTCAGTGTCCCGATCTTGAGGGGATGATGCCGGGCCATTGAAAAGCTTCCGGGGGAGATGAGCTGCTGAATGGCAGCTGTTGGGAGCCTTCGATGAGTCTCTGGTCGATGATACCGGTTCTACTACTCTTGGACGGGGAGGAGGCATTTGTGCGCCTCTGAGAGGGCAATTGAAAGGGTTTAAAGTTCGAGTTATGATTGCTTCTCCGCATTTTGAGATGTGCTCTTTGTAATTGGGATGAGATCTGGTGTTTGTAGTGATGAATTGCAAAAGTGTCTGGTTTCAAGCTTGGAAGGTCCCGAGGTCCGTGATTTTGATAACGTAACGGCACGTGGACCACCCATACCTCTGTAGTATATGAACATAGTGTAGCGGTTTGCTTTCGAGCTTCAGTAAGAATAGTAGTTCTCAAGTATTTTGGGGTATATGAAAGTGTTTCATTGCTTCGTATATATGCATACATGAGCCAGAACCGGCAAAATCTTGACAGCAAGGTGACATGCAAAATTTGGCAGCGAAGGCTAGCTTGCTCCAAATTAGGAGCGGCATCAGGAATAGTACAAAGGCTCGCGGTAGGCAGTTTTCTCAAAGACCGCATTTGCAGATGACCTGTATCTATCAGGTATCCAATATCATTTCCCGTAAAGAAGTGTCTCATCACGTAGGCCAGTAGTAATGTGCATAGCGGTTTTAGTAATCATTTCTCATCGAAATAGCCGCCCGCACTTACATTCCGGCTAGAGCTTACTCTAGCATGGCTTGGTGATGGTGAGTTGGGACGGGATGATGACATGCCATCAGAGAGGAAAGGTGAGGTTGGAAGTTTGATAGAAAATTCGTTGGAAGGCGCCACGGGGGAGCCATTAGGGCCCTCAGAATCCTTTTCGTAGGCATCGATGCGGATTGGAGGTGGACGCAAGGCACCCATTGCAGGGTTGAATGTGGGGTTTCCATAGTAGTGGGTTGCTATCAGGACTGCAGCCGAGCCCAGGAGGAACTATAATGTCCCAGTCAGTCTTGTTCATAATGTTTATGTCGGGAGCGGGGAGATAGAGCAGAGGCTAGGAAGTGTTAAAAACGCAAGGGACGTACGCTTGCATTGATCTCAAAGTCAAATAGCCAGATGCTTCCAACAATGCTCAAAATGATGTTGGCAGTTGTAGCGAAACTCCTTGCATCCTTCTGCGCGTGGCTGACGTAGAATGCAGAAAGGAGACCACCCAGGGCCTGTATTATGATGGTAGTCCACACCGCCCAATTGTAGCCCTGGAAGAAGCCATCTTCGGCGATCTTTTCGCCCTCCCGGAAGACAATCCCAATGAAGAGAGCGGGGAAAACGGAATAAATAGCTAATTGCACATTGCGAACCCACAACGAGATATGGCTCGAGCTGTCCTTTAGGACCTTCTCGAAATAAATGCCCGCAAGTCCAGAAGCCAAAGACGCTCCGATAGTCGCAAGGAGGCCGATTGTGGGGTTCAAGTGTGGGTCTGCCGTGAGGATGTCCTCTTCGATCCCCTCATATGTTGCCGACCGCTTTTGCAAACTACTGCCGGAACTAGCACCTTGCTTGACAGCCTTCCATTCCTCCAAGGATCGAGGGAAATGATGGCTTGCATGCTCATCCTGCAGCATCTGCTCGGGGCTTGCATCGGGGATTTGCACCAACGCCACACCCACAATGAGAAGCAAAAGCAGGCCCCACTTGCGGGGTGAAATGCTCCGTTTCAGGAGCATCAGACCAAAGACAGCAGTGGTAAGGAACTTCAGGTGGAATGTAATTTGGAACGACGCAGCTCGTAGATTCGAGAGCGCAATGTACAGGAGGGAGTTGGACAAGACGTCGAGTGCGGCAGGGATAGCGAGTTTCCAGCTGTCGCCTGAGAACACGGCGCTTGTGAGGGAGAAAAAGAGGGAGGTTGCGGGCATCGAAGGTGGTGCAGTTTTGGAGACGTCATAGAGCGCCATTGTGAGGGAGATGGCTAGCTTGACCACCTCGACTAAGAAGACTGCCGTAGAGGTCAGGTAGCGTTTACCACCGGCGGGAGGCATGACGCGAGAATAATGAGCTAGCTAGAACATCCAAAATACAAATTAGCCTTCCATTTCTGTCACAAGGATTTTCCATGTCGCGCAAGGTGACTTACCAACACGAATGCAGTAGACTCCGCAGTCAACTAAAGAAACACAAGCAAGTCAGCGAACAGGGTCCCCGAGACCGCGAGTACTGTATAATTCCCAACAGTTTCATACCAGAATCCATGGCGCAATATTGGCCGCAGCTCGCAGGCCAGACGGCTGGCGTTGGGCGCGATCCCCCATAGCGAAGTAGTAGATCGCGTGTTCCTTGTAAACAGTGGCTAATGTTTCCGCAGAAGGGACGCACAGTGCAATCCCCGGTCCGATGAATGTGGTAAATTAGTTCAGTGGAGGGAACGATAAGAAAAGTGTGTACAATGTAGAAGCAAAGTGAAAAACTCAATTCGCGACGCAGGGGTTGTTCTGGAGATCTGCCTTGTTAGGTCCCGACAGGGTTTCCCGCGGACGATCGGAGGCGACGCGGGTGGCTGGGAGGCGAAGGAGAGGATGAGCGTCGGCTGACTCCACTGTATGAAGGAGGGTATCTCAAAGAGCTTGAAAAAAAAAAAAAAAAAAAAAAGGAAAGGAGGATACAGTGCCCAGGAAGCAATAATCTGGGGTTATAGACGAAAAGCTCGGCGGTCAGAGAGTAGATCACGGGGGTATCGGAGAGTCACAAGCCAAAGGTTTAACCTTGGGAAGTAATATGTTGTGGAGTGCTCCGTGCTCTATACAATATATCTTGTACCTTGATTTTGGGAATCTCATATCATATTTAATATTATACATATCTACTCCGTTGAAGTATCATATTTACCATATGTGTACTCAATTTTGGCCCCTTAACCTTGAAAGTTCCCTATGACGTATGGCCCAGGTCCTCTCTCCACCAGTCCATCCACAGGGGTCCACGTCTGCTTTGTCCCCATATTATGATTCCTCCCATGTCGTCATTCGTCAATATAAGAAATGCATTAGGAAAACAAGACTTTTAAAAAGACTTCTTAATTGAAACATCTCTATGGAGTACTCCACAATATGATCTAAAGCAAACTTGATATTCAAATTATCCAATACCGTGAAATATAGAGGTCATATGAGCAGTCGATTATTTTGCTTCTACGTAAATTACTAACCTGCTATAGATAACTATACACTTCTCGGAGATCGAGATCACAATTAAAGTACTCTATAGTTTGAGAAATTGCTGAGATATGAGCGGTGAATCTTGAAAGCCAATGGGACAAAGTCCTTGATGCTTGTTTTGCATTGCGGTATACGACTCGGGCTAAGCCGGATCGCTGTTTTGTAGTAGGGACTGCTGGGAACGCCATTGCACAAATTCGGTTGATGGATTGACGACCATTGGGAATATTAATGATAACAAGCGTGAGCCGAAATAACCAAATCGTGAGAAAAACACGAAAGCCACCCAAGTAAAACATGATAGCAGGTATAGAAGCCCGCTTGTTAACGCTAATTCAAAAAGTAATAAAGAAATACATAGTGGGAAAACATAAGTAAGATGGTCATGTAGGAAAAGGACAAGTGAGGTCTATGTGGTTGGATAAACAAAAGCTTGGAGCAGAGTGCTGCAAGATGCAATCAAGTCAAGGAAATGTAGGAAAGACTGTAGAGGGTCAAATCAAGTAGGGGTAGAGAGAGAGAAAGAGAGAGAGAGAGAGAAGAGTGGAATAGGAAATGTAAGGGGCGGAGTGAGAGTGTTGGGTACCAAGGGCCAAGCGATCAGTGCACGGAAGCGACATTGGTGCGTTCCTTGTTCCAATCAAAGTCGAAAGACCACAGAGGAAGATCATGGTTGCGTTTCGATGAACTGCCATCATCAAACAGGATAGCTTCGCTACTATCAGTACGACGGCGTGTGTGCTGCTTCTGGTCATCGGGGATGGCAGGCGGGGGCCCTCTCGGGGGTGGCTTTGGAGAGGGAAGTGGCGAGAAACGATGAATTGGCAAAGTGGGGGTCAGCGGCGAAGCACCGCTGGTGGAAGGGGAGGGCAAGCTCTCGGAATAGTCTGCACTGAAACCAGAAGAGGAAACTGCAGTGCGAGGTTTCCGTTCACTATCCGAGCCTGAGCTTTGGGAGAGCGATCCATCTTTGTATTGAGTAGCCCCCTTTTCTGATTGGCCATCAAATGGCGGGAATACATTACTGAGACGCAAGAACGAGGTGTCAGAACCGCAGAAGGAATCGCGCGATGGGCCAGAGGCCAGCGACATTCTGTCCGTTCCGTGGGCATGGAACAGACTGGGAGTTACCTTGCCCTTTCGAATACGCATCGCCTCGAGAAGATCTTGCTCTTGGCGTGTTACTGCGATCAAACGACTCCTCCGGTTCAACTCTTTCAACTCTGCGGGGGAGCGGAGAGGCTGCTGTGGGAATTGCGCAAGAATTTCATCCGGGATAGTCGGAACTCCACTCGAACGGCGACTTTGCGTGCTCCGTCGTGTTGTCTTAGGAGACTTGCCATTCGAGGACTGAGAAATCTGAGAAGCCTTTCGTGGGCGAGCTGCTGGTACTGGCAGGCTCTTTTCGGTTTGGTAGGAGCCACGGGTGCTAGTTGAAAGTGCCCGGTCAAAGCGTCTTACCGCTGTGGCGGTGGTCGCTTGGGCAGTGGAAGCCGTATAGACCTCAGGCTCGTATTCGCCGTAGGTAGCAACACTGTCTCGTCTAAACTTGTTCGCATTGACTTTTAACTCGGTGGTTGGAGTTTGGTCCTCCTCCTCATCCTCGTCCTCTGAAGAAGAGGAGAGGCAAAGCATACTGACATTTCGCAGATCCTTGTTTTTCAAGGTACTTTTACTACCCTTCTTAGCCAACAAGCTCTTCTCGCTCTTTGAATTTGACTCGTTGGTCTTCCAAGATTCCTGGGAAGTGCTCAAGCCGCGACCACGGTTTGGTTCTGGACATGAGGCAGGACTCAAGTACTTCTCCTTAGATCGAGAGGGATTCTCCTTGGATCGAGAGGGACTGTGAGTACGTCTCGAGTTCTTCTGAGGTTCCTGGGGGCGTTGCGGTTCTGGCTGTAATTGCTCTCGGCTGGTTGTATACATGCTTGAGCGACTCAAAAGTGATCGCCGCCCCGCATATCTATCCAGGGCGATATCAATCTCACTCGTTCCGACTGTCCGCTCAAGTGGTTGTTCCGACCACTCGCTATTTTTGCTTTCTGCAATTGAAGGCAAATCCGAATTATCGACGCCATGCTTGGGTATGTCATTTTTGGTGAGCGAAGGTCGGCGGGGAGGCGTGTCGACGTATCTCCCTGTAGTAGGGTTGCTCGTACCGCTGATCGTCCTGTCTAGCTTATTGGATGAAGGATCCGGAACCATTGTAGAGACGGGAGAGGGAGAGTTGACCATTCGGTGGGGGGAAAGAAGTGTTTGTGGTGCGGGATTCCGCGGCTTCGGAAACAAGACCGAAAGATCAATTTTTGGAGGACGTATCTTCCGCTTCGATTCCTTCGGTGGATGCTGCTCATGTGTGTATGTTACTTGTGGCTCAATGCCGAGCCCATGTCGTACTCTAGGCTGGAGTCCTTGGTTCTTGGCTGATTTGGACGATTCTTTCGAGCTGAAATAGGAGAAAAGGGTGGACGAAGAACCGGAATGGTGAACTTTTTTCGACTTGGGAAGCGGCGGCGCAGCTTCCCGTGATCGGTATTCATGGCTTAACAAAGGCGATGAAACCCGCACGCGAAGGTTTTGATCGGGAAGGGCGTTATCTGAAGGGCTCGGGAACGGAACGAAGCCGCTGCTCTGCCTAGAACTACCCGCACTAGATGGCTTGATAAAGCTCGGTCGGTGTACATTTGGAGCCTCCTGCCACCCGCCATGTTCCTCAGGGAGTGATATGTCAGTTCCGAAAAACCTTTGGGCTTTCGAGGTTCGCCGATCTGCGAGTCCGGGCTGTTCCTGGGCGTTCATTGGGTCGTGTCGTGCCGGTTTGCGACTGGATGTTCGAAGTGGCACATGGACCGGGGGGATTTCTCGGTGTCCCATGGTGGGAGATGTAAGGCAAGTTCAATTGGTCATAAAAACGTATGATGCAATGGGCTCATGAGCTCCGAGTGCACGAAATATTTTGCTAGCTGAGCGGGTCCCCGGCGCTTCAAGTATTCTCTCGCTTCCGACACTTCAACTCGACCTACTCCACCAGTCAAATTAGTTATTTAAGACAGCAATTTAGGGGAAATTGGGGCGTCATTATACCTGGGAATAAAGATAAATTTTCAAAGGATTGACTTGGGGCTGGGGAAGAGGGGTATAATTTTTTGCTAAAGTAAAAGTTCCGACGAGCAAAATGCGTAACAAAATGGGGTTGGGATGTTTTTTTGTACGATATACGGTGTACAAGCAACTGATAGTTTAGAAGGATTTCCTGTTCACACGGGGCTTAAAGGGGGGGGGGGAGGAAGACCCCACAGATGTCTTGAGGAACAAAATCCTTATAGGCCGAGAAGCACTCCGGTGTTTCATTTATTCCAATTTTAATTGAAGTGGAGCACGGCATCTTGTCAAAAGCTGATCGACATACAATATTAGAAAATATTAAATAAATCTAAGCTTACTTGTGATACATAGTGAATCTTCGTGTAGAGACCAAATCGAGTCTCAGGGGCTCCAAGGTTATAATATGTATCCTATAAGGACTACGGAGTACGGAGTACTTTGTATATATCATGCGATATAACAATGCACGTACGTTTGTACGCTATTATTCTCCGTACTTCCGGACTTCCCTTTAACTTCAGGAGATTTAACCCCTTACTGTGGCATATGCAACCTAAAAAAGAATAGTTAACCTCCCCGAATGTGAAGAACGTGGCTCCGTATTCTCCGTGGATTTACGCTATTGACGCCTCCCACGAAATCCTCTTAATATCCTTGCCGTCGCTAATTGGAATTATTTACTCCGTATGCTCCACTCATTTAGGTAGCCAATCCTATCCTCCCATCTACTCGTATGGATGCCTTTTCCTATTTTTTCCTGAGCTATCACCAGAATGTGGAGTCGAGTCGAGGCTAGAGCCAGAAACTATGGAGAATCCACCACGATAGTCCAGTGATTGCACCCAATTCGACCACTATGGTCGCGCCTCTAAGAGCCCAGATCGACAAATCGATCGTTTATCAGCCCAATGCGCCGGAACGAAGCTGTCTGAGATCTCGTTATTCAGAAGGCTCCAGAATTGTACATGAGGCCTCCCCACACTCCATGTGGTCCGTGACAAATATCAGCCCGTGTACGGAGTGCGAGGTAGTCCGTACAATCCCCCCTTAAATCCTGAGTCAGGGTGGTTGGACTAAAAATACTTGCGTTTCCCCAGTAGCCATCGTACATGCACGTACAACATAAGAGTTTCCACGTACAACATAAGTATTCCCCCAGGAACTAGTAATGATCGACTTATGTGGGCTCGTTCTCCCACACGCACGTACAGCTTCCATCGCGGACTAGTAATGATCGACTTGCATGTGGGCTCGCTCTCGCACATGCAAGTATGTTATACAACTCAACGGCTCCCACCGGAACTGGTACATAATTATGATCGATTTGCTGGTCTCTGTTAAGCCCAGAATTTGGCATGTGCCATTCTGAAAGGAACTGAGACATGAATCTGATCGTTTGTGGTTGACGGCTTGACAGCACTTAACTGTGGATATGCCAAGACGCTGTGCACTATTTTTTAAGGTCGGCGAGCATGTTATCTCCCCAGAAATCAAAATAGACACCGACACCATAAACAAACTTTGTATCCCTGTAATCTCACCTCACTTTGGAGATTAAACTCGATCACCGCCATCATATCTTTGGAGCCTCCGTGCGCCAGCCCGTGTGCAGACCCACGAGGCGGAACAAGCTGGGATGACACCCCGGAGGCGCAATTTCACTTCGGATCGAGATCCCTGTCTGTCCGAGATCTATTCGCCGAATCCCGATCGATATCCCTGTAAGTAACTAGCGGCTTTTCCTTTTAGGTCTATCGCTCCGAGGACTTGGGTAAGTGTAAACAACAAACGGAGTGAATCGAAGGAAATTAAGAGCAGACTATGGAGTAATGCTTCAAAGAACCGTTAGAAACATAGCTTGGGAGAGAAGGAATCCATAATCACTTAAACAGGACAGACTATTAGCCCAAGCTAGTGGTCTGGCAGGAGGCTAGGCCAAGTGGTGATGCGGATACCCCTGATGGTCGCCAATAGTCGACTCCAATAGCCTAGTCTCGATCCAGGGTCTTGGATACGCTTTATTATCTATCTATTGTCTTCTGTGTAGATCATGGAACCAAAATCTTGGAAATCTTGGAAATCCCCCCATTTCACATCCCGCTTTCCAAATATTGAGTCTTCGTATCATTTTGCCACAAAAATGCATAAATGAAAACCTGATCAGTATGTCCACTTAGCTAGGGCATCGGGCCAAAAAAAAATAGCAGTAAGATAAAGCATGAAGATATCTATACAGAGGAATGACAGCAGAAGAGCTCCCACCGTAAAGCTTAACTTTTCGCTATGTGGTCAGCATCTTAATATGTATGATGTGCATCGAAAAATTCAGTCTTGTGGATTGTGCTGCATTCGAAACAACCTATTGTTCTGGAAGAAGTGGATATCCAAAAATTTGGGAAACACTAGTATACTCCATAAACTAATGCGATCATTCCTATCTAAGCTTCGTCTTCTTGGCCCGCCGAGTAGAAACAATACCATCTTCAAAGCCTTCATCTTGCAAATCCAGCCTCCGCTTCGAAATGCTGTTTGGGGCCTGGCCCCCAAAGAAATTGACATTGGCAGAAGGGTTAGAGCGTACCCGCTCCCAAGGTTTAGGTTTCTGGCGAGGGTCGAAGCTACCACGCTCCTCAGTGGGCTTGGTGGGCAGCCTGGCCAATATCGGCGTACCAGGACGGGACCAATGTGAGCGAATCATTGGATAGGGTTTAGGAGGGGGTATTTCGTACTTCTTGGTAATTAGATCATAAATACACGAGGAAATTGTCACAGAATGTATGAAGTCTTATGTATTCTCGGATGAGTAACATCGGGTCCAGGATTTTGCTGTAAATAGTGTTGTAGCATGACATTGTCCTGATGAGCAAGAATTTGGAGTTCCCTGTCTTATGGAAGTATTTCACCCCCTTGAAATCACATGAACGCAGAATACCAAGTTTCCTGAGATTGTGGACTGTTGCACGAGCCTCATCATCGCTGCAGTCTAACTGATATTAGATGAATTTTTTGATTGATGGGGGTTATTCTTACTAAGTTCATAGGCCAGTTGCCAATTCAATGGTAACATGGTACTGGCAAAACTGAGATCCGGTATTATCCTGCGCATTCGGATAAGCTTGATCAGTTCTTCCATCAGATTGCTATCAAAGTCGTATCCGATCAAGCAGCTGTAGCAGTAATGTATATCTGGAATTCGGTGATCCTTTGCAGAATAATAGCCATAGCACAGGGTGTGCTGGTGGTCCTTGCAATTGGCACATTGTATCTTCCAAGAAATATTAATTAGAACTTGTGACTCGGCTGATAGTGTAGCACTAGAGTTTCATGACTTACAGACTTTTTGAGTGTGAATCTCCAAGTATTGCACTCACACCGATGCCGACGCCCATCCTTGATCCCATACTCAGTCATGCCGCTACTTGGGGGGCTCTCGTTATTATCTTTATCCCTCTCGTCTAGCTTCTTAGTGGCATCCTGGCGATTCTTGACATAGTCGACCGTTCTTGTTGTGACGATTGGTTTCGAACCTGCGTTCTGCAAGCGACGAATATATACAGTCGGGGAAAGAACTTCTCGAGTTTCTCGACGAGTCCGAGAAAGGAAAATACCTTCGCGGCTGATGGGATTTGTTGCATAAGCTTCCGCTTCTGGCTCATTGAAAGGTATCCGGGATCTTTTCGACCGTTCAGGGCGTGTAGGGCGTTTTGTCTTTGACTCGTCGGCTGGATCAACAGCGGGGTCAGTCCATGACTGAGCCATTTTATGCGCCGTAGACTGAGAAAAATCAACATCTTCTCTTTTGAAGAATATTAGGTCCTCCATGCGTCTATCTGTCTACTGGAAATCAGAAATCATTCAATGGTTCGGATCAGAGCGGTATAAGCCAACTGACATATCGCCGTGATTCCCTGTTGGATCTTCTAACACCTCTTCCCCTGGCCCTAGCTGGCCTACATATACTATCTCTGAACTCTTTGAAAGAGATTGTCGCATCTATATCGAATGAAAGTTTTAGTCATAATGTAAACACACCGAAACAGAGGTGGATATATTTACAGTCGGAGTCACTGGCAGTGCTTTCGTCTGTAGAAAGATATATTTCCCCAACTACGTCCAGCGGCATTTGAGCAGGCGTGGGAATCCCGACCTCGTCAGAACGGAGGACTGCATCGGCACTCGCTTCCTCCACCGAAGGGAAGTGAGCTTCACCACCGGGCGATGTGGAAATAAGAGAATTCACTCTCAACCCCACTCTTCTGCACATTAGTCCTAGGCCTTGTTTGAAGAAATGAGAGTTGAAAAGAAAATAAAGAAACATACGTGTGGAAGCCGCTGTCGACGCTTCCGTAAAAGCGCTTCGTCCTCTTCCAGAACGAAGTCTGTGGATATTCAATGGTTTCGTCTTGGAAATCAGCAAACCCAGGCATACCGTAAGATCTGGGGCATTCCGGTTTGTAGAAGACGTGTATTCCCAAGCTGCGCTCGTCTATTCAAGTTGTGAGTGGTAGCACCAGGAATGAGCAATAGTAGAGTGTACATAATAGGCAATGCCGGACTTCCAGTACACATTTTGATCAACCGTCGTATGAGGGCCTTCCCATCAAAAATCATAGTACGCATGCTTACTCGATCTTCATGGGGACTGACAAAATCCATCCTTGGGCCATTGGTTAGGCAATCTGCGGTGCCGCGCTCGCCGGAATTTTCGAAGGTAAAGGTGTAAGATTCCAAAACCTTCTTTGGGGAGTTTTTGTCTGCAATGACAGTAAACTGGACGGCACGTAGGATGCCTCTTAGTAGAGCATCAAAGATATCATTTTCCTAAAAGGAATGAATATTAGTCCTACTCAACAAGCATAAATATGTGAAGAACTCACTAGAAGGTCAAGAAGCTTATCGGCTTCGTCGCTTATGTGCCTTTCAATCGCCCATATTGGAACATATTCCGATCGGTTACGTGCGAAATTGTCCTTGCCCTTCCCATTTAAAAAAATGGGAGTAGTTATAGCGCTCGTGGAAGCGATTTGTTCGCAGAACCCGCTCGCTGAAGGCATCTATGGGCAATAGTCCACTGGATTCTACATGTTAAAAGCGTGGATAGTACATTATTTAGGCTATTACTCACCGCATAAGTAAAAGTGATGCGATCTATAAGGCGTCTATCAGATCACAGCCACAAACGCATGCACTTCGTAGGGAACTCGACTTACGGTCATGTGTAGCGTAATCTTCACTAACTCCAAGCTTTGCTCCTATGATACCATAAGAGTTGGTTGGGTTCATCTCAGGTGTTATTGGTTCAACATAGTTGATCGGAAGGGCCACTCACGATCACAGGAAACCGGTGGATTGTATCCGCTTGAATTTTGGGCTGGAGCGCTCCGGACTCGGAGGCAATCTCTAGATCTACAGTTTTCTTAGACCGAGACATGATTCTGGCAGTATGAGTACGACAGATCAATATGAGAAATTGAACTCTACAATTTGTAGAGACGAGGATAGTATATTTCTATGTGGAAGGTACATAGACAAAGAGATACAAAGAAAAGCTGAGAACTGTGAGCTCTAAAATCTTCTTCGCTTTCGTCAATAGACATTAACAAAGGAAAACCGTATATCTTGAAACATCTTGGGAACCAGCAAGTCTATTCATAGACACTCGAAGGAGCGGCCACCCTGATGTGGCTAAACATGTAGGCGTGGCTATATAGAACCTGGTCCGGTTCCATTAAAACTCCAATCGTCTGCCCTTTTCTTTTCGGTTTTTTTTTTTTTACAAAAAAAAAAAATAAGAAATCTGTAAATATCACATCGCTGTGAAATATAGATTGGAACAATCTTATCTTCTATCGGGTTTCCAGCGAACAAGAGACTGGTGGTTCAATGTCAAGATGTAATACTCTATAGCTGTCAGCTGCCCGTGAAGAGTTGTAGTGCGTAAAAGCAAGCAAAGCCTAAATAGATGCGGGGGGTAAGGCCGAGACATTGCGGATATCGGCTCGTGAGTATTACCTTAGGACCTCGGGATATGACTTGCATAGATAAGCAGGTAGTAAGGGACAACATACAAGTTGATTATTCCATACCCCTGTGCCCTGTGTCCAATAAACCCCTGTTGGATTATTTCTTCAACCATAACAATGAGATACTGGGGAAACATGCCAAGAAGCCACCCGGAACACGCCCCCACTTCACGTGATATGTGGCAATGGCGAATAGAAAACTTGAAGTTGATTTAGATGAAGTATGATATTATGTATATTATGGGGCAAATATATATAGTATTCCGTTGTAGACGTTATTTCTCGGGGCAAAAGGGTTAAGTAAACCTGCTTATCTGAAATGTCATATCATCGGTCCCACCTCTATCTGCTAAATAATTTCTGCCGGTCTAGAGCAGAACTAGGGGGTTTCCTCCAAGTTCCACATTCGGATCATTTTGCATTTTATACCTATCATCATGGAATATATAATATATAAAAATAAATTCTATCAAAATAGCAAGTCTTTTTTTGAGAAGAAAAAAAAAAAGAAAACGAAAAATGTAGTACGTTGGGCCATGACATCGTCCACCTACGGGAACCGGAATAAATGTTGTTCTCCGCCCCAACTCCTTGTCAGCCGCCACTGTTTCTTTCTCCCCTTCCCTTTGCTTCCTTACTTCCATTATTTATGTTTTGTTCCCCATCTCTCCTCCAGAATATTTGGTCATCCTCGGTTCTGACTTTCGCTATGTGCTGAATGCCCTTTGCATAGATGTTTTTGCTGGTGTATCGTGCTGAGGGGGCGTTTTACTAAAAAAAAAGAACAATCTGGAACACGACAGTTCCTTTGTCCTTTGCACATGAGCTTGCTTTACAATGACTTCAAATGCTTCCGGCTCCCTTAAAATATCTGAAGTTGACTCGTCTTTGACCGACCACAACGCGTCTATATCTACGCCCTCCCATGTGACCCACAGCCCCGGATCTCGATTCATTCATCCTCGAAAACGCGAAATGGACGAAAGAGAGGAGCTCGGCCAACGGCCATCAAACGCAGCTATCGGACAGTTCACCTTCGCCCCTACTACTCGAACTACGGTGGTCACGACTACTACAACCACGACTACCTCCTTCCCGCCTTTGACAATCAACCCCCCGCGAGCTGTCAAGGATCTGGATGCCCGACAGTACCCTCTCGCCTCATCCCCGACCCCAGCAGTCTTACGAAATCTCAAGTTCAAGATTGGCGACAAGTCAATCATCTTCAACGAGCCTGAGGATACCACAAATGCTGCCGCTGAGGTACAATTTTATCCTACCCTTGCAGTTCCGTTGGTTCCAATGCTTACAATAGAATAATATATAGTACAAGGACAAAAGTGAGGCGTTGAAATCTTCAAATGGCCAGATTCGCTCTGTGAATTCGTTCATCTCCGAGGGCGAGAACCCCACTCGGCGGCTGACCCCTCCGAGAATAACGAGTCAACCTTCTAGTCATCCTTTTAATGCTCGACGTCGTGCCGTCTCCCCCAACACACTTTTTGATGCTCGACCCTCAGTGCTTCCGCGAATTCGTCCGTCACGGGTCCCTTCTGAGCCCATCACACGCCGTACTCGCCAAAGTGGTGTGGGGGCAACTCATCTTGCCGCTGGCCTTGCCACTCCAGACATTGAAAGCAACCTGGGAGCACTTGGCGAAAATGCGGCACCAAGACCGAGAATTCATAGCTCGGTGTTTCCGCGCAGGGAACCTCCTTTACCGTCACCTCTCTCCTCTGAAATCGGAGCTAAGGGCTCACAGGCACTCAATCAAAATTCCTACCTGCAAAATGCATTGTCTGGGATCGGCTCAAACCCCGAAACCCAAGAAACTCAGGAGTCCCAGGCCACTGAAGTGGATGAGAGTTGTTCCACTGCACATGAATCGGCTTCATTTGGTAATGATACGACATATGGAACCCAAGAATCTGCATTACACGAAAGACCCGAGAATTTGTCTCAGCTATCGGCAATAGACAATGCCATGGCGCAAGATATGTGCCTCCCAAGCCCGAGTCTCTCACCGGTTGCTGCTATGAATGCCCTCCATGGCGAATCTTCCTTTGAGTCAGAAGGGCTCGACGTTGATACAGATTCCAGTATAGATCATAATGTCTCGCGTTTTTCTAAGGCTTTGCGGCTTCAGGATACAGATGAGACTCTGGTAAATGGACAATTCCTCGAAAACTCACAGTCACCTCCCTCCCTTTTAGATATGCCCAAGGTGTTGGAGTTCTTTGATGCGGTGCCTGATGAGGTCAAAACATATCTCATGTATCAATTTCTTCGAAGATGCCCTAAACCTACTCTCCATTTTGTGGCTGAGGTGGTTAATCCAACCTTGAAGTGTGACTTTCTGGCTCTTCTGCCGCTCGAGCTCAGTCTCAACATTGTCAAATACCTTGACGTTCAGACTATGTGCCGTGCCGCGCAGGTCTCTAAAAGGTGGAGACACATCACGAATTCTGATGAAAAGAGCTGGAAGATTCTCCTTGACCAGGATGGATATCATCTTTCAGATGGAGAACTAGAACGGGCTATAAGACAGGGATGGGGATGGCAGTTGTCCAGCGGCCCTGAAGATCACGAGGAAGATCTCAGCGTTGTGGCCTTAGCTAGGGCGGATATGGAGGCGTCCCCTGTCCCTTCAATGGCCGGTCCCAGCAGCAGCAGAGGCCCTCTAGGGTCTTTGCCATTGAACCGGCGAGGCAAACGAAAGGCCAACACGCGCGTTTCAAGCCGGAAGCTTGCCAAGCGCAAGGCCTCATCCAGTGGAGGAGAAATTGCCGATCCAGACTGGAAGAAAGATATTGCCGCTTCTGAGGCCCCATACGCCGCTGCTAACGCAGCGGCGGCGGCAGTTCCATACGCCGAAGTAGGTCTACCATCTCTTCGCGGGCTGTTCCTCTTCAAGGTCCTCTACCGTCGCCATGTTGCCATCCATAAGGGATGGATGCAGCCGGAGGTGAAGCCGCAACATATCGCTTTCCGCGCCCATGACCGCCATGTTGTTACTTGCCTGCAATTCGACGCTGACAAAGTGCTTACGGGAAGCGATGACACTAACATCAACGTATACGACACGAAAACAGGTGCCTTGCAGGCAACATTGGAGGGCCACGAAGGTGGTGTGTGGGCTCTTGAATACCATGGCAACACTCTGGTCTCCGGGTCCACTGATCGCTCGGTGCGAGTCTGGGACATTGAGCGGGCCAGGTGTACTCAGATCTTCCACGGGCACACCTCCACCGTTCGATGCTTGCAGATCGTCCTGCCTACCGAGGTAGGTAGGGACGCAGATGGTCAGCCAGAAATAATGCCTAAAGAACCATTGATTATTACTGGGTCTCGCGACTCGAACCTCCGAGTGTGGAAGCTTCCAAAACCCGGGGATCCAGTCTATTATCAGAATGGTCCTACATTGGATGACACTAGCTGTCCATACTTTATGCGTGTGCTCTCCGGCCATCAGCACTCTGTTCGTGCAATTGCAGCCCACGGTGATACCCTTGTGAGTGGTAGCTACGATTGCACGGTGAAGGTCTGGAAGATTTCCACCGGACAGACTTTACATACCCTGCAGGGTCATTCGATGAAAGTTTACAGCGTGGTTCTTGACCATAAGCGAAATCGGTGCATTAGTGGAGCTATGGACCACATGGTCAAGGTGTGGTCACTGGACGATGGAGCTGTCCTGTACACTCTCGAAGGCCATACTTCCCTCGTTGGTCTGCTTGCTTTAGAGCACGATTTCCTTGTCTCTGCTGCCGCTGATTCCACTCTTCGAATCTGGGACTCCGTACATGGTCACTGCAAGAACACCTTGAGTGCACACACCGGTGCCATAACCTGCTTCCAGCACGATGGGCAAAAGGTCATCTCCGGGTCTGATCGAACGCTGAAGATGTGGGATGTGCGAAACGGCGAGTGTGTCCGAGACCTCCTCACTGACCTTAGTGGTGTGTGGCAAGTCAAGTTCAATGACCGGAGATGTGTTGCTGCGGTGCAACGTGACAGCTTAACTTATATTGAAGTAAGTACTTCGTTCTATATCGGGGCCTTCCGATCCCTTATGCTAATATTACTTCCACCCAGGTTCTCGACTTCGGTGCTGCACGGGATGGAGTCCCTGAAAGTAAACTTGCGAAACGTATCGTCGTCAACAGACGTGGGCAGGAGATCCCCGGCGGAATCGAAGATGATGACGACTTGTCCGATTGAGACGACTAGGCCGCATTTCTCTTCATTTGACCCCAATCAACATCTCAACATCCGACAGCCTTACTCCCCCTACACTACTTCCTTTCCTCTGTCTTTGCTTCTCTTCTCACTCTTCTAACATTCACGATACCCATCCTTACAGCTCTCGTCTTCCATCGGAACAAATATCCTTTGCATAGCGCGGTCG